GACATCTTGTAAGGACCGTAGATTAGTTCCTGTAATATTTTTAAAGAACCACAAACAAATTAAAGGAGATTGAACTCAGCATTGTCGTCAGGAACGACAGTGAGAACGAGCTTGGGGTTTAGCAATTCATTCAGAGCGACTACTTCCTCAGGAAGAGGAGTAGGAGCATGTCAAGGAAGAGGAGGGTCAACTGCCTCAACCTCATTGTATGGTGGTACGGGATCTAGGTCAGCATCGAAGTCGATGTTGGGAAGATGAAAATGAAGGTAATGAGGGGGTGGAGTTGGTGGTTGGCATATGAGCATCTGTAGTAGAGCTTGGCGAACAATAGCATCTTGAATAGCTAATTGTTGACATCGCCACCATACGGAGAGACCTAGAAAAGACAACCAAAAGGTGGTGGAGTGAATAAAAAGCTCCCGCAAGAATAAAGGGTCAAGTCCTCCATAATGGAGTAGAAGAACAGCCTGATTAAGACTGGCTACTAGCGACACGGTGAAGACAACTACAACCAAACCTAGCACATCTAGGCCTACAACATCCATCGTGATTTGCCTGTCGGCAGTGATCGCTCGATGCAGATGTGTAAATAGCTAACCGCCTAGAGGGTGGGGCTCATAACCTATTGCGCAGAGGAATGGGAGAAGATGAAGAGCAATAAGGCAGGAACACTTGCCTTTAGTTAGTATGGTTGTAGCTTTTGAAAAGTAACGTTTGTAGGGGCTCAGTTGTCGTGTAGACAAGTGAAGAACAAATGTAGAATTCAATAGGGACCTAGGGAGAAAGTCCTGAGTTTATATACATGAGTAGGTATGCATGGACCAGTAGCATAAAAGGAAACTACTACTCAGTATAGTAAAGAATAGCATGGAAGGTCATGGAATATGATGTATGATATGATATCATAAATGACATCATTGTGGAGCTGATTGCTAAGAAATGTCATGTGATGAACAACGTGTTCATACACGTGTAAGTCTGGATTAATCTAGATGTCGGAACTATTAAGATATTTCCAACATAGACTCGTTCAACCAGAGTAGGATCTGGGAGAGAATATTCTGGAGAGTGTTTGTGGATAGGAATATCGAGAGCAGTAATATCAAATTCCTCAGCAGCATTCTCAAATTGTTCCTGGTCAGGATAAACATCCCAAGACCTAGAATTTGGATTGTAAGAACCCTCAGGGAGTTCTTTGATATAGGTGGAATTTAAGGTTTCAGCACCTTCTACTTTGAGATTATTGGCTCGGGCTTTGCCTTTGCCTTGACGATGGTTTTGGCCTCGACTATGAGAGCCAGAACCTTGCTGCTGTTGTGGGTAAGGAGGTTGGTATCCTCCACATCCATGACCGTGTCCTCCATGACCTCTACCTCAGCCACCATGACCTTGGTAGGATCCAGAGCCAGATCCACCAACATGATCTTGTGTATTATGGCCTCCTCTGCAGATATTGCAAAGGGGTGGCTTATTCATGTGTGCCAGAAGAGAATTTGATTCTTGTTTAATCTGAGCCTGAGAAGAAGACCCAGCCTTTTCAGTTTGGGGAAGCATAGATTTGCCCAATTTATGGGCCCAGACTTCTTTCATGTGAGGTATAATGGTATCAGGACCAAGTTGATCTGCAGGAATTGACAATAAAATATTGACAGGTGCTTGTTCCCAGGCTTGGGACATAGCATGAACCAGGATGAGAGCTTTCATTTTATTATTCAGGGTGATGCCCTGAGTGGTTATGGCAGTAAGGAGCATAGTAATCTCTGAAATTTTGGCCATAATATCATCCTTTGGTTTAATTTGAATGTTGAAATTTTGGCCATAATATCATCCTTTGGTTTAATACCATCAATAGACATTGCAATCATAGGATCACAATAGAGAGTCAGAATTCCTTGTGCGTGAGTATCAGATGTAGTCCACACATCAATGGCAGCTTGGCCAGCACCAGCTGCAGGTTGAGCAACAGTGCCATCAATGATGCTCATGATACCGAGAGTTTGCATGTAAGCCTTCATGAGAACTGACCAAGAGGCATAATTGACTCTGTTAAGTTTCGGAATCTGTTTTGAAAGACCTTCAGACATCTTTAAAAGTCCATTAGAAGGTGTTCATAGAGAAATGAGTGAGTCAGATGAATTTTAATGGATGGAGGATTTAATGTGTGAAGTCCAATTCATTTTGGTCTGTGACCAGATGCTCTAGCAGATTGAGATGGGCGACGATAGTGAGGTTTTGGAATATGAGGACGAGGATTTTGCCAGATCTTCTGTATGCTTGTACCTTTCTCAGCAAATCACTTAGAGGCGATGCAAGAATTATTGCTCTCTAGACTTAAAAAGTCTAGTGGAGGGAAATAATGATAGCTTAAAAAGCTCCAGTTGCAATCGTGCAATGGTATCCCATCTGAACAAAATCCAAGATATGGATCGGTGCAAGAATATGGTACATTTACAGCATCAGAGTAACGAAAATGAAGATCTTTTACAAATACTTCCAAAGTATTGTAAGACTTGTCAATGATGCAACTGTCAGTTCCCAAATGGTATTGCCCTCCTGATACATACAGTACATCCATCAAACTTGGAAGAAGATAGTTTTTGGCATATGGCTTGAGCTGCACAAGCTTGGCTAAGAGCCATAGTCTGTATTCTGCGAGGTCTGGGTTCTGCGAGATAATTGAATGTACCTTTCTCCATGGCACATTCAAGATCATAATTAATCTCTGTTGTGCCAGGCCAGTAAGCGAAGTCAGTGTGAGTGGCATTTGTAGACCAGAAAAGATGCCTGTTAGCAGGCATATATCGCAGCTCACTTCCCATATTGGAAGACTCCTTGAACCATCGTATAAACCCAAGTAAGTCACTATCAAAGCGGTCTCCTCCTCGTCAGCGTTCCTGGAACCACCTTGGGACACACTGGATATCAGTGCTTCCATCATCCCAAACTCCTCTGAAATTCCACTCCAGATGTTGGTTCCAAACTCATAAAGGAGGGATGAGGCCATGGAAGCAGGTGTCGTAGAGTGGATGGGTGTTATAGTAGATGTAGACAAAAGTGTCATGGGTAACGGTGAATGCTGGAACAGTGAGGAGGGAAGGATCTTCATAAGTAACACTGGGAAGATCACAACCATTGAAGTTAGTGATGGTGTGAGGAGTCGAAGTATGGGTAAGTTTAGGGAAGAAGTTGCTTAAATAGCTGTGGAAGGCTAAATGGAGGCCAGGATAGAAGTAAGGAGATTTGAAACTGGGAAAGTGGGGCATTATCTGCCATGCTGTTTCCACGGTGTTGAGCAGAACAAGGTATGTTGCAGGATTTGGCTTTTTGAAGTATGCCATAGATGATGGAACCGCCTCTCTCCAAGACGAACAGTTGTGTACATATAACATCTCAATAAATTCTATAATCTCTTTAACCACATATTTTCTCCATTTCACCTCATGCATTCCATCACGATGCTCAGCAGTGAGCAATTTGGTTTTCTTTGCAATGACGAGAGACATACTTGAGAAGTAAAGACCGTAGATTAGTTCCCATAATGACAGTGAAGAGTTATGAATGAAATTAGAGCAAATCAAACTCAGCATTGTCATCAGGGATGACAGCGAGAACGACCTCAGGATTGAGTAATTCATTCATCACAACAACTTCCTCTGGAAGAGGAGTTGGTGCACGACATGGAGGAGGTGCATCAGCACCCTCAACAACGTCATAGGGAGGTACGGGATCTAGGTCAGCGTCAAAGTCAATATCAGGGAGATGGAAATGCAGGTAATGAGGCAGCGGAGTTGGAGGTTGATGAACAAGCATCTGTATAAGAGCTCTGTGAACAACCATGTCTTGTAACAATAGTTGTTGCCATCACCACCAAGTGGAGAGACCTAGAAATGAGAGCCAAAATGCAGTAGAGCGTGCAAAAAGCTCCTGCAAGTGAATTGGATCATAACCACCATAATGAAGTAAAAGAACTGCCTGGTTTAACCCAGCAGCCAACGACACAGCGAAGATAACTACTACCGTCCCTAGTGCATCTAGGCCTACGATATCCATAGTGATATGCCTGTCAGCAGTGATCACTCTATGCAGATACATAAATAGTGCACACGCCTAGAAGATGGGGCTCATAACCTATTGCACAGAGGAATGGGAGCTAAACGAAGAGCAATAGACAAGAACACTTGCCTTTGTTAGAACAGTAGTAGATTTGAAGTTGAGTGTAGGGGCTCAATAGATTGTCGTGTAGACAGAAGATTGCAATGTGGAATTGCGATGATGCTAGGGGAGAAATCCCTGGGTTTATATATATGAGTAGGTACACATGGACCAGTAGTGTAAAAGGAAACTACTACTATGTATAGTAAGGAATAGCAGAGAATGTCATGGAATATGACATATAATATGATGTCATAGTGACATCATTGTGGAGCTGATTGCTAAGACAAGTCATGTGATAGACAACATGTTGATACACATGTATGTCTAGATGTGTCTAGACGTCAGAACATATGAAATATTTCCAACAAGGAGCTCAAGGACTTCAAGTTCCACAAGGCAAGTTGACTTGCAGGAGCATGAAAGCTACCCTCTTTTGGTCCTCCATGACCACTCCACACTGGCATGGTGATATTCCATTGCATGCTACTCTAGTCTGATGTCTTTCAATAGGGAAGATTACACAGTACATGGCCACCCTGTAGACACAATCAGGATTGTGTTGACAGTGACATGAGCCTGACATTTAGAAAATTGTGACCAGACACTTCGACATACAGATTGTGTTTGACAGATATTGATGACAGATGTGCCTGCTCCAAATGTTATATGAGGCTGACACAATTTCTGGAGCTGTCAATTTGGGCTGCCTGTTGTGCTCCTGATTTCACCTGATCACAGTATGCTTGTTCACCCTGCACATAAAAAACACATAGCTTGCATGTATACATAAATCAATGCAGAGGTTAACATAGAAATAGTAAAGCATAGATAATGGCCTGTTAATACTAGAAATTCTTGCTCAGCAGATCCTCATTACTGTCCTCAGCATGCAAACCCTCCAAGCAATGACTGCAGGCAGGTTGTGGTGATGTGTTGGTCTCAGAGGATTGCCTAATGACAGACAGCTGGGCTATACGAGATGTGCTGTGATTTCCAGGAGTAGGCAGTGCATGAGGGGCAGAAGAAACAGTAGCTGGTGATTCTGTGTACATGCTGGGGAGAGGCAGTAGGATGGATCCAATGTTCTTGCCATACAGTTCTTGATCCTGAGTGATGATCAAGTTGAAAAACCTACAAGTATATAAATATCAGTCACCAATAACAAGCTTGAGCTACTTACTCATGCCATTTATTGTTCTTCATGTCCTTTCCAAGCCAGTCAAGATCCTTTGAAAACATGCAGTCAATTATGCTCCAGAAGTCATAACCTGTTTTGACTCTGCCAGGGGGGGCCTTGTTACTTACTGTCCTGACATGTTTTGCAGGTGGTTCATTCATGGACCCTTTGGCACTTGCTTGTGTGGCCCCTTCACCACCACTCTCCAAGTCACTATCATTGCTCACAGTTCTCCCCACAACATATTGATGGGCCCTCCCATAATAATGCTGCAAGCTTGATTGGTCAGTGAAGGTTGAGAGAAGAGTCTTGTGTGACATACCAGGAAGGCAAAGTGTAGCTGATACTCAGCCTTTGAACCTGAACCTACACCACCACATTTGTATTTGCTGAGTACCATCCATGTAAGTTCTTCCAGCATCATGTGCATCTTCCCTTCCTCCTGGCCAGTACTGTCCAGAAGCACATTTGTGCATGTCTGTAGCACAATGCAGTGAAAGCCTGACATGGTTGGAAGGGTTGACATAAAACTTACTCAAGTTGGGCCACAATACCATCAAGCATTTCTAGGGGGGGAGCAATGTTAGATGTGGTGAGGAAATGGATGTTGCTCTCTTTGTGGACCAGAGCATGTGGGAGACCAGCTGCAGTGAAGAGAAATGAGTTGTGTTTGTTCCACTTCTTTGACATATTGCTGGAGGTGTCATCACAATAAAGCCATATCATGTAACTGAGGACATGGTGCCCCTTTGCACATGTGTGCCATATATTCCCAACCACAGGATCAGTCAATGTCCATGGGAGGACACCATGTCCTCTTGTCTCTATCAAACCTAACACATGCTGAGTCTGAATCAAATAGAGGGGAAGGATGGGCACCATACACACCTATGATATTGCATGGGTTGGGTTGACTGTTGATCTGATGCATTTGAAGCAGGTGTGGTAATGAGAGGAGAAGACTGCTCACTGGCACCTTGATGGTATCATGTGTGTGGATAACATATCCACACATGTGACCACTCACAATGGGGTGAGCTCACCATGCGCAGGCCCAATACTCAAGCTCAAAGGGAGGAGAAGTTAGTAATGCAGAGGGTTTTGTATACCAGCACTCGGGAATGACCATTGTGCCATCCATCAACTTCGCCAGCTCAAACACATAAAAATCTTGACAGCCTTCACAAATCATGGGTGTGGCAACAGTGGGATCACTCTCATACAGCCACCTTGTCACTTGCCATGGCTGGTCAAGTCACCCCCCAGCATCTTCAGGGTAATGGCAGATATGTGGGCAGATGTGTGGGTTCGCCATTTCCTGCAAGGGTGCACTGTTATTGGTTAACGAATTGCAAGCTAAAAAATGAACTTACTTGTGTGATGATAGAAGGCAGGTGGTTGACATAATAGACATGGCCAAGCGCACCTTGATAACAGACCAATGGAATCCCATATTGGGCCTGGAGGGAATTGTCAATATCTTTGAGCATCTTCACAGAGGGAACATTATCAACTCCAAGGATTGCAAGTCCCCAGAGGATGACCTGAAGTTGTGCATCTGAAAATAATGAACACAGGAGGTGCCATAGAATATCAAGTATGCATGTCTGTCAATTGAGTGAAATGATGCTCTAATTATATATGAAATGACATACCTGTTTATTGGGCCATGGGAACCATGCAGGATTTGCAGGTGCAGCATCACCTGCATGCTGAGATGAGCATGTCACACCTGGCTGAAGCAGCTCCGTGGAAGGATCAGTGCATTCAATAACCTGTGACAAGCATATATCACTTCTTACCTGGACAATATTCTTTGCCTTCAACATCAGGGGAGTTGGACACATCTTCATCAGAGGAGATCACATCATTACCATTGGCCAACCATGCAGCCAAGCTGCTGGCCATCATCATTAGTTGCTCATTGTGTGCAGATGGTAAATAGAGCTGTTCATGGTCAATGGCATCCCAGTCAAGTTGAAAACTACCATCATTATTAGAGGGAGTAGCCACCTGTGGCACACCATGAGGAGGGGATCCTGATTCTGAGAAATCTGCTAAAAGGTTAAGCAGGGGTGAGGTTGGGTCAGGTCAGGGTGGGGAACTCAAAGGGCAAAGATGAGGGGATAGAAGGTGGCCAACATTCTCTTGATGGAGGGTGGTTTTCTCATGTTGTCAAGCAGAATGGACATCTCACCACTTGTTGTCCTTGCAGGCAAGGCATGACCACTTGTACTGGTTGTGACCAATGCCTGTTGCCCAGACTGTTTACATCATTTGTGGAGTCAATGCATTGGCAATGCCAATGTGATGTGGAGGCTGAGGCTTAGATGTAGTAACCCAAAGTAATCTGGAGTTAGGGGTGGGACTTACACTTGGGATGTGCAAACTCTTCAGTCATCACTATAATATGACAGTGAGAGTTGAACTTTGCAAAAAAAAAAAAGTACATTAAGCACTGCTTCCGAACATCAAGATGCATTTCACTTGCATCCACTACAGTTTCAAAAAAAAAAGTCTTTAAGATTGTGTCTAGCCCAAACCATAGTGAAAATGCTATCCGACCTAATCGGGACTGTGTCAAGCTCGTGTTTCACGTGACGCAGTTCCACCTACTTCTCAGACTTAGTTTGTTTGTGTCACAAGAGTGGCCATGTACCAAAGGATATGTTTCCTATTTAGGATATGCCCTAGCATTTACTCGTAACGTCGCTCTCAATACATACATGGTTTCGCAAGCTGCTGCAATGTGATCGGTGGAATCATTGATAAGGATACCGACAGTCTACCCTATGACCTGAGCGTCGCTTCCACCACATCGATTTCCACACGAATCCAGAAACACTATTCAGAGAGCGTTTTGAACACACCGGCCTGGCCTGTCAGCCCAAGAAAGACTACCCTCTGGTGGGACATGGAGCTTTCGTAAAGTAATTCCCAAGACTAATTTTCATTTTAGTTTAGTCCAACTTTCCCCGTTTATGACTTCCGCGGGGACATCCATTGATCAGTTAACAAGAGATCGAAAGCCCTTCAAAGACACCATATGGCTCGGCGGAGTACATGACGGATACCCTCAAGTATCCTTTGCGGAATATCGCAAAATTCGAATCACTGACGAAGTCAAGTCGAATGCCCGAAAATCCGCTGCGCTAACGCAGAGTCACCTCACGTTTGGGTTGCTGGAATCGGTGATGAGGGTACGGGTGCAAGAGAATGTCCTGCTTAGAAAGCAGGACAACGGCGAAGTCATCGTAGTAAGCGATAACTTGTACCAGTTGCTGAGAGTCTGGCAGTATCGTATCCGTGAAGAAGGAAACACAGATTATTGCCAACAGTGGGCAGCGGATGTCCAGGGCATACTCACCCAGGCGGAAAGAATCTTGTCGCTCGAACTCCATTTTGAAAGCGGTTCTTTCTTTCTTGCGCGTTTGCCGCTATATGACTTCGAGATGATCTTATTGCAGTTGGCTTCCATCGGAGAGGCCCTCACGGAAGGCAGGCTCACATTCCCATCATCTGTACAAGTATATCGTGGGCTTTCGCGGTCGGCGCTGCCAGCCTGCACCGAAAGCAAATGGAAGAGGCGGGGTGGTGTCCATTCCTCATTCGCATCGCGTCAGAGAGAGTGTGTACATTGACCTATGCGAGCACACAAAGGCCCTTTCTCCGTGGTGGAGTGAAATTGCACTCACACTGTACCTGGGAGAAATGTGCAGCAAATAACATTAACTCCGAAAACTACACCAATCCCCATATCACTTCCACATGCGTCTGCACGTATAGCCAACCGCCCTTCCCTGACGTCGCTGGACCACTTTCGCGTGGACACATACCAGTGCTTCGATGGGACAAAGCGCACCACAATTTCCTTGTCGGAACCTCTTCGGATAACCCCTATGTCGCAATTTCTCACGTCTGGGCTGATGGTCTTGGGAGTACCACAGAAAAAGGACTTCCGATGTGCCAGATCGACGCTCTTGTGCTCGCAACCCAGCGGTTCATTTCCACTGGGGCATTCTGGATTGATTCTCTCTGCGTTCCCGAAGTACGGGATTTGAGAAAACGGGCGATAGGTTTGATGTCGAAAACCTACAGAGATGCTCAAGTAGTGTTGGTACTGGATTCAGGAATACGTTCTTGTTCCATATCGGCTCCACGCGAGGAAAGGCTGCTCAGGGTGCTATCGTCTGGTTGGATGCAGCGACTATGGACCTTGCAGGAAGCGCTGCTCGCAAACAAACTGGTTTTCATGTTCCACGATGGTATACTCTCCATCGATGACCTCCTGCCAACAAGACCCGACTACGAAGTAAAGGATACGCTCTTGCTCTCTCTTGCGGCAGAAGTTTTCCGTCTCACGAAATACAGGCGATACTCATTCGTGATGCACGACGGATTCACTATCGCTGACGTCGTAACTTGCCTTCGACATCGAATGACGAGCAAAGCCGAAGATGAGACTCTCGCCATCTCAGGTCTTCTGAATGTAAACCCCTCTGGGCTCGTAAATCTTGCCCCACAGCAGCGGATGAAGTCGCTGCTTCTTGGTGTGGGAAAGGTTCCCCGTAGAATAATCTTTCTGAACGGAGAAAAACTTTTGGATTTCGGATTTTCCTGGGCTCCTAGCACACTTATGGGGCACAACATGGACATCGGGTTTGAGGCAGATGCAAATGTAAGCCCCACTGGCTTGCATGCAGATTATGCAGCCATCTACTTCCGAACGACGATGGTCAGCACACAGCGAACAATCCGGTTGCTTCTTCCTGAGGAGGAGGTTTATGTGGAGGTCGATCATGATGGCAACCCCTTTGAATGCAATGCCTTACTCCTTCCAGGTCAGGTGGCATCGTACAATTTCGGTCCGGGTGTAGCTGTTCTTGTAACAGGGGCAGATACAAGCAAGAGAGAAGAGCCCGCTGGGGACAGATTCGTCTGCAAGTATCAGATGCGTTTCCTGCTTGCATCCAAGAGCCTGCGGTCGGACAAGGAAGGGCCAACCAATAAAGATTTTTTACGTGTCCAGGCAAAGAGTGGGATGATGAGAGTCAAACTTGTCTGACGATCATCTCAACACATACTACTTGATATCATCGGCTTGTGGTATATAGACTCCTTTGTTTGCTTGAGCGACGATGAAAAGTGCGACGAGCGCTTATATGCAAACGACGATCACGTGCAGGCACTCGACTTGACCCGCTGGATGAAGCGAAGGTAGAAATCTGCGATAGGAATCTGTATATTCTGTACATCGTGCGAAAACAAAAAGTCCGGTCAGTAATGGAAGGAGATAAGAAAACCTAATCAAGGTCGCTCACAGATATGCAGGCGTTGCTCAGACGGGGCAAGCCTCATGTTCGCTGCAAGCTGCAAGACTGGCTGAACGCACCTCTGTACTTGAAGTTGGGCTCTGCCATTACATTAAAAAGCTTCCAAGCTGTGCGACACAGCACGGATACTTGCTCAGCGCTCATCTCTGGACGACCACAAACAAGTTATTTTCCAGTCGTGTACGGAAGATGGTCATGACAATGTCATCGAGAGATTGAACATAGGGTCCTCGCTCCGCGATAGGCCAAGAAGGTCTGAGTCAATTTGGGGTATCGATTAAGAGTCCAATGAGTCAGCAGTAAGAAAAACAGAATGGTATACATGTACATCACAATGGATAATTCAAGGATGAATCAGCAGTCGGCGTATAACGGCCACGTCAATTAGACCAAACCGATAGCGGAACTAGAAGTTATGATGGTTGGACTCAAGATGGGTGGTCCTTGGGGTACAGCAGCTTTCTTTGCAGCATCTTGCTTATCAGCCTCCTGCGCTTTCCTTTCCCAGAATGCTTCCTCATCTGGATATAGTTTTCCTGGGAAAAAGGTCTGAAGCATACTCGCGCCGAGACGAGGATGTCTTTCTTCAACCTTCATTAGCGTTTGCATCACTTTCCGATCAAGGATGCACTCCTCGAATACCAAAGGCACGCCGAAGGCTTCAGGTGTTCGCGGAAGTCCAGCCACCATGACATTATGCATCATGCCAATGCCTCCGACTAGCATCAAGAACCAAGGATCTTGTTGAATATTGACCACCGTGATAAGATGTGCAATCCACAGTACGGCCAGCGAGATGGTAAAGAATCGAGTCTACATGGACCCCTTCGGGTCTGCACACGCAAGGGCCTCGAGATCCAGGGAGCTTTTATCGCCAATGATAACGATCGCATGCTGTGCACCGTTGCCGCGAGTAAGAATCGCGGTCTTCGCAACTCGTGAGTATCCCCATTTCTCCATCCCCCACTGCGGCAGCCATCCAGTGGCAAACGCAAGAACAATGCCCACGCTGGTGGTCAAAAGAACAACCCAGTCGTCATGAAGGATGAGAGGGATAGCTGCGATTATCAACTGCACGAGAGCGGTTGCGACACCGCTGTAGTAGATCCAATCAGCAGCAGGAACGCCAGAGGCGCGGTTAGGATCGGCCCGGAAAATCGAAACGCAAAGTCCGGCCTTGGTGCGAGGCGCGACAACAGGTTTGTTATCTTGAGGAGCGCCTGCGTTACTCTTCTGAGACGCTGACTTCAACATCTCGTCTAATCGTGATCCAACCTCCTGTGGTTTCCAGTGTTCGAAGTCCCTGAGAATGCGACCAAGAATCCAACTGTGATTGTCGCGCGAGTAACTGAAGAGACACTGTTTTAATGTAGAATAGAAATGGAAAGGCAAATCTACCAACCCTGTTTTACCATTGATCACTATAGAGGAGAAATCGGGTTCGGGCATCAACTTATTGTTGCCCACGGCAAGGACCAAACTGTTGAACGAGTACGCGACCCATCCGAACGAGAATGCTACTGGAGTGAACCGATGGCCAGATAATTGTGCGAGAGCACGCTGGATAACGTCTGGGCCAATTAGGGTGAGTACAGAAAGTACCCCAGGATGCACCCATGCGTCTTTGAGTAGAGTGGCGTCACTGTGAGTAAGGTTAGCGAGCACGAACTACTGATAGACTGAGTGGACGCTACTAACCTAGTGGACATCGAAAGGCTGGAAATGCAGGAACTAAGGTTGAGCCAGTAGTAACTTGCAAGTCGAAAGAAGGGTTTTTCCATTTGGAAAGTGACACGAGCTACTCTTCGCAGCACTGCAGGGAGGCTGCAGGGTCATCAGACTCCCAACATGATGCTTATATGTTGGCGATGTATGTCACTGAATCCTCGTCAATACGTATGCAAATGAAAGGCTTGAAGTGATGCTGGTAGTATGTAGATTCAACCATAAGTACATACTTGCCTTGCCCAAGGCGAGGGAATTCAAATCGAGGTTCCGTAGATAAGATATCAAGTCGTCGACGATAGACAAGTGCAATAATCCCTGCTCTCCTTCACTTTCGCCCAGGGTGGCGCAAGCAATGACCGAACGCAGTGCACGACCACCAGTACAGCTCATCCAGTGGGTCAAGACTCCTTCATGCATGTTTTATCATATATCTGACATTCCTCACAGGAATGTCTACCAGCGACTCTTTCATGATGGTGTAACACTCTCCAAGCTAAGGGATACACTCAGCCAAGGCCGTCTACAAAATAACCATGGCAGCACCGTTGGCGTACCGGGGCGTAGTCTGGCATGGAAGGCGAGAGTCCTCCATCTTGGTCCTTACTTCGCGGGGGTGTTCATGCTATAATACTGACCACTAGATGTTCCTCTTGCGCGGGCTGGAGCCGTTGGAGCGGCCATCCGACGAGGTGCCAAGTGTACCGATGGAGTTGCTGAGGGAGTCACGCAAACAGTTCTCGGAGCTCTTACTTGAGAAAATGCGTGCACCCGATGGAAGTTATGATGAAAGTTTCGTGGTTTCTGGGTTGACGATACCGCGGCGGAGTAGTAGTCAGGCACCGCTGAATCTCGAGACTAACAATCCGTTGAGTCTTCACGAAGAGGTATGTATCGAGGCTGCATCCCTGGCATGCAGACCCCACTGACTACCATCTGGTCAGAACCCGTGGAAGGAGTGGTTCACTGCTATGGATCTGCGCAAGATCATCCAACAGGACGTCGAACGGACGTAAGTTGGTATCGCGGTCTACCACGCGAAACGTTGTTTAATTGCGATCACTCAGGTTCCCAGACATGGGCTACTTTCGCAGTAACGAAGTGCAGTATCAGCTCACCAACGTGCTGTTCTTATACTCCGTCATGCATCCAGATATCAGCTATCGTCAAGGCATGCATGAACTGCTCGCGCCCCTGTACTATGCCATAGGTAATCTTCCATTCTCATCGCGAATATATGTAATGCTCAGCTTTACTCTAGACTTTGATTCGGTGCCGGAGGCGCATGAAATATTTGAAACGGATTCGCTTTTTGCAGAGTTCTGTTCCAGAGCGTGGGTTGCGGCAGACTCTTGGGCACTCTTTTCCGCAGTAATGCAGAAGGTGTCCCAGTGGTACGAATGGCGCGAGCCTGCACCACCACCACCCACAGCACGCGGTCCGATCAACTTGAAACCATATGTCCCTCCCATCGTCGAAGCATGCAATCGTATTCAGGGCAGTTTACTCAAGTCCGTCGATCCTACTTTGTACGAGGCAATGCAGAATGCAGGCATAGAATCACAGATATATGGGCTGTACGTCGTTTCTGTTTGTGGATGTGTTTCTTAGCTAGCATTTTAATGTTCTGTGAAGCCGGTGGTTACGACTGCTGTTTACGCGTGAATTCCCCATGGATGAAGCCATGATGTTGTGGGACGGCCTCTTCGCAAGCTCGTCTCTTACACCTGACCTCGTTATGTGGCTTTGCGTCGCAATGCTTATTCGCATACGGACGAAACGTAGGATCCATTCACCCTCCTGTTCTTCACACTCACCTCAAATTTCAGTGATCCCGTCTGATTACAGTACACAGCTGATGTACCTGCTGCGTTACCCACCATGCCCTTCAACAGAGCCCGGAGCCCCGCACCACATTGTTCTACTCATTCGACACGCTACGGCCTTGGAGATATCGCCCAATCCAGCAACAGGGGCCACACTCATGATGGAAAATCGGAATTTATTGAATATTCCACTAGATGTTCCAGATCCGCCGGTAGCAAGACGCAGACCTCGCCAACCGGAGAGAACTCATCAGGCGACCTCCTCAGAGAGCTCCACTCCGGGTATTTCTGGAAGCCAAGTGTTCTCGCCACAACTTAGTTTCCCGGAACTCTTTGCCCGTGGACTGCTTGATCGGGGGGAGAGTCTTGGAATCAACAGAACAGTCATGAATGCCGTTTCTGAGCTCAAGGTGAGTAGCATTCTCCTTTTGGCGATCGTTGTTAGGATCTAAAGTGTAATCAGCGCAATCTGCCTGACTTGACTTCTAATCTCGTCCGTTCACCGTCTTTCGCAACTAGCACATTCTCGGCATACCCCCTCCTCGATGAGAGGTCACCAGAGGAGCGTTATATCCGTAACCACCGCAGTGACCTGGAGTCTGCTCGGGAACTCGCCGACCTTCGCAGGCAAAATAAACGCCTAGGTGAGGCCGTGGGATGGGCACTGGATATTCTCGGTCAAGAGAGTGCGAGCGATACTTATCAATTGCAGAGGAAGCAAGCTCTGGAATCTCTTTCGTACATGCGTGACGTATTGACTGGACAGGTCGAGGAGGTAGATGAGCGTCGATTATGGGGCGAAGCCGAATTCAAAAGGAGATGGGAGGTCCGAGAAAAATCCCCATCCCCGAGCAGCGAGTCATCTCTGACTGGACGAGATGCACGCTCTGGTACTACGTCTGCGAAGTGGACAGCAGCTCGAGAGAATCGTCGCTTTTCGCAAGGCAATACCAGTGGTGGCCATCCCCGCTCTATTACCGCGACGACTATTCCACCGACCAGAACGCCACCCCTCCCTGCGACTCATAATCGTTCGCAATCTTCTGGGAACGTGATCCAAGGGTCGACGCGTGTGGATGTTCAACGGGCGCCCTTCCGCGTGTCTGGAAACAACCCATTCCAGAGAGTTTCCGGCGGGAGCAAGGTTGTGCAAGACCCTCCCAGCGTGCGGAGTGAGGCGGTCGAGTACGATCCACTGGGGGTGTCCAAGTAGTTAGTTAGCACATGATTTATGCTACGGTGCGGTGATTAGAGCCGGCAGCCAATGGCGACGGCTCCATTATAATTGCCTGTTTCGGGTGAGATCGTGTTGCGCCGGAGAGTCGCCGGCCGACGGTCACGCAAAGACATTTCGCTCGCCCGCTCCTCCTGCAGAAAACAAGTCAAGTCATGCTAGTAACAAGGACTCTTACAAGGACTGCTCCATCGAGAGCTCGGTGGGGCCTGCAGCGCTCTTTTGCAACTACTCTGCCTGCCAGAAAGGTCGTCTCGACCAATCCCGTAAAAGCTCAGCAGGTCAAGGTACATCATTCATCTTACATCTTCGACGTCAACTTGCTGTCTCACACTTTCTTTGCACTAGTCCTCGGCAAAATATCCGCTCATTGAACACGAATACGATGCCATTGTCGTGTGAGCGTAACCTCTTCGGCCGTCGTCTCATGGAAACTGAATCGGGCATGTGTTAGTGGCGCAGGTGGTGCTGGTCTTCGAGCTGCGTTCGGGCTAGCAGAGGCTGGCCTCAACACAGCGTGCATCACCAAACTTTTCCCAACTCGAAGTCATACTGTGGCTGCTCAAGTATGTTCCGGAGTTAACCGCGCACGACGGGTATTGACGATCATTTGGTAGGGCGGTATCAATGCTGCACTAGGTGTAAGTCCGTATGATGTAGACGAATCAGCTGTGATGTTCATGTGGTGGTTACTAGAACATGACGGAGGACAATTGGAGATGGCATATGTACGATACGGTATGTCCCTCGTCTAACTCCGTATCACTCTAGTAGTCATTTCACCATAGGTCAAAGGCTCGGACTGGCTTGGTGACCAGGACGCAATCCACTATATGTGTCGAGAAGCACCGAGATCAGTGATCGAAGTATGCTGATAGACTTTCTCGGAGTGAATAACATGCTTATCATTGATCGTTGCTAGCTCGAACACTACGGTGTCCCTTTCTCTCGGACAAAGGAGGGTAAAATTTACCAGCGTGCCTTCGGTGGTCAGTCCTTGAACTATGGCAAGGGTGGTCAGGCATACCGCTGTGCAGCAGCCGCTGACCGCACCGGACACGCTCTCCTTCACACTCTCTATGGTCAATCTCTTCGTCACAACACAAACTTCTTTATCGAGTACTTTGCACTGGACTTGATTATGGAGGACGGCGAATGTGTTGGTGTCATGGCATTAAACATGGAGGACGGTACCCTTCATCGTTTCCGTGCGCACAAGACCGTTTTGGCCACTGGCGGTTATGGACGAGCCTACTTCAGCTGTACAAGTGCGCATACCTGCTCCGGCGACGGTAATGCCATGGTAGCCCGCGCTGGCCTCCCTCTGCAGGACCTGGAGTTTGTCCAGTTCCACCCCACAGGTATTTACGGTGCTGGCTGTCTCATCACCGAAGGTGAGTGTCGCGAAGATCTCTGCCGCAGGAATTTACGACATGCGGTTTAGGTTCTCGTGGTGAGGGTGGATATCTGCTGAACTCGGCGGGTGAGCGTTTCATGGAACGATACGCTCCTACTGCCAAGGATCTTGCCTCACGTGACGTGGTTTCTCGCTCCATGACCGTCGAAATTCGCGAGGGTCGTGGTGTGGGACCAGAGAAGGACCACATTTATCTGCAGCTCAGTCACTTGCCCGCTGAGGTCCTCCATGAGCGCCTGCCTGGTATCTCAGAAACAGCCGCCATTTTTGCGGGCGTCGATGTCACCAAGGAACCAATCCCTGTCTTGCCCACAGTACATTACAACAGTAAGTGGCGTGATGTCTCTAGCAGTGCCGCGTGGCTTATGGCATGACAGTGGGTGGTATCCCTACAAGGTATACCGGTGAAGTTCTTACCGTTGACGAGGTGCGTCCTAGCTGATCCTTCCAGAGTCTTCTACTTATCCTTGACAGAACGGCAAGGACAAGATTGTTCCCGGTCTTTATGCTGCCGGTGAGGCCGCATCTGTGTCCGTCCACGGTGCCAACCGTCTGGGTGCGAATTCACTTTTGGATATCGTCGTTTTTGGCCGTGCATGTGCAAACCACATCAAGGAGAACCTTACGCCGGGAAAGCCTCACAAGAAGATTCCTGATGAGGCTGGCGTTGAAAGCATCGAGTTCTTGGATAAGATCCGCAATGCAGACGGTCCCAAGTCGACGGCGTCCATCCGGTTGGACATGCAGAAAGGGATGCAGACTGATGCAGCTGTTTTCCGGTAAGCAGATCAACGTTGATACTTGGCGTTTAGGGGGTTTATGCAGTCTTTACATCAACAGTACTCAGGGGACTTTGGATGAAGGTGTTGAGAAGTTGCGTACCATCTACAAGTCTTTCGATGAGGTTGGAGTCAAAGACAGGAGTATGATTTGGAATTCGTACGTAAGAACCCAATTACATATAACTCGCGGCTGACCGCTCGCAGTGACCTTGTCGAAACCTTTGAGCTCCGCAATATCCTCCAGTGTGCCGTTCAGACTATCACTGCTGCTGCCGCACGCAAAGAATCTCGCGGTGCTCATGCCCGTGAGGACTACCCTGATGTTTGCGTCTCTAGCTTCAGTGATAAGGTACATTCCACTCACGTTTGTCTTTGTTAGCGTGACGACGAGAACTGGATGAAGCACACGCTCACGTGGCAGCACGATGTCAACTCGCCAGATGTGACCATCAAGTACCGCGACGTTATCAACAAGACCCTTGACGAGAACGAGTGCAAGCCCGTCCCGCCGATGAAGCGCACTTACTAAACGATTTCTCTTCGGGTTCGTTCTTGGGTTAGCATTGAGCTCAGTGTCCCGTCTGCGTGGGCGGGACGGTTGGATCGTAGTAACTATTTCTGTTGTCTTTACGGAACCTCTTCAAGCTCGAAAAGAAGGCGCTAATCCTGCCGTCCACCCTCCCTGGGGTGTGTTTAGTATCCTGCCATCAAACGTAAGTGTCATATGAGCGGTGCACCAGCAGGCACGCACGCTCGATAATGCTGGTAGTTGTATGGTGCATTGACTGTTTTTGCTCTGAATCCGGATCTTACACTCCCAACATGTCAGTCCTCGATACTCAATGGAATATCAGGTACTATGATAGTACTGAGGGAATTTGGCCTTAAATGGCGTTCAATTCGGCTACACGACGGTCTCGGATAGTACCCTACTTCGATAGGAGAACACAAATCAACAAGATGTACAACTGCCAGTTGTGTACGAGAAGGCTATGGAGGGCCATGAGGGAGCTGGACCGTCCTCGTCAGTTACGTATGACGAAATGCGAAGTTGTGAAGCTGCGCTTCGGACATGCAAGATAAGGCGACAGCCAATAAGGATTGTGAAGGAAGCTCCGAGGGAGAGTATTCCAAGGAGCCATTCAACCTGTCAGGGATATCAGAGGTGAAGCCGCCTGAATGGCGAATGTCAACTTACAGGAAGGGTGAGTGATATTACTAGGTATACAATGGAATAAAGCATGATCCTATAGTTCTCGTCATTTCCTCACTTCCCTGGATATGGCGTTGGAAGTAACGTACACAAGAAAGTAAAGCACATTTCCTTCGATGAGAATGTCCTTTAGGCGTTTTACTCCATTCCAATTGGCGGGGAGAGGTCCGAGCTTCTCTCGATGCCGCCGGACGGCTGCAGCGAAAGCGAGCGAAAACAATAGGCATTCGCACGCTATCATAGCGGAATAATTGACGTAGATTTTGAGGGCTACATCAGGGAACGCGCTGACTTTGAACCCGAGGTTCAATAGGATTTCGTCTAGTAGATATCGATCAAATTTATACTCTACTTCATAATAATACGGAAGATGGTAGATGACAGACCTGCGGAAATCGTAAGAAGTGCCACGCACACGATCATGACGATGGCTTCTGCAGCCAAGCCTGAGACTGCCGCGAGTAGAACCTTCCGTGAGCCGCTATACAGAACGTAGAGCCGCAATACCAAAATAACTGAGGAAATCATCACCGTGCGATCTTTGATTGTAAAGATAAACTTACTTTGGACAAACCAGTAAGCTAAGCAACTGAACCACATGTCGACGGCAGGGAAATCATGAGTAACTACGACATAATCAGTTAGGTGAAATTTTACGATCATACGGCTGGCTTACAACTGTTGGTTTTGATTGGGAAGGACATCGGGGATCATGATCTGAATGTAACACTGGACGAGCAAAACTACGCACAACTGTTGCGATTCTTGTCAAGCTAGCGTGCTGCTCGTTGATCTGAGGAACACCTGCCTTGTTGGTAGAATTTTCATTCGCAATGAATTCTGATAGCGGTGAACATCCCGACACAGCCCAAGCGTTCTATAACCAACCTGCCATGGAAAACCTACGGTGGTGTTAAGCTCTGGAAACGTGATCCGAGTGCAACATGCGGTGCACGTACAGTATATATAGGATGCCGAAGTATCGAAACTGTCATTTATACTGAGCTCGGCGCCGAAACCGAATTTATGAAGCTCACTATGAGATAAATGACTGAGATGATTGAGAACCGTTTCTTCTGTCGTGGGGATGTGTCAGGATACTAGAATCCGAGAAGGGCATAAGCCATGTACCCAAATATATTCGACCTTTCAACGGAATGCTAGTCAGTTACTGTGGACCAAACGCCCAAAAGAAGTGCCGACACCTCATCATCCCAAGAAAGTACTGTCCACTTTGTCAATGCTCATGGTTCGTTGGAACGGAAATACATACCATAGTCATACACCATCAGAGTAGCCGGTACAACTGATGTTGATACGCTTTTAATACCACTAGTGTTAGAGCTTTGAGAATTACCTTGCAGGAGTCGGATCGTTTGAGCGTCTCTCTCTACACCAAGAAGGTCGTAATTGACTGTTGGTTCCATCTCTCCTTGGGGATGAAATAGACACCTGCTAAGTTCAAGGTATATAAAGCTTAGACCCGAAGCATATGGTGAACTGTGTTCCCGTCATCCACGGCATCTGAAACAGATGGAGGACCTTGGCCATCAGCGGATACATAATATGTAGGTCAGAATTCCCTGGCTGATCGATGTGATTGCAGATGTCTGCCGTCAGAGAAGGGTTTGCGCCAATTATCATTTCCCCGTATTCCGATGAATTCGTAGTTACTGAGCATGGATGTCGATTTCCCCTCGTGTCCTAGTGCAGTGTCGATAGTAACCCTGCTGAGACGAGAACGCGCCATCTTGGTCCCACGTCGCAAAGTACAGGAAGTTCTCGGGTCCTCCTTTTGGTTGGCGTTGTGCTGTAACACGACAGAGCATGACGCCTTAGTAGTAAGACACCAACCTGGCAGATGACCCGTCTAGAAACTGGACGGCTCACTTGAGACGTGACCAGTTAACACGATAACGCCCAAAAACTACCCAGGCTGAATATCGTGTTTAGAGCCTCACTTCACTGCTTGTCATCCTCTAAATCAGGTGTTCTGATAGTGGACAGCTCAGACCTCAAATTTCAGTCAAGAATGTTGAGGCTGTTCTCAGCCCCGTGACATATTTGCGATGGAGTCGCAAGAAAGGGTGCACTGAGTGAAGGAACTCTAATTTCGTACGGCGCGGACCCGGGGCGGAGTTCATGCGATTGTGCATTAATCTAGACATCTAAAAGGGGAAAACCTAAAAGAAGCCAGCTCGATTGCAAGAAGTCGGGGACACTCGTTCGCAATAAAAGACATTGACGGTCTTCGTAGGCTGCCAACCTATGATGCCCATCATGACCCTTGACAACGTCATTTCTAACTAAGTAGTTTTTCTAAACCTTCTATATGCACCATGGGTAGTTCAATCCTGCGTAAGCCGTCTTATCGGTTCGGTGCCCCTTCGCCTGGGGTCCCTTGAATTCCACCAGCTCCCCCTCATCGTCCCAGCTCCCCTTTAACTTGTGACGTTAGCCATGATTCTGACTTGTTGTGCCACGAGGTCGCCAGCCGCCCTCGCCTCGCTCCACAGGGTTCGCGGTTGAACGGACAAAACACGGTCGACGCAACGGATACACACAATCATTTTCGAACTGTAAGTCTCCAACATCTGTACCTTTGGAGAACCGAAGAACGTGCCCTCGACAATGGAGTCCGAGCCCGAATGGGCATCTTACACCCTGAATGTGGATAACCTGAAAAGCCTAGACTTGCACGCGGCGAAGAGGAATTCTACCTCGCACGATCCGCTTGTATCAAACTCCAAGGCGTCGAAGCACTCGAACTGATGCGCGCTCCGATGGATGAGATGTTCGTCAGTGGAGGTCCGTCGTATCACATTAAACCTCGCCCATCTTGACGAGGTGGTACACACGTCGACGAGCCTGCTGATGGACCCTTAAGAGGTGCGAGTTGGGCGTGTTTATCATCCCGTGAGGCCTTCGGTTTGCAGGCAGATTCAGGATCCTGGTGGGAGGAAATGGAGGTTTGAGTATATCAGCGAGCGTGAGGATATAATGGAACTCAAAGATTTGTTGGGACCGATGGGCATTTGATGCATGGGGTGGAAAACTTTCTGAGATTGGGTGATTGTAGATATGTCTACACGTTGCTATGTCTTCCTTCGACACGTTTCCGCCAACCTGTGTGCGACTTCGTGCGGATGTACACCGGACCTTGTGGGGCTCAGGAATCATTATTAGTAAGACTTGCTCTGCCAAATCTTTCGTTTTCCTGATCTTGATGCGACTGTGGCGATGTCAGTTGATCCACTGTATATTGGGTACAGCAGGTAACCCTACGATGCGTTGTCCTTTTCCCCTCTAAACCCCAGGACAAGTTGAGTTGGCAGGGCTTGCCAGTGGTGATGATGGGTGAGCACCAGCAGTCAGAGAGGCTGAGGTAGCCCTATTGACAGTCCGCTGTCGTGTTTCAGATGCGAACCGGATCGAAATCGTCAATGTACTCCAGAGTGATGTAAACGCAGTCACCTTTGCAGACGAAAGTCAGGTCATAGGAGGATATGCCAACAGTGAAATTCGTCGATGGAACATTGAAGACGGACAACAACGGGGCCTAGCCATGAAAGCGAATGGTGCTATCAATTGTATTCTCGTTTCCCAGGATGGTCGGTGGATGGTGTCTGGGGACCGCGGAAAGAAGGCCATCGTCTGGAATGCGGTCACTCATGAACAAGTGCGCGAGTTCACAGAAAACGTCGCCGATATAACAGGGATCGATATCTCGAGCGACTGTACTAAATTTGTATCTGCGGACTTGAAGAATGTCAAGCTATTCAGCATCACCTCCGGTGAACGACTCCATGCTCCCCTCCCACACGATCGGGTTGCTAGTGTCAAGTTCTCCCCCGACAGCAGTCGACTTGCTACCGCCTCGGAGCATTACGGTTTCCGTGTCTACAGTACCCACGACGGCAATATCTTGTTCGATTCAGGTCGAAACGGCTCAACGGGTTCATGGTCGAGAACTCGTTTGGCTTGGTCATCTGATGGCCAGCAGCTGTTCATCGTAAACAAAGGCCAAATCATTTGTTTCAACCTTTCTAAGTCTTCAACTTCAGAATGGTTGATCCATGAAAACCAATCTCTGGTGTATGCAGCATCCAACGGCAGGTTCATTGCGTGTGCTGCAGGCTCATCAGTTTCACTATGGGATTGTGTATCGCACAAGCAGATCAAAAGCCTTATCACACACACCTCACAAGTCACATGTGTTGCTCTCTCACCGAGCGGGAGGTATCTCGCATGTGGACACGGCAGGAATATCACAATTCACAATCTCAGAAATGTTCTTCCCCCCGAGTATTTCAACAGGCGGTGTAAGAGTACATTCACTAATTGAGCTCAGTTGGATCGCTAACAATCAATACACTACATAATTCATCAATCTGTCGGCAACTCCACGTTTCTTAGGTTCCGCTCATACAGGTGGGCGGTGATACCCTCAGGTCATGGACGCAGAACGACCCGATGAATACCGAAAGGCTGCTTTTAAAGGAGATCACGAGCGCTTCAAGTCCTAGTCACCACCTGCTGGCAAGCCGCTCTCTTATAAGGATGCGTTTGAGATACTTGGCACTTGCAATTAAGGACGCCAACGAGGTGAGGCCGCTTTCTTACCATTCCATGCACATTTTCACTCACGTGCGCCTTAAGTCCCTCCGGATTCAGCCATCACCTATCGGTCATATCGCGTTGGCGATTGCTCTACTTGGCCAGGGCGATCGAGAGGGTGCACTATGCACATTTGACCATGCCTTCCATGACTGTGAACCACATGACAATAAATTTCTTCTATTACTGAAGGTGCGCGAGATGATCTAGATCATTCTCACAATTAATCTGCGTTCCAATCAGTTTATCCTCGTATATGAATCTGGAAATCAGGAAGAGGCGATATTGCACGTAGAATATCTTACTACGAGGGCGAACGAGTATAACGATGATAAGGCCACCTACCTTTACACCCAGGCATGTGCCTCACGTAATACAGACGTGTATCGCCACTGATGCATTCTGCAGGTCCTTGGAGTTATGTACCTCAAGAAGGGAAATTACGGACGTGCGATACCATTGATCGAGCGTGCAAAGAACCTAGCCCCAAAGCATGATCAATGTTCTCCGCTGGTGACGATCTCGCTCGTATGTCTTCTGCCATCACTACCACTACCTATTAATCTAAGCCTCCATAAAGATATTTGGGTGGGATTTCAGTGCACTGGACTTCGTTCCACAGCGACGTTTATGTGAAACTCTTTATGCTGAGGGGCGCACAACTGAAGCCGTAGGGGTCTTCGTCAGCATGATTAGGACTTCAGATACGGCGATGCAGGCAAACCAGGCAACTGCAGATTGGGCCGCAGGTATGTGTTGTACCCACTAATCTGATTAACGAGCACATTCATGTCCGTCATCAGAGTTCACCCAAAGATGTGCCGTAGTGCTTGAGCGCGTTGGCGATGAAGCCCTCAGATCTGCAAGATATGATGATGCAATTACACAGTACTCTGCTATGCTATCCCTCAGTCCTCCAAGTCCTGCAGGTCTGTTTATCAAACGGAGCAGAGCTCGAGCAGCTAAAGCGTTGTGGGAGGATGCACTGCAGGATGCGAATGAGGTATGCACAGTATCCTTCTTGTATGGGTTGGTTCCCTAAAATAGTCATGTAGGCAATAACAGCAGACTCCTCTAGCCCTTGGGGCTATGAGGCCAAACATGCCGCGCTTCATGGGGCGAAATGGTATGATGAAGCAATCGATGCCTTCGAGTCTATGTTGCGAGTAATCGAGCAGTCCGATGATCCCGAAATCAGGAGTATGTACCTTTTCTATGAATCTAATGCCTATAAATGACGGTCCCGCAGGATTACGCAAGAACCACATTTCTCCTTCGAAGATAATTGCCGCTATTGATCCTGCTGTTCGTGAGATCCTAAAAAGTCGTCCTCTCATCCTCATCAACGTCAACACTGGCTGCCTTTGTGATGGCCCTGAGCAGATGCGTATCTTCAAGGCTAGTCCGACATGTAAAGAGCTCGTTTCATCTATGACGAAAGAAGTGGACAACGAGCGGATCCTACGAGTGGTTGCAAGGTTTTTCGGATATGTCATGTTCTCTCATACATGGCAGGGAAAGGAGCCTTCATTCCAGGACGTCAACACGGTCAAATCTGTGCGGAAACTCCCTGGCACGCCGCTGAACGAAAAGTTGCGCAATTTCTGCAAGGAAACACGTAGACTTGGTCATAATTGGGCATGGTCGGACACATGTTGTATCGACAAGTCCATGAACTCCGTCCTCGATCAGTCTCTCAAATCTATGTACAAATGGTATGGAAATTCGGCGGCCACCCTCGTATTCCTTGCCAATGTAACACATCCGTCCAAGCCCGGGGACCTCAGGTGCAGTTTATGGATGACCCGAGCATGGACTTTACAAGAGCTTCTCTCGCCACGAGTCATCTTTTTCTATGACTCTGAGTGGAGACCATACCTCGGCGATACTGGCGCGAACCACAAGGAATCCCCAGAGATTATGCAAGAACTAGCAGATGCTATCAAGATCCCCCGCGAAACCATCGTCACGTTCTCTCCAGATAATCTTGCGGTGCGCGAGAAACTTCGTCTCGCTTCGACTCGCATTGCAACAGTCGAGGAAGACGTCGCATACTCTCTCATCGGCATATTCAAGTCGGATATCGTGCCCCACTATGGGGAAGGGGCCGACGCTGTAGGACGTCTCTTGGAGGAGATCGTGGCCCGCACCGGCGAGGTCGCCGTGCTTGCGTGGTCAGGAAAGTCATCATCATACAACAGTTGTCTCCCAGCTTCCGTTTCCGTTTACAGCCAAACTTCTCACAACCCTCCATCACTCAAAGGGGAAGAAATGGAAATTTACATCACGAGGTTACGCAGCAAGTTGCCTCAGCGGGAAGCCCTGAGCATCTATAACCAGATCAACCCCCTTCCACCTGCCCGTTTTGAGAGCCGACGCCTACATCTTCCATGCATCGTCTTCTCTGTTGGAAGCCTCCGTATACAGGAACTACGTGAAGGCAATGAGAAACTATATCGCGCCATGGTATCGGGACTTGGAAAGGTGGAGTTCACGACGGCAGATGATCTCCCGCTGCGCGAGTCACACAAATTTGTCTTCGCACATCCGTGGATTCATTATATCCGCCGCCAGAGTAATGGGGTTTCTCTGGGAAGTGACTCAGAGTCTGACACTAGCTTTGACTCGGATTGGGATGGCGATATCAGACCCGATGAAGTTGTGTTATCGCACACTGTCTCCGCGTCTCAGGTTGACGACTATACCCGAGCACTACAGATGATTGCTCGCCTCGGACAGCCGTTCAACGCTTTGCTTCTCCTACAGCAGCCGAATGGAGAGTACAAGAGGGTTGCTACAGAGAACGAGATTGTCGTCTCGGGACTCGGAACCAACGTCACTCCCGAGAACGTTCGGGCGACAGTCCTGGAAATCCTTTGACATCTGTGGGGAAGTTGGGCTCAGCTGCTGGTGTCGCCCTTCATCCGCTATTTTTCTTTTTGTATTTCTGTGCTGTTCTCGTTTGTTTGTTTGTTACACGGAGATGGAGCCTCAAGAGACTCGAGGCTGAGTTGGAGATTTGTTCATACTTACGTTCCATGGACAACGAGAGCCTCCGTAACTTCTCCTTCCATTATTGCTTGTACTTGTGCATACGTCCTGGTGTAGTACCCCTAACAACCTGCGTACCCGTCACATAATTCTTGCGTAGTATCATGGAACTGATGGAGTGGTTTTCACGGAGGGTTTTGGCGGAGTGCCGTCCAGTTATTAGTTTGCCAACGCGGTGCAAATGATTGAATCGCACTGCAGGGCCCCAAGCTTTGGACGGTAAATAATGATTATGAGTTGGATCACTCAGAACTGCAACAGGTTGGCTCTGAGACTTGGACTCATGTATCACAATAGACCGCGCAGCCGTTAGGCTTCGGATATGCGATACGAGGCAGTAACCAATAGTGGCTGTCACAGAAAACCCAAGGAGAATGCTGGCAACGATCACTAGGACTTTCAGAGAGGCGAGACATAAAATTACACCATTATAAAACGGGACAGACATCGGATTAGGGTGGTAGGCCGTGTAGGTCTATCATCGTGCCGGTGCGGGGTGATCGTAAGACTACAAGAGTGTGGCTCTCACGTTCCTCCGAGTCATCCCCTGCAAAAGCCCTCGAACTTCTGATATGCAGGACAAGATGACATCCGAAGACTGCAGTTATGGCAGACCCCAACCTCGGCACCGCGACTATCCATTGAGTCTGATGGAGATATCAGACATCTCTACACTTAAGAGAGCGGCAAGGACGTACAGGGAGTAACAATGACACCACCACATAGGCAATGAAATAGAGTAGGGTTCTGCAAGTGCCGGTTACTTGATCCGCTCACAGAACACGAAGTTAGTACCTACCCAAGGAAGTAAATTACATTTCCACCTATAAGAATCGTCCTCAAATCCTTCATTTTGTTCAAGTTCACCGGAAGGGGAGCATGTTCCTCCTTGTAACGTCGAATGGCTGCATAGACTGCGAGGGCAAATAACAAGCATTCATAAGCCGCGACAGCAGCATAATTGATGTAGATGTTAGTGGCTACAGTAGGATAAGCCATGATATGGTTAGTAACGTTGATCACTTTGCTGACTGCACTTGAGTATCAGTCTACACCCGACATTGAATTGGGGTCAAAACTCACCTTCAAAATTGGTGATTTGTACCATGCAGGTGATCGTGACAATGATTTCGGCAACAAACCCCAAGAGTCCGGCGAGGAGAATCTTCTTTGAGCCATGATAAAGGGCATACAACCGCATTTGGAGAATTACTGAAAGAATGAGGTGATTGCATTAACTATATGAATAGAGGCGTACTTTGCACAAGCCAAATCAACACGCAGCTAAACCAGCTCTCGAGAACGGGGAGAAATGCTGGAACTATCCCAGAGTCAGTTTGGAAAGAAATTGCCCTAAAGGACGAGGTTACAACTATTCGTCATGGTAGGAGATATACAGGTCATCCTTGAGAACACATGCACAAATAGAAGGTACGTACAACTGTACAATCTTATTAGTGGATGCTGGTTAATGATCCAATGTACTTGCCTGTCCCGAGGAGGGGGAGCTCTTATCCACAATATAAACTGGTGACCGTGAGGAGCGCACAGGACTTGGCTGTATTCCACGACTTACTGGCCGTCGAAAATCTGTAATGAAGGTTGAGTACTGCTGCATGCGTGCATGCCAAAGGACATACAAAATGAGCGCGGTCCCAATGTACCGAGTCTGTCGTACTGCACTGAGAAATGCTAAAATCGAGACTTTAACGCATTTTGGGCTCACGATGAGATATATAGCTGAAGCGACTGACATGCGCCTACTCTGATGATGTGTTAGGATACAGTCAAGTGACCAGAAAGGTGAGTTACCCAAATACAGTCGACCTTCCATGAATGGGCTGCAATGAATGGCCAGTGGTATTGGATGGCAATGCAATAGGACTAGTACCTCTTCCTCCAAAGTAAGGACTGGTCATAAAGATCAGGTTTGAAGTGCCGCGGGGAAGCAGAAGGCTCACCATAGTCGTACAGCATAATGGCGGATGGTACCACTATAACGTACGTATCGGTGCTGACGTCTGGGACTCAGGTAACTCTGATGATTTACCTTCTAGAAATTTGATTGTTATGGTCGTCCACAAGATTGGTGCGACCATGACTAGAAGGTGGGGCGAAGTGGAGCGTCGAGTTAAACAGGCGTCTGATCAGCCTGGTATATATACCATGCACCATGCCTTAGATCATGGCTTTAATCTTCCTCGCCATCTTACGCGAAGTTGACACGCGTCCTCAAGGTTGACTAAATTGAGCTTCCCACATCAGTTTATCAATGGCGCCTGTTGCGAAGATATGGGCAAGGGAAATCTCACGTTCTCAGTAGTGTCCCCACTAAAACACTGCAATTCTGCGGACTTTGATCGACAATACCAGGGCTGTGAGCAGAGTATGCGGAAACTGTCGAAGCACAGTCAACTGCAGGGCACACGTACGACTTTGGATAGCGGCATTTTGCGGTTTGTGAAACGGCCCCACTTTCCGGGACTCGAGCACAGGATATCTTCTTCGCTTTGGTAAATGCAGAATCTCCACATACAAATATTTACAAAGGACAACCATGTGATATGAAGAATACTGAAGAAAGGCTTAGTATGATTATCATTATGATCACTGGCGGCCAACTTACCTTAGGCTGAAAGCGGTATTCATGAGCCGAAAGTGCGGGCAACGCTATCTACTTGTGACCGCGAAGATAATATCAATGCTGGTGACTTCTGGAAAGCATATAAGCCTACAATGCAGTCGTCGAGGGAGGATTCGCGGGCGCAATTGCTCCGGGGTACGAGCTTCAAGCCGTTAGCATTGGTTGGGTGAACCGCCAGTTTTGTTGTCGAAATTAAACGTTTCCACTAGAAGCGTTCTGAAACCAAACTTAAGCGAGGCGTTGCGCCTCTGATATCATGCCCATGGGCTTCCAGATAAGTCCTTCCTGTTATTATTGGTATAGTCAAAAACCAGAACTATCAGTCTATCAAAGCTTACCACCTAAGTGGTGGGAATGCTGATTACATAACGCTGAAGGGTTTGCCTCAGCTTATCTAATCCCATTCCCGCTCCTGACCACCACGATGTCGAGCAGAGCGGGTGGTTTGTATGGCGGCATCCAGTTTTCGTCAGGCGTAACGCTCAACTTTTCTTCGTCCGTCCCAACACCTGCCCAACCTTCAAAGTCACCAGAACACACTCTAACACCCGCAGTCAACACAACCGAACAGACGGGAAATGTACAACCCAGCACATGCAAAACAGAACGAGGAAAAGCTGGCTCCGAGGGATCGGGAGGAGGAGGAGTAGCGGGGGAACCAGCGTCAAAGTTGGGGTCTGGGTCAAAAGCTACAGCCGGTATCTCTCCATCCCCGTAACTTGCTCGTGACTCGCCCAATATTGACCGTTGTATCCATCATTCGTACCTCCCTCCATCTGCACTCTCCCAACGCCCGTCGTATTCACAGGATGGTCTGCTGCACTCGCTTTTGCACCAAGAAGGACAGCACAGAAGCCCAAACCACCCGCACCCGTTCAACGTCTGCCCGTCGGCGCCACCACGGTAGCCGCCACCCCTGCAACGATACCTGGCGTACCTCCCCCACCTATCAACAGCTCTTCGTCGTCCACAGTTTCTGCGACCGCTGTCATATACGCCCCTCCAGAACTCATCACCCCCAACACTGATCAAGCAGAGGACAAAGAAGACGCAGCCAGCGCGGCAGGGTGGCGCAAGAAGGAAGGATGGGGCAAAAAAGTAAAACCACCATCGATGGTACTTGACGAGGATATCAACGGATTCAGAACACAACAGAGGCAACGGAGAGGAGGGGGCGGTAAGAAAGGGAAAAAGGTCCGTCGATGCGTTTTCCTGTTATTCGACCAAGTTAACGCGTTATCAGAACAAGAATGCCCAGCCGATCGCGATGTGGGATCCTTATGAACAGTACGATCCACTCAGGCCGAACGACTATAACGAGTATAAGATATGGAAACAACGGGAGCGGGTCGACAGAGCGACAGAGCGAGCTGCCGAACGAAAGCGCGCCCGCGATGCCCGGGACAGAGGTAGTGATTATACAGACAGCGGCAGCGAAGATGATCGACCCAGGAAATCCGGTTTGTTATGGCCTGATTTTGCATGTCGGCGAATATTGACATATAATCTACTTTAGGGAGATTCGACGACAACGACACCTTTGACCACTGGTCTCGTGCGGACGACGACCGTCTGCGTGGTCCCAGCGTCCACGAACCGCTTTCAGCGCCTGTGGACCGTAACATGTCTGGTGATGATGCGTATATGCGCCGTCTCGCGATGTCGCAGGGCACCTCAGCTACTAGCGCGCCTTCGCCTCCTCCGGCACCCGCGGATCGAAATTTGTCAGGCGAGGAAGCATACCTTCGCCGTCTGGTGTTGTCAACTCGGGGTAAAGCTGTGCGACGCAGTCCAGAACTGGCAGCTACAGCATCAAACACGGTGAACATGGAGGAGGAGCACGACGAAGATGCGATCCCTGGTCTTGGGATGACTTCGAAAATGGACGCGGACGCCGACGTTCCTGGGGCGACCGATGGTCCCACTGCATCACCTTTTCGAGCTGAAACAGGCGACGAGGCCTACCAACGGCGTCTTACCATGTCCCGTGGCTTGCAGCCGACTGCACCCCCGTTCCAACCCTCTTTTCAATCCTCTGTTCAGGCCGCGCCGTCTCCTCCAGTCCAATCGCCTCCACCACCTTCCCCTCCTCGCATGGCCTACAACCCATTTACACCACCCTCAAGTGTCCCACCGCCACCCGCATCCAGCCAACAACCACAAAGGCCAAGCGGTTTCGAGGACAAGATCAAGCAAGCTGCTAGCATTGCTGCTAAGTTAAGTGCCCTTGCGCCACCTGCGAGTCTGAGCACCAGTGCGGATGGCAGCGCCAACGGGACGCCCGAGCCGGCTGCTGCTTCCAGTGCTACCACTGAACATGGCGGGGCGAAAGGGTAAGCCAGGCTCAAAGTCACAACGTAAGCGACTTTGACCTAAAATTACATCATAGACCTGGCCCACATGGTTTTGCTGCTCGCCTGATGGCAAAGTGGGGTCACAAAGAAGGGCAAGGGCTTGGTGCTGATGGGTCTGGCATCGTCAACGCCCTTACCGTAGAACAGATCGCCGCTCAAGGTAAAAACAAGAAAGGTCAAGCTCAGAGTGGGAAAGGCGGCACATCTATTGGGTCGAAAATGGGAAGAATTATCAACGACAATGAAGACGCCAGAGCCAAGGAGGACAAGGCCAGGTTCGGAGAACCTAGTCGGGTGGTCGTCCTCACGAATATGGTGGATCCAGAGGACCTGGACGACGGTGAACTTAGGAATGACATTGGTTAGGTTTCTTTGCGGCCTGTACGATGTTTAAATCCTAAAGTTAAATTCTTTCACAGGCGCAGAGTGCTCTAAGAATGGCACTGTCGAGCGCGTGATACTCCATCCTGCATTCCCACCTCCGGAAAATCCTGAAGAGGCGGTGCGCGTGTTTGTCGTGTTCGCTGGACCCTCTGGGGCGTGGAAGACAGTGCGAGAGATGGAAGGGAGGTACTTTGGAGGACGTCTGGTGAGGGCGAGGTATTATCCTGAGACCGCATATAGCCAGCATAATCTGGACGCTCCGCTTCGGTGATTTTCTACTATCTATTGGTTTGACTTCTTATTTTCGTCGTATTTTCAATGTGATGCAGGTTTCTCCCCTCAGCGTTGCGACTGTTCCATATAACAATGCATGTGCAAGAGCCGAAAAAAAGACCTAGCGCTAGACAAATATTGGTATATCACACAAGATGTTACAATCGTATCCCCCAGATCCACTACTTTTCCTATCCTACAAGCAAGAGGAAATCGGTGTATGAAAAATCGCTTTACTGGTTGAAACCAAGGGATTCCTTTCCTGCCTTCGTTGCTTGGTGATCGCCAGTGGCGACGCCGTAAACAATGTTGGCCGCGCCTTCAGCGGCAGTTGCGAGACGTTCTTTTAGGCCTTGCCCCTGCGTAGGGATCGACCGACCCATCGTTCTCCCACGTCCTGCTTCTGGATCATAAGGGACGCCATCCGTGATTTAACATGGTGTGATATTACACAAAGGATCGGCTTACCACCTTCCTTGTATTCCTCATCCAGAGGTTCGATGTGGGACGATTCGATGATACCCGGGTAACCCTCGACGACCCCCGCTGATGCTCTGCGGGTATGCATCGCATCTCTCTGGGCGTGCTTTATATCATCTCTGTGACCCTTTAAATGTGCGCCTGTACCAGTCCCCTTCTCCCCAAAAGTAGGTTCAGGAACCTTGGACGGGTTCGTTAAAACAAGGTCCTTGATGGCGACAAGGAAGTTCGATGGAAGGGACTCTCATACCTTAGGGTTTGAGGTCGAACCAGGGTATATACTTGCCGCCTTGCTCGCACCATTATCGCGTTCGTTCAGTGCCATTGTCTGTTTCTCTCGTGGGATGTTTTCTTGGTCCGAAGGCGACAGCGCCCAGGTTTATAAACTTTTGTAACCATGACGCAGGCCGGCGCGGGGCTCGACGTCATCGAGTGGCCACGGGAGCATAGGGTTGACAGGTCTCACTTCTCCAAAGTCAGATGATGAGTCGATCAAAATGGCGTCAAACTGCGGTCCAAGACACATCCAAATAAGCTAGCTAACTCGTAGAGTATCATAGCCCCCCTTTGCTATGACTTGCGTTTGCCAGCCGTCTTCACCTTTTTGCCTTCCTTCCCAACCACGGTGACACCCTTCCCAGACTTAACCAAACTTTTCAGCGCTGCATCTTTCTGCTGTTTTACACCCTTCTTTTTGGCAAACTTGTCGACGCTCTTTTCAAGCAAGTCACGTTCCTTCTTCCTCGCCTTGCGTTGTTTCGTTCGCAAGGCACGCTTCTCGGCCGGCGTGAGCTCACTCTGTACGCGAGGATCCGATGAAGCAGGCGCAAATATCTCCTCGGGAGCGAGCGTGCTCGATACGGACTTGTTGGTCGGTAGGGCAGACTCCAAAGTCGCAGCGGCGACGTCAGTTACAGTAGATATTGTTGCCTTTGGCTAGTTGTGAAAGGTTAGCCACCAACCGAAAAAATGTTCAACGCCACCGCGCACCTGCTTGGGGACGTAGTGCGCATTGCACAAAGCATCGAGTTTGTTACATATGCCGTCCCACAACTTGGTGATTTCCTCGTGTTCCTTGCTCAGCTTCGCGTCCCTGTCATTGGCAGCGGTACCTGCTTGAGCCGCCATATAGTCATTTTCATAAATCTGTGCGAGCGACTGTTGGGACTTGGTATCTTGCAGCTCAAACAAGCGAGACGGCAAGAATGCTTTGTCGTCCAAAGGCCGTCGGCGAACAACATCATCGAATAGGCCCTCTTTGATGCGTGCCTTGATGCGTTCCTCGAGCCCCGCCACCACCTCCTCAGTGACGATGGGCACAGATTTAGGCTATTCGATCAAATTCCAGATCTTCTTGGAGCAGTGAGTCGCGTGGGCGGCTCTTAGAAGATGCCTCTCCCATGAGTACCCAGTCCTTTTTGGCGACGTTCTCGGCCTCGAGTTGCTCGATTTGTTCCCGAAGTGCAGCCATTCGACGCTCGTGGGTGGTCATGTCCGAGTCTGCGTAGGAGTATGAGCGTCGTTGGTAGATCTTGCAAATCACATTACCCGCCTTTTTGCTGTTCCTCGTCCTCCGCGAAGAGGTCGTCCTTCATTCTCTCAATAGCCAACCTAGTACCATCCTCTGTTTGCACATCCTCTTCTTCCTCATCTTCTTCCCCTTCTTCCTCGTCCTCATCCTCATCTCCTTCCTCAGTCCTCTCCTTCCTCGTCATCTGACACTTCTACATACATTTCTTCGTCGTTGCTGTCATCATCCTCCGGCACAAAATCTTCGTCATCTTCGTCGTCTTCCTCGTACATCATAGCTGACACGGGAAGCCCCTTACCCCGTGCTTTGATTTTCTTAACCTTGACTTGATCGTGGAACCGGACCTTTGACGGTTTGGATGTGCTTGTTGTTCGACGCAAGTTCGATGATCTCGGAACATCGAAGAAGTCCTTATAGAAGTAGTCTAACCCACTTGTCAGGGCAACCGGGCACGGATTCCACACAATACATACCTTCTTCCAGGTCCTCCTCGTCCACAGCATCATCCACCGCCTCGAATAAGTCGACATCCGACTCGGTGCCTGAGTCGTCTGAATCTGAATCACGATGTAATCGCCCTTTTGAAACAGATTTTGCCTCCGCTTGGTCTGTTTCCTGCGTTGAACTCGTGGAGATTGAAGAAGCCATCGTCGAGCTCGGAACGTGTTCCTGCCTTCGACGCGGTAGGCTTTTTGCGGATGACGTCAAACATTGAAGACGGCCGGTCTTCATCCTCCTCCTCCTCTTCTGAAGACTCCTCCTGAAGTTCGGCGACGTCCTCCTCGCCTGGTAGTGAACTGTCGTCCTCTTCACCGTCGTCCCCCGACTCTTCCAGAGAATCCTCTTCTTCTTCGTCGCTTTCTTCTTCGTCGAACTCACTCTTTCCATCTTCGTTTTCATCCTCCATCTCCATCCTCCCCATCTCCTTCTAATATCTGCAAGTGTTCGCACACCCTAGCCCCTCTCAGATCCAACTGTTCCCAAATTTGTTCTATTGACATCCTGTCAACGAATAGCGACGGTATTGGTGTTTCCAGTTGTGATACTCTGTTCTTTTTCTTCTGAGGCTCATCAGGTAGGGCATGACTGCTTTTCCGCTTGGCAGCGGAACGCGTCTGGGGTGGTTTCGACATCCGTTAGGGTATTGAGGAGGCGTGCTATGTGTGGCCAAGATGCAGGTTCCGTTTGCACCGCTGTACCGCACCTTTGTATCAGAGCCTGGCGCTGCACAGATATCTAGATTGTGCTTACCCCAATCGAATACATATTTCGTGGCTCGGAGTGCAAGGCCTTGAAGCTCGCTGTTTTCATGGGCCAGACTTTCTGGCTGCGTGTCGATGAAAACAGACAAATCCTGGAGGGGAGGAGGCAATGGTGCAATTTGTTCGCCCGCCATGGCATATTACCGACTGACCGACTCCGGGTTGCTGTACAAAAATGTCGGCGATCACGTGATGCCATGGCTGCGGGCCGTTCCGCTGTGTCTGAATCAGACTGCCATATGCTTAACCGTTACGCCAAAATGCAGTAGTACTGAAAGTACTAAAGGTCGGCTCTTCATGACTCAGGTAAGTGTTCTACGCAGGTGACAGCCTTGTCATAGCCTGTCGCCATCCAGTTCAGACGGTTCACTGAAACCAGGTATCCGCTTCAGGGGCCAGGCTCTTTGTATCACTTGTGGATATCGTAACCACGTGTTCCCAGGTGGCGCCGATCTCGAGATAACTTACATCCTGCGATCTGACGAATGGAAACCAGAAACTTCCGCCATCGGGGCGCGATTGCAGACGCCTTCGTCAGCGCCGAGCTCTTACAGGTGCGTTTACTCCCGAGAAAGGTTAGCTAAGGTAAGCTATGGAACTCCACGGATAGATGTGGATAGGCAGGTCGATACACCGACGAAGAGTCCGCTTTTCGTCGGTACGAACTCCTCAGAATCCACTCTGTCTCATATCCTTCGGCTGGCCAACATATGGGTCGGGTCAACCCCTGTCGATTGCGCAAGTGTACACTGACATTTTATTGGTCGGAGTGAAGCTGACGGGTGCCCACGTGGTCTTTGGAGGTCTGACACTTCCGCAACAGGACGCCAGTCCGCCGAGCACAGCACACCATACGATCACTGTGTCGTCGTGATAGTGCCCTGGTACTTCCCAGCTGTGGTGCCTGACGTCCGATATTGTCAGTCACTGGTCTCTTGTAAAAGGAAATGGCGTAAGGATTAGTGACTAGTAGAAGCTTGTCGACTACCCACTTCGAACTGTGCATTGCAACCGCAACGCAGATCGACCTTTTTCATGCAAACAAATGTTGTGGCATAAGTACGTTAGCACACTTTACAATGGATTTTGCACTTTACAACCCGTTCCCGGCGAAAATTTCCCACTTTTCGTTAGCTAAGAGCATAGATAAATATGTGTAGGACGTGAACAGAGTTCCTCAGCACCCTCCCAAGCCATCCAACCCAAGCCACGACAGTGTGATGCCCGGCAGGGCCCACCCAAACGCTCGACCCCCTTCCCCGCTCACCCGCCTGAGGGCGGCATTTCCTTTTAAGGAAGTTCCCACGGCATCGCCACCTGCCAATTTTTCGTGCTAAGTCACGCCCTAAAATACTGCGGGGTCTCTGCGAAAGCATTAATGCTGTTGTCGCCAGTCCGGCACCTCATAGAGCCTCTGCGAACTAAGTTGCCAACTGGCCGTGTGGCGAAATGGCATCGCGTCTGACTACGACTGAAAGCAGTTCATCAGGAGATTGTAGGTTCGAGCCCTATCTCGGTCACTTTTTTTCGAAGCGCCTTTGCTTACCGGTTGTGCGATGAATGGATCTACATACTGCAGTGATAGACAAGTGGTAGATGATGAATTGATTTACACCAACCCAGAACTGTCCAATACGCTTCTGGAAACTACACTACCGCTAATAGGACAGTTGACAGTCGTTGGAGGCTGCCTAGTCTCAATGTAAGCAGCAATCCCCTACGTGGTTTTCACTTGCCAAACTATCTTACCATAAGGCGTTGCAGATGTACCCTCTTTCCCTCCAGGTTCTACCCAAAAAGCAGCCTCGTAGACACCGGGTCCCCGTTCGGCAACGTACGCTTCTTCGTCCTCGTCCACCGGCGCGCTCAAAATTAAGCGTGGCCTTAGTACCCCCAATCCGGAATGTGGGGTCTCCAGGGACCATGTATAACCCGACGACGAGTGCTCAACTGGGGGATCTCCAACTACTGATGTCAGTTGTGACGATTGAGCACCCAGTGACTCGGCCATCGTGAGTATCCAGACGTGTGAAATTCCAAGTACTCCAGATGGATGAAACTTGTCGACTACCCATTCGAACTGTGCATTGCAGATCGACCTTTTTCATGCAAACAAATGTTGTGGCATAAGCCACGCCCTAAAACACTGCGGGGTCTCGCGAGAGAACACGGAAAAAAGTAACTCGGATACGGGGAATCGAACCCCGAGCTGCCGCGTATCCCCCACAGTGAGAGGCGGCAATGTTAGCCGTTACACCATATCCGACACTCATGGTTAGTTTCCGAAAATCCTAATAGTACGACTAGCAGTTAGTTCACCCGGTCGAGCATAAGTGGAACAACTTGTAAGTTTTCATATGCCACTACCGAGATATGTCGGATATGGTGTAACGGCTAACATTGCCGCCTCTCACTGTGAGGGATACGCGGCAGCTCGGGGTTCGATTCCCCGTATCCGAGTCTTTTTATTTTCCCCTACCAATTCGCAGGTCGACGCATCAACAAGGACGAACTTAGGCTTGTTGAAATACAATCACTTTGATGATAATTATCAGAGTCGCTTACGCTCAGCCTCAACTTCACAGGGTGAGATAGAACATAGGTCTCATGATATTGCGAAAAGGTATAAACACAAATGTCACAGCCCAACGGCGGCACTGCAACCTGTTAAAAAAATTGGCAGTCACGAAAAGTCCAGGTCCTGTGCGGTGTAACAAGTACTCATGGAAGAAAGATGAGCTGCGCACGAGGACGCGGGAAGGGAGGAGCTAACGCAAGAGGACATAAATAGGTGTTAGGTTGTCACAAATGCATTGTAAATTTGGATGAAAAGATGAACATGTAAGCGACGAAAGGCGGTTGTAGGGAACCGTCCGTTGCGCACATATGATCAAAGATGATAATGAGAAAAGTGAGATGGAGATGCGGAGGCATTAAAACCCCGGCGAGGTCGAAAAAGTGGATCCGGTTGATTGTCGGCTTTAGAAACTGGGGGGAAGGGCGTGGACGGAGGCATTTGATCAAGATGGCTCGGAAGACATTGGCACACATGTGGGTTTCGTTTCCAGCGAGATATCGAAAGAGAGCATGCTCAGCATCGCAACGGCATCTTGGAAACGGGTGTAAGGGAGTGATGAAACGTGGCGATCTTGAACCTCATTGTTAGGCGCACAGCGAAAGATCGCAGATGAAAGGGCAAATGGTTGACGACTTCGAGCGACAACGGTGAAGAGCTCGCTCCAGCGGCTGAACGACAAGTAAGATTGAAAAGAAAACTTCTGATCGACAGCAAGTACTTGAAAGGACGGCAACTGGAAAAGTACGCAGTGCGAGGAGATAGAATGTTGTGAGATACCGTCAGTATACGGCCATGCGGGAGGCATCGAACGTTTCAGCCCGAGTGATGGGCGCGCGTCCTAATTTCTTCGCTTTCATCAAGCCACCTTTGTTAGGAGGTGGGCAAGGGCTGTCCCCAATATCCGTTTCCTCGTCGTCGGTCTGCGTAATGTTCCCGATCTCGGCCAAAGTCGAGAGACCGTTGCGACGGGTGCGAGCAGCATTGGCAGCGGCAAATAACTGCGTGGAGCCAACGGCAGGGGCTGTGTTGCGTTTCACCTGCTGTTGTTGGGCAATTCCCGCGAGTTTCGAGCCCAGGTCTCCATACGCATAGGATTTAGTGCGGCCGAACTTAACTTTACGGAACTGATCCAGGTCTTCTCTGCGCGAGTGCGCGTGGTTCGGATCGTCCATTGTCACATATCCTTGTGGTTGGCATCGTTCGCCAGAGTGTTTGAAGTATTCGCAGTAGCCGCCCTCTAGAATGTAAACTTCCGGGTAGTGAATCTTCGGATACAAATGGTTATTCATTGCACGGTCATGCGAACGGAGGTGCTTGGCACTGCAAAGCGTTAGTTCCAGCCCAAGCGGAGACTAAGGAAAACAAATTATACTTACAAGGTTGGGGCCCTCTTTGCACTAAACTCACAGTGGAAGACGAGGACAGTTTTCTTCGATGAATCCCCGCTAACACATGGCTTTGGCTTGCTGGCGCCAAGGAGGAATTCCTCAACACCTTGTGTAGTGTTAATGTTGACGGCACCGGGAATATGTCCTCCAATATACTCGTAGTCGAAGCGGCAGTCGATAATGAAATACCGCTCGATTCGGTGGTTGTACGCGCCATCCAAGAGTGAATCCAACTTTAGGGTGAGAAGAATATTTGAGTATGAACCATAATGCAAAATACCAAAGCTTACCGTTTGTGGTGCGATGCGCATGAGACCGTCCTCACGCACGCGATGGCATGGCAAGATCTTCCCGATAGTTTCGTTGTCACCAAAACCAGGTAAACCAGCACGCATAAATTTCGCTGAGGGGCTTTCGGCATTGATCCTTTGCACGACAGGCGACATGCCGCTTAAGGGTCTAAGGTCCTCGGCACCGTCTCGCCGGCGAATAGTCTTTACCTGCTGACGCTTAGCATAGGCTTGGGCGGGCGAAGACATGTCAGGTCCATCAAAAGATGACTCGTCAGAGAGATGGTCGAAGGTAGTCGGTGGGAGCATCGCGGATACGGCGCGCCGATTAAGGGGAGGAGCAACCAAGAGGCTCTGGCTAGGAGATCCATCGGAACCCATCGCGGGACACGCGGGTGTGCCCCCGCTCTCAGTGGGACATTCAATAGCGGAGAAAATAGGCCTACGGAGTCTTTTGTTGGCGAGGGATGGAACGCCAAGACCTTGCAAACTTGGTTTAGTAAAGTTGGTAGACGTAGACTCGTTGTTGATCCGTTCAAATTTATGTTCGGACGGCGAGGATGGAGGGGAAGACGAAGCTTCCGCATGACTGACTGCCTCAGGAGACAAGGAAACCCTCTTCTTGGGCTTGTACCTCATCGCCGCGCGAGGGTGACATATTTGTGTAGAATAAGTTGTGGAATTGTGTGACCGTCGGGGTTGCCGATATCGGCGGGGACGGCAACTAGCTCCGCAGGAGGAGCCGAGTCCGACATCCATCGCGTCGTCTGACGCAAGAGAGACAGATACTGAAGGGGGCTATAGGGATGTCATGATAGACGTTCCGGTGACTGGTCGAGATTGAAATATTTTGAACTTACCTGTGTAAACATAATGTCATCCATCGTCTTGGTGGCCTTTAGGGGTTGGGTCGAGGCAAGCCACTCGAACGGTAAAGCACTACGTTGTGTGCGCTTTGCCCCTGAATTAGTGCCGGACTTCGTGTTCAGAGAAGCAGAGTCATTCAGGACTGTTGTTGCTCATATCTTGTCCAAACATCCGCGCTGCGCTGGTGAACGCACGTGGACGCGTGATCGACCTACCACCCTGTTCATTCTCCTTCTGGACCGCTCTAGGCGGTGCGGGCGAAATATCCATCGGTTCACCGTGCATACTCTCTTGTCCGAGGTCGACGTAATCACGTGAGGGAGAGCCTGAGGGACATCGTAGAGGCGAACGACAATTCGAGATCGGAAGAGACCAATTCATCAACAGTCGTCACGGGACTTTCATTTGCTGGCTGCGTTTACACGAGGGTGCGAGAGGAGCGCCGAGATATTGTGAAGAGGCCGAGGAGAGCGTAGAAAAAAAGGTCATGTCGTGCGATGCGTGGCCGTACTCTTGATACCGAATTTTTTGGAATCTCTTGTTGGAATGATATTCTGTGAATCGTTTCATGAAGGCGTCGGACATTGTTGAACGCGTTGCGTCGCGAGTGTTATATACGTCGTACAAGCAGAATAATTGAGGGAATAAGTCAGCGCAGATGGCAGGTGTAGTGTGGTTGTAGTTGCACAAATCGACGCGACAGTTATCCGAAGAAAAGGAAAAACAGTCAGACGTCCTGGTTTAAGAACATGAAGTGGAACAAACGGCGGAAGAAATACTGACCGAAACGTGACCGGAAGCAACTTGGTCGTGACCAGTATGACTATAAACGCAAATGGCAGTGTGACAACTAGATGAATGATATGATCAGTAGGAAATCCAGGGGTTTGAATAAAGAGAGCTTGGTGCAAGGAGAGAGGTGGCTATTGTTCACCCAACACGGTTTGACACCTCGTGGCTGTCGGGTAAACTGCGACCACCCCGGTCCACCATTAAGCACATACATATGAAGAGGGCTCACCTCGAACTTAATGAATGTATGACAGAGGAGGCTGCGCCTGAGAGCGAAGAGTAAGCAGGGACAACTTTTCCAAGTCCACCAGCAGCAATATGGTTCAAGACAATAGTCTCACGAATATTTGAACGAGAAAGGCAAGTGAACTGTGTTGTGGACAATTGTGGGTCCCACAATTACGGCGCCTTGCCAAAACGAGGTGAGCAACGAGCTTCTTTAGGTCGGCTCCCTTGACAACTCACCAGAATAGACGAAGCCAAGTCAAATAACGGGTTAAGATATCAAAAAAACCAAGAAATATATACGAGAGACGCGTTTTCGAGGCAGTACCCTGTCGTTCTGGTTGAAAGAGCACTTGTTTGGACCCCCTTTGGTTCCAGTTGATATTCGTCACGTGCGCCCCTATGTCTGACCAGCGCCAACGCGTCACGTGAGCCCGGTCGGGTGATTAACTACAGGCTCATCTGTGCAACTGTGTCTTAGTAGTCTGCGGGTAGAACGTGCGGTCGCAAGACCATTTGCAGCTTAACAACAAGCCATAATTAACATTCGAAGAACTGTGCCGGGTAGGGTAGGCCTATTTTCCAGCTCCTCTTCGTCACCGCTGCCCACCATCACATGGTGGACTGGCAGAAATGCACAAGGGTTACCAGGTGTGATCACGTCGTCCGTCGCGAAAGTCAAAACTGCAAATCTGAATGTGTATTATCACTCGAGTTACGACACCGAAACTCAATCCTGGAGTCGCACGGACCCACATTGCGAACGCTGCTCAACTTTGAGCGCGCCTAATAATTGATGCATTGGCGATGATTCGATTTGCTGTCTAATCAACGAGCTCTGTCTCAATTGGATCAGTTCTCATTTCTCATCATACGAACGCTTAGGCTGACTGCGCAATCCACCGTTACCAAGCAACTTGTATTGCGAGAATCAGATGTGTAGAGATGCTCTGCGGTTACATGATCGGACGCTTGGGTGTTCCCATCCTTTGTATGTCTTCCATTTGACCAAACACCCTTATCGTGGTAACATCACCATGTTACTCATGTTCTCGTAAATCTATGTCCTTCCTTTCAAAAAATGGTGTTCCGTTGGACCAGTGGGGCATGGCCCTATTCGACTTCGACGTTTGCCCAATACCTGACAAGTCCGGAGTAAAACAATAAAGACAGGCAGATAAAACAGTAAAAACAGAAACGTACGGTGGGAAAACCGTTTCCAACCTGTCGTAGTGAATTTCGGGGTATTTCTCCTCGATGATCTTCATGATCAGATTATAGACCACCTGCATCTCCTGAGCCACGGACCGCTTCCACATGAAAGCGATCATATCTATACCTCGTATCCTGCCTCGTTTAGGTGCAACCCATCGTGAAGGAACTTTTCAAGCGCCCTCTCGTCTCTTCCACTGGCATCCCACATTGCAGCCCATACGTCCGCAACAGGTATGGCAAGTGCAGTTCCTAGTTCATTCACCGCCTCAGCGTAGGATTTGGTTGCGTCAAAGTTACGATCCTGTCTTTGATGAGAGTTTACCGGAGGCGGAGTGATGAGAATGATGCGGGTACTGGGTGAATAGTATGGTGAAGTAGGGGACCTGACCATGTTGACGAGATGCTCAAGATTCTCCCTGTACTGATCCCTCGGCACGTGCTGACGATTGGGGAAGGGTGCGGCATCGTTCGCGCCAAACCAAATGGTGAGTAGCTGTACTTTAGGAACATGGAGTTGCTGGTGCTGCATCGCGAAGATCTGCGCACTACGCATCACTCCTGTAATTAGACGGATGGGATATGCATTACCCACTTGTTCGAACATGGGTATAGCCCACTTTGTCTGGTAGCCGCTAAGCCCACGGTTTATCACGTCCATCTTGCGGGCGTAGTTCTCTAGACAGTGTCCGTCGTCAGGAGGTAAGTTGATATGAAGATCGAGCCTTACCAGCCAGTCGCTGACCAAACCCGCCTGGTACCCAGCCCCCTTGGGTGATCGAATCGCCAAAGAGCATGATAACATCGTGTGTGTTCGCGGCCATGCCCGGCTACGGAGTGGTACGTTCGGGAGAGTGCAAGGAGGAATGGACCTACCTAGTAGATTGATGTAATAGCTAACGCCCGAGCGTCCAAAAATGGGATTATCCGTAGACCTCGGTCCTCAACTATTAGTAGCATGGACGGAGGGACCAATCCCGCTACGAGTGTCGAATAAAAAAGCTTATGTATGGGACGTAGACGGCAAGTACTAGACAAAACAGCCTTGGTACTCACAAATCTGAATATTCTCTCCAGATGTCGCCAAACTGCGTTCTCGCCATGGCATATGTGGCATGCTGACTGGAACGCTCCCGCATCTGTCCCAGCAGAACGTCTTTTTGGGAGTGCCTCTGTTGCTTATGCCAGAGGAAGCGGTCTTCCTCGTCGAGAAGGGTAAGCGTTGGTGGTTTCGTGGATGTATTTTAACTACTAATTTTTTAGGCCTCGCATGTCTCGTTGACGATAAAAACGCTCATCACGATCCAGGCCCCTCGCGCCTTGCCAAGTGGGACAATTCCAGATTAAAGGCCATCGAACGCCAACTCGCCTTAGCGGAGGAAGAACAGGAGGCCAAGGAACACCAATACTCGACGATGACGGAACAAGCTATACGAAAACGAAACGAAAGGGGACGGAAAAAAGCATACGTTGCTTCATTCCCGAATGACAGGTCCTTCTCCTCTACGGAACCACCAGAAAACGCGTTGGCTCACGATAGCGATAACACCACCTCTGACACGCGACGCGGTCAAGATTCATCTGGCACATCCAAAGCTGGCACAGTGGGCGCAACCTTTACGGTGCATGTCGCCGCGCCTTCGTCCCAACTTGACTGGTATCAGCAGTCATCACATTCCTTCACCACACTCGCATCTGCACGAGAAGCTGGTATATGGGACTACCCAAGTACCCCCGAAGAGCGTGCACGATGCGCTGTGTTCCGTGACTTGCGAGGGAAGGGATATTACTTGGGAATCGGGACTAAATTTGGTGGAGACTATTTGATATATCCCGGTGCGTTCGCTTCACATGGTCTTACTCGCTGGACAGTTCCCAGCGATTCGCCGGAGGACACGAGATATTCATGTCCTCCCGTTCAGGTGATCCTCTGCGCTATCACTCGCATTTCGTGGCTTCTGTTATTGCCTCGCCCAGAACGCCCCTACGGCCAATGGAAATTGTGGCCCACGGTCGACTTGGTACCGGCACCAAGAAATCTCACCTTCTGTGCGAATGGAACGAAGAGAACGATATTGTCACATTTTATTCGATTGAATGGGCAAGATTCGGATGATTACCGTGCAAAGTTCGCGGCACGGTCCCGCCTATCTCATTATCATTACATATTGCTGATAAGGAGATAGTAATGTTGACGTGAGGAAAAGAGCCATGGGTACACGAAGCAGTCATGGGGAGATAGGCAAGGATAGAATCCACAGGAGATGCATGCGAAATAAAATGCTGTCAGGAAAGGTCGGTGTTGACAATATTCTAGCCTTGTTTCCGGTGACTGCCCTTCGTTAGACTTGACTGAGTCGTTAAGTATGCCACGAGTAGAAGCCACTGGGGACGTACACGATCGAATGAAGAAGTCACAATAAAACTCCCCTAACTCCAGTAGTTTGTTGGGCTGTCCGTTTGTTGTTACGATCTCCCTGACAAATAGCTTTATATCGCGGGTCAGAAAGTAGTGGAAGAGGTAACCAAGTATTCTACAGTGCATCAAGTCCTTCTCGTATCTTTCCCAGAGTTGGTCGCATGTCGAATCCTCATTTAAGGTCACGGCATAAGTTATAGCTGCTGGTAATCTCGTAATAACAGGGACGCTCTCGTATCCTGGGTGGAAGCATGATGACTCATGCATCATACTAGGTGGTTTCCTGCAAGGGTCGTTACATCGCAAAGTTACTGGATAGTTTTATACTGGGGTGGCAGCCGCGGGCGATCTGTGGCATAGGGGATAAGGAATAGACTCAGTGAATACGCTATTCTGTTCTGGTGACAACGAAAGCTTATGCTCGGGTGATGCAAACGAATCCGATGGGTAATCATTTCCTCGATATGACTTCAGAGGCCGATTGCGCGCACACCACGAACTCCCAGCTCTATTGTGATAACAATTTTTAGTCAGTACTAGTGGTTGTTGGGACAAACTAAGCTCTTGTAACGAGTAACCAAAGCGGTCCAGGTCTGAGTCTGATGAGATATTCGCGCTGGTAGACTCCCCGTAGAGTTCTTCTAGCCTGCCTAAAGATCGCTTGCAATGCTTCATCGGTGTCGACGGCGTGCGCATCAAAGACCCCCGTGACGACACACCGGAAGCCATCCCTGATGAGGAAGCCGCCTGCTTAGAACAGTAAGACACAATAGTATGTTCAGCTAACTAAAGCAGGTGATACGAACCGAGAGGACAGCGAATTCGATGGGGGACCAAATCTTGATCGTCCGCATCGAATTCGAACGTGGTGCCTCCGTCGTTGAAGGCAGGGTCGTCATTTCGGCAACAGATGTGACGTCGTCATTAGCGTGGGGGTCAGGGTCAGGATCTATGAGGCGTCTAGCGTTCGGTACAGGGTAGGATGTGCACCGGAAATGGTGGGAGGCGGTGCCTGCAGGCTCCGTGCGATCTGAGAGCGGGGTGAGGTTGATGGTGCGGTTGGTACTGAGGAAAGGGAAATCTGGGTGGGTGAGACGAGTGCGGGCATACTTCCCATGCGGGAGTGAGCGTGCACAGAAACTTAGTCTTACGTAGAGCACCTACGGGTACCGATGGAGAGAAAGAATGCATGAACGAAACGAAAGGACTTCGAGGCCCATAAGTTTCTCTGGAAAATACTAGTAGGAAATACCAAGTGCCCTCCGGACGCTACAACTACAGACAAATTGAGAGACAGAGGCAAACGGGGTCATGCACTAGGTAGACTACAGTGGTGAGTATGCTGCACTGGATCTGCAGACGAGTCCAGACCTGAGGAAGGACTGGCCAGGCTTCGGAGAGCGATAACTGCAGGAATATTGAAACCTCCCAACACGGGAATGCAAGCTGTCGGTGTCCTCATATTGTGCACAGTCCTCCATTCTAATATTTCTCTGTTACAGGTGGCAAAAGCCCCAACTGATGCCTTGCGTATGCTCGAACACGCCACCGTTTCGATCGTCTCTGCCCTCGTCCCCGAACAGGCCAACTCTGGCTCGCTTGGCAGCATGATCACCGTCACTCCTCTATGCTGAAACTCCGCATGACCCTTCCCTTGCATAATGTGACGCTGTCGGAACTGCAGAGATTGAAGGGACGGTTTGTAACGTCGCGTAAGGAAGCGATTACGCTTGGTACGACAGAAAAGGATGGGGTAGATTGGAGGTAGCAGAGCGTTGCGGACAAGTTTGTTGTGTATCTTGAAGAGAATATAAAGCCTTGAGTGGGCGACATCGAAATCTTGCGTGTAAATTATGGGGATCTACGTCGCATCCGTGAACAACGTGCCTGTCATCCCCGATGGCCCTATCTTCTAGTGTATACGTGTTGACAAAGAGTCGTGCTATGTGAGCCTAGGAAACCACACGAGAACCGGCCTCGTCAGCGATGTCAACCACCAATCAGCGCGCACCACCATCCATGTGCATTTGCACCTGAGTACCCCGCATATTGAATATTCAAGCACAACACAGAGATCGACCTTTGCCACCCAAAGGTCAGCCCCCCATAACAGGGTTGTTTCCAAAAACAGACAACCCGGCAAAAACTCGAGGGACAAAACAATTTCCAGACCTGGACCAGGGTGCATCCAGGAACCTCCTAATGAGTCGATCGACGTGATGTCGGATGTCTTACATCTGGATTGTCACCCGAAGAACTGGGTGGGCTCGCAGTACTGTTACAGTGTACAAGCTCTGTCGACTGACCTCCGGTAAGACATGGGTGTCTTCTATGTGTCTAAATATTTGTATTTTTTGGATTATTCGCACCGGAGAGATAGGCAATTTTGGTGCAAGCGGCATGGATGGCAAGGTAAGTTGGGCCAGGAAGAGGAAGGTTCTCCGGATCCGGGGTGGAGAAGGTTACATACTTCGGGAGTTGGGAAGTGAACACGTCCCGAGCTCCTTCGAGTTTATACGTGTTGGGTTCTTCCTACGATGCGAAGTCCTTACTCAATCCCGAAGTCGAAAGAGAAAGTATGGTACAAACCGTTTCACTAAACCAAATCCACAATCGATCAAAACGGGAATGAAGCGATACTTCCATCGTCACTATATTTTCTAGTCGATGTATGTTGGAACCGTCGAGCTCCTCTCGTAGCGTTGAGTAACCAAAGCGGTCAAGGGCTGTCCAAAAAGACGCAGCATACGTTTGCGTTGGTGGACTTCGGAAAGATGTGAGCGCACTGAGTGAACACTCCCTCGTCTCCTTCTCGCATAACCATCGTTTCCAACTCTGTATCGTTCAAGATGGCGCCGAAATCAGACTGCTTTGTGATAGTACACTGAAAGTTGTCCCCTTCGAGGGCCTATTTGAAACGTATGTAAGATAAAACTCGAAGGATTGATGATACGAACACGTGTTTTAGCCGTTTGATGATTTTGAGGGGGTTCTTTCAGTTTGGGCTCTATCTCATCTGCGAGCCTGTCAAATGAGGGTCGCGATGGGTGATGCGACCGCGCCGGAGTGCGGCCTTTGTTAGACTTAACTGGGCTCGTTAAGTACGTCACGAGCAACAGCTGTTGAGGGCGCACAGTGTTAAATCATGAATTTATAATAGAATTCCCCTAACTGGAGCAGTTTGTCTTGCTGACCATTTGTTGTTACGATCTCTCTGACAAAGGGTTTGATGTCGCGAGCGGGAAAATGATGAAAGAGGTAGCCCAGGATTCTACGGTGAATCAAGTCCTTCTCCAAATCTTTTCCCAGGTCAATCTCGCGTTGAATGCTCCATTCAAGGTTTCGGCACGAGTTATAGCCGCTGGAGATCTCGTGATAGCGGGGATGCTCCCGTATCCTGAGTGGTAGCGCGTCCTCCGGGGGTAGTCGTAGGGGTGGAAGCATGATGATTGGGTGCTACATGTAAGAATTGTTCAACTTCAGCAAACGCAGAAAGTCTAGCCCCCGGAAGAGTCCGGCGAGGCTTGCGAGGCCTCGCAAGAGCTAACCACCAGAGGGTACCACGGCGCATCCCTAGGACGGTTGGCGAGAATCAAAGGATCAGCATTGGATAAGCTGAGGATCCATGTATTAGTCTTTACCATATATGGAATTATCTTGTTACTTTGTTTACATAATAATCAGGAAGTGCCGCCTGAGGTGGCGCTGACCTTCTGCCTATATAACTAATGGACCTTGGACCCAGATTCGGTGCATCATGTTTCCACCGGAGGATGCGCTACCACTCAGGATACGAGACCATCCTCGCTATCACGAGATCGCCAGCGGCTATAACTTGTGCCGAAACCTTGAATGGAGCATTCAACGCGAGATTGACCTGGGAAAAGACTTGGAGAAGGACTTGATTCACTGTAGAATCCTGGGCTACCTCTTTCATTATTTTCCCGCTCGCGACATCAAACCATTTGTCAGGGAGATCGTAACAACCAACGGTCGGCCGCGCGAACTACTCCAGTTAGGGGAGTTCTATTATGATTTCTTCATTCGATCGTGTACGTCCTCAGTGGCTTTTACTCGTGGCATACCCAACGACTTCAGTCAAATCTAACGAAGGGAAATCACCGCCATCGTCGTCTCCCCTGTCACCGCACCCATCTGATAATGTCGCCCAGCTGATAGAGTGTATACTACAGGAGGCCCCTCAAGATCGTCGAACGGCTAAAAAACATGTTTGTATCATCACCTTTAAATCTAGACATGTTGCGTCTTATATATGTCCCGAATAGGCTCTTGTTAGAGACAGCTTTCAGTGTCCTGTTACGAAGGTGTATGATTGGGACGCCGTCATGTGCAGCGAAGAGATGGAAATGAAGATTACGTGCGAAGGAGCGGAGGGAGGGTTCACTCAGTGTGTTCACATCTTTCTAGAGTTTACCAATGCAAATATCACACCAGACTCGACCGAAGTTGGTTTCTTATTCAACCGAGTTCTTCGTTGTTGATCATAGTTCTGGGCGACGTATGCTGCTTCCGTTTGGGGGGTCCTTGACCGCTTTGGTTACTCGGCATTACGGGAGGAGCTCAATGGTCCCAATATACATCGACTGGAAAACATAGTGACAATGGAAAAATCGCTTCGTATCCATTTTGATCGGTTATGGATTTGGTTCACTGCAACGGTTTGTACCGTATTTTCTCTCCTTTTGTTTCCGGCATCTGAACAAGGACCTCACATTATAGGAGGAACCCAATACGTATAAACTCGAAGAAATTCGTGACTGGCTTATTTCCCGGTACCCGAAGTATGTGACGTTCTCAACCCCAGATCCTGAAGAACCTTCCTCTTCCAAGCCCAACTTACCTCTCTATTCACGCGGCCTGTGCCAAAATTGCCCATGTCTCCGGTGCAGGTAGATACATTGAGAAAATATTTAGATGCATGGCAGATGTTCGTGCCTTGTCGGAGGGTGGAGGGTCGGCAGAGCTTTTGGATGAAGCAATTCTGTCTTCGATGCATGCTATTCCAGTCTGATGTATTTTTTGCTATTCGGTCATCGCGATGTTTGTAGGATGTATATCTGGTCTGGCTGCTAAACTAGAACAGGGCCGTCGCCGCCGGCAGGCACCTTGTTTACCACGCCAAAATGCATCATAGGAACAAATGCAAAATGTATTATCCCATTACAGCCAAAAACAAAACACCCGAGAAGTGCGCTTCTTCGCGGTACTTACTTCTGGTGCGGTGATCCGCTGGCATGCACAAGAGATACTTGTGCCCTGTTCGCTGATCGTGGGGGGTTTGTAAAGTAGCACGCATCTGGTATAGCCTTTTGGTTTCTGGGCCTAAGTTGACGGTTCCATCGTCAACGCACACATCCACGGCAGATCGTCATACCTCCTTGTGTATCCAGCTATAACGCAATTGTCAACACGATCATCTCCGTTACAACGATCCGATCCGTGGTCTTCGGCTATGGAGGCCGTGGTAGTCGTTGATCGTAACAAGATGCGGTTTCGGTCCATACACCCGCTGAATCTATGAGATAACAAGAAAAAGCGTACGGCGCAGTAATGCATCACGGTTAGTAACGTGTCCATGAAACGTGGCCGTTGGACTCACCTCCAGGTACATCATCGTACGTCCACCATTTTGCTGTCCAAAGTTGACCGCTAGGTGATCAATTAGGTACGATCTGTACATATAACCGATTCGTCGGCAGAAATCACTACTCACTTGTAAATCACTTGGTCTCCGTCAACGTACTGAATTGATATGAGAGGAATAGGGTCAGCGTGATGCGGTGAAAAGATCGGTGAGCGAACACGTACTGCTATCGCACTCGACCATGTGCATATACCGGAGCAACTAGTACCAGTTGCAGTTGCTGTGGCATTCGCCGCTGTAGTGGCCGCGGTAGTTGTCGCAGTCGTCGTACCGGCGGTAGTTGTCGCAGCAGTAGAAGTACTAGCTGACGTTGCAACCACAATCCCACCAACCGTCAACGCATTCTTCACAGCCCGATCATACCTCGAATTTGCTAACCCAAACAAAAATCCACGTCAACTCGAATCATTCACTACCATCACCTTCAAGAAGAAACATGTACCATAGGCTTGCGATGCATCCCACAACATCACACCTCCAAATGACGAGTATTGGCTCTGCGTCTGCTGAATGATCGTCGCAAACGTCGATGCGTTAATGTATCCTGACCCAGCTGCAGACGGGGATGCAGGTGCACCGATGTAGACTTTGGCGTTTGGATTTGGAGAGACCGTTCTGGCCCAATTGTCCCTGTCCACGTCATTCATCCATTAGCAGCCATTCGATCGGTCAGGAGTGTTGGAAGCACCATGTACCAAAATTCCATGCCTAAGGAATGGGAATACCATGCAGCCGCGTCATGTATGCATCAGACACTGGCTACCCATTTCGCTACGCACTCACATTCACATTGCTATAGTTGTTGAGACCGCAGTAGTTATTATCTAGTAACGCAACGCTCGTCAAAAATGCACGCGCGGGCACAACGCAGGAGACACCCGCACAGAATTGGACATAGACAGCATCGAATCCAACAGCATTCAGTGTTGTGCCAATGTGGACGTCTGGGTAGAGACATTGTGGAGCTATTTGTGAGACATCAGCTTTGCCCGAGTCTCCTATACAAGTCGGCGGAATGATGTGTGGTACCAACCTGCAGTGATGTAGTACCTGACCAAAAATTCGAGCGCTTCGTGAGACGGCAGTCCAGAAAAGCGCCCAATATGACGAGGACGTACTGCTTGCTTCCCTTAGCCATCAGTGCGCGGAGTGCAGTTACGAAAGCCGCATAGCCGGTCTGACTACCACCTTCAATATCGAGATCAACTCTGGAAAATTGCGAATGCAAATAAGAACCATTATGATCGACCCCTCAGACCTTGGAAGGAGGAAATCTCACCCATCCAATACCGCAGAACCAAACGGACGATTAGGACTACTTCCCTCAAGAAAGAGATCCCAAATCGTCTGTGCAAACACTTGCGCCTGGGTATCATTCAAAAACCCAACCGAACCAGCCTCTCCGCCTAGGGAAATCGTGACGATCTTTCCTGCAGCTTGACAAGCTTCTATATCGGGGGCTAAAATGGTACAATTGAGCATCGATGTACCGGGAAATGAGGAATTAGAACACGACTGCAAGGAGGGGACAATGAATACAGAAGCATGAAGTTGGGGTTAGACAATTGCAAAATGCTCAGAGGGAAGAAAGACACACGTTCCCTAGGTTGATGGAAGGAAGACCTCCTGTAGCGAAGAACGCGTTCAAAGAAGCAATGGGAAATGTATCGATGGTGTCATCCTGCCAAATGGCTGCGGTTACATCCCGAGATCCGTATGGAAAATATCCAAGAAACACGCACATTGCAATAATATGACATCGGTTGTTGCCAGTTGGCGGTATCAGATGGATTATCCACGCCATACGAATCCTGGCCCCAGTATCTATATACACCACAAACAAAAGATGAGAGGTAGGGATGGGGATCGGTTCACCAGATGCTGGTTACAGTTCAAGGAAACATACACGACAAGCTGGAGGACTTCACATCAGGACAGAGCAGGTATCTGAATTCAGGACATACATTAGTGTTGCGTAGCATGCTAAAAGTTGGTGAATCTTGAGAGAAAAGCGGAAATGAAAGTGAATTGTGGGCAGACAGCCAAGAGATCATCATTTTGAAGAGGTAACAATAGCAAAGAGACCAGTGGTAGACAGGGGATCTCACTCGCCTAAGCCGAGTACAATTCCAGCTTTTATACATCAGCGCAGGTACGGGAAGCTTTTGATGGGGAGTTCGTTAAAGTGCAGAATATGAGCTGGCCTCAAAAGCATATCAGTGACACGCTAAAAATCAAAGTGAAAAATGGGAAAGAGTAAGCGAGAGTCATTTCAGTGGGGCCTGATGCCAGGTCATCGTCATCTTTAGTCGACCAAAAGCGCCGTCATCACCAATGCACCAAGCAGGAAATAGGAGAAAAATTGAGAACTGTAACCACGATCTTACAGGTGATTATGTGAATGAGGCTGGGGGCAGCGTCCACAGTCACTCGAGGAACATCATTGGGATTCCCATACTGCATCGTGACCGGAAGTGGATGTCATGAGACGTTATGCTGCGATCTTTGGATATCTCCACGAGGGAAGGCTGACAACTGGAACCGTCGACTTGGGCCCAGAAATCAAAAAGCTATACCGGACAATCAGAATTGGTCCGTGTGGGGGTGGACAGAAGGGCCGACCGCATGCGTGCTACCTTACAGATCCCCCACGATAAGCGGACGTCATGAACAGGGCACAGGTACCTCTCGTGTAGTACCTAAACACAAATGTTTTTCTTATGCCAGCGGATCACCACAGCAGAAATAAGTGCCGCGAAGAAGCTTCACTTCTCGGGGGTTCTTTTGGCCGTATCGGGATAATACACCGAGTTGCCGCATATATTTGTTTCTGTCATCGGAACGAGTCGCCACGTCAACAGAATGGAATCCAGGATGCACATAGGTATGTCGTACCGACCGCTGTGAACCTGCACGAGACTTGGCCAACATAGGTAATAGTATAGCTGGACATGTGCTCGATCGAGCAACTTAGAAGTTCGTTGGTCGTTCATCCGAAAAACTTGATAAATAACAGTCATTACACGTGTGCTGGAGACGGGTTGATAATGAGTCTATGCGGGTTCTTTCAGCACTTTGTTTACCACGCCGGAGCTCTGCAGAGGCCAAATGCACCACACGGAACAGAAACATGTGCTGTGAATACGATTTACAGTTCGAGCTGTAGCTGCGTGGCTGGTGGGATTTGCCGTGCGGGGGTGTATGCCAGCGCGGTTGTCGAAAAAAGCACGGGCTGGAGCAACTTTGCGCTCTCCCAAACGCACTACTCCGTAGCCGGGCATGGCCGCTAATATATACGATGTTATCATGCTCTTTGGCGATTCGATCACCCAATGGGGCTGGGTACCAGGCGGGTTCGGTCAGCGACTGGCTGGTAAGGCTCGATCTTCATATCAACATATCTCCTGATGAGGAACCGACGACGAACACTGTCTAGAGAACTACGCCCGCAAGATGGACGTGATAAACCGTGGGATTGGCGGCTACTAGACAGAGTGGGCTATACGCGTACTTAAATAAGTGGGTAATGCATATCGCATCCATATAATTACAGGAGTGATGCGTGCTGCGCAGATCTTCGCGATGCGGCACCAGCTACCTCACGTTCCTAAAGTACAGCTGCTCACCATTTGGTTTGGCGCGAATGATGCCGCACCCTTCCCCAATCGTCAGCACGTGCCGAGGGATCAGTACAGGGAGAATCTTGAGCATCTCGTCAACATGGTCAGGTCCCCTACTTCACCATACTATTCACCCAGTACCCGCATCATCCTCATCACTCCGCCTCCGGTAAACTCTCATCAAAGACAGGATCGTAACCTTGACGCAACCAAATCCTACGCGGAGGTGGTGAATGAACTAGGAACTGCACTTGCCACACCTGTTGCGGACGTATGGACTGCAATGTGGGATGCCAGTGGAAGAGACGAGAGGGCGCTTGAAAAGTTCCTTCACGATGGGTTGCACCTAAACGAGGCAGGATACGAGGTATAGATATGATCGCTTTTGTGTGGAAGCGGTCGGTGGCTCAGGAGATACAGGTGGTCTATAATCTGATTATGAAGATCATCGAGGAGAAATACCCCGAAATTCACTACGACAGGTTGGAAATAGTTTTCCCACCGTACATTTCTGTTTTTACTGTTTTATCTGCCTGTCTTTATTGTTTTACTCTGGAATTGTCAGGTATTTGGCAGACGTCGAAGTTGAATAGGGCCATGGCCCACCAGTCCAATGGACATCAGAGAAACAGGGAATGACAGAATTGCAGTCACAACCAGTCAGTGATGGGTTTAAACAGGTCCAAACCATTTTTTTGCTTCCTGATGGACATCATTGTTTGAAAGGAAGGACATAGAAATACAAGAATATAAGCAACATGGTGATGTTGCCACAATAAAGGTGTTTGGTCAAATGGAAGACATACAAAAGATGGGAACACCCAAGCATCTGATCATGTAATTGCAGAGCATCTCTACACATCTGATCTTTGCAATACAGGTTGCTTGGTAACAGTGCACACCATAAAATTACACAGTCAGCCTAAGTGTTCATATGATGAGAAATGAGAACTGATCCAATTGAGACAGAGCTTGCTGATTAGACAGAGCAAATTGGATCATTGCCAATGGATCAGTTATTAGGCATGCTCAGAGTTGAGCAGCATTTGCACCATGGGTCCATGCAACATCAGTAAATCACTTTTGCTGGCCAGAGCTGTCCAGAGCTGTCCAGTACTGGACAGATTCCCTAGGACTACCAGCTCACAAAGTGGTCTACTGATGGACTCCTTTCTACTGGCCTCAGCACAGCATGCATCTCCAAACTCTTCCCAACTGGAAGTCATACTGTAGCTGCTCAAGTATGTTCCAGAGTTAGCCATGCATGACAGGTATTGACGATCATTTGGTAGGGCGGTATCAATGCTGCACTAGGTGTAAGTCCATGTGATGTAGACGAATCTGTAATCTCGAGAGGCGCCGCTTGGTCAGCGTTCGGGGTTGGCTTCTGGTGTGTCATCACGGGGGTCTTTGATGCGCACGCCGTCGACACTGATGAAGCATTGCAAGTGATCTTTAGGAAGGCCAGAAGAACTCTACGGGAGTCTACCAGCGCCAATATCACATCGGACTCAGACCTGAACTGCTTTGGCTACTCGTTACAAGAGCTTAGTGGTCCCAACATACACACTAGTACTGACTAAAAATTGTTATCACAATAGAGCTGGGAGTTCGTGGTGCGCGCGCAATCAGCCTCTGAAGTCATGTCGAGGAAATGATTACCCATCCGTTGGCATCACCCTTTCGTTGTCGCGAGAACAAAATAGCGTATTCGTGGAGTCTATTTCCTCATCCCCAATATGTGATGATCCATTATGACTACGTGCGTTGGCAAAGAAATAGAGATATTATAGCCAACCTAACGCTGATGACAGGACTAAGATACAGGATAGAGTTGACGACAGGAAGCATACCTGATAACAGGAGGTTAACGCTAGAGAAAGTAAATGATACGCAAGTGGACTATATACTACACAACGAAGTGAAACAAGGTTCGCCATAGGGGCCTGCGGAGGTGGTCAGACCGGTCCAATCGGGTGATCCCTGCTGCAGCACACTGGGTTTGGGGACAGCCAAGTAGTAGCGTGCATATAACTAACAGATTCTCTCAGTGCATCATGCTTCCACCCGGGATGCGCTACCACTCGGGATACGAGACCATCCTCGCTATCACGAGATCGCCAGCGGTTACAACTTGTGCCGCGACCTTGAATGGCGCATTCAACACGAGATTGACTTGGGAAAAGACTTGGAGAAGGACTTAATTCACTGTAGAATCCTGGGCTATCTCTTCCATTATTTTCCCGCTCGCGACATCAAACCATTTGTCAGGGAGATCGTAACAACCAACGATCAGCCACGCGAACTACTCCAGTTAGGGGAGTTCTATTATGATTTCTTCATTCGATCGTGTACGTCCTCAGTGGCTTTTACTCGTGGCATACTTAACGACTTCAGTCAAGTCTAATGAAGGGCAATCACCGCCATCATCGTCCCCCCTATCACCACACCCATCTGATAATGTCGCAAAGCTGATAGAGTGTATACTGCAAGAGGCCCCTCAAGACCATCGAACGGCTAAAAAACATGTTTGTATCATCACCTCTAAATCTAGACATGTCGCGTCTTACATATGTCCCGAATAGGCTCTTGTTAGAGATAGCTTTCAGTGTCCTGTTACGAAGGTGTATGATTGGGACGCCGTCATGTGCAGCGAAGAGATGGAAATGAAGATTACGCGCGAAGGAGCGGAGGGAGGGTTCACTCAGTGTGTTCACATCTTTCCAGAGTTTACCAATGCAAATATCACACCAGACTCGACCGAAGTTGGTTCCTTACTCAACCGAGTTCTTCGTTGTTGGTCATAGCTCTAGGCGACGTATGCTGCTTCTGTTTGGGGGGTCCTTGACCGCTTTGGTTACTCGGCACTACGGGAGGAGCTCAATGGTCCCAATATACATCGACTGGAAAACGTAGTGACGATGGAAGAATCGCTTCGTATCCATTTTGATCGGTTATGGATTTGGTTCACTGCAACGGTTTGTACCGTATTTTCTCTCCTTTTGTTTCCGGCATCTGAACAAGGACCTCACATTATAGGAGGAACCCAATACGTATAAACTCGAAGGAATTCGTGACTGGCTTATTTCCCGGTACCCGAAGTATGTGACGTTCTCAACCCCAGATCCGAAGAACCTTCCTCTTCCAAGCCCAACTTACCTCTCTATTCACGCGGCCTGTGCCAAGATTGCTCATGTCTCCGGTGCAGGTAGATATATTGAGAAAATATTTAGATGCATGGAAGGTACTCGTGCCTTGTCGGAAGATGGAGATGGAGGGTCGGCAGAGCTGTTGCATGAAGCAATTCTGTCTTCGATGCAGGCTGTTCCAGTCTGATGTATTTTTTGCTATTCGGTCATCGCGATGTTTGTAGGATGTATATCCGGTATGGCTGCTAAATAGAATGACTTTCCACACCTCGGATATGCATATACTGCCCTGTCGGTGCATCTCCAGCCCTGTCGTTCGTTATCCCGCCCCGAGACACGTCTATCTTTGTGAAAATCAGCACCAAATTATTGTTCATCTACTCTCTATGCCACTCGGTACTCATTAGCTATGTGGTGATACTTGAGTCTGATCCTTGTGTGCCACTAGTGCATGATAAAGGGGATAAGAGTGCTAAGATGTAAGGGGGATTGGACAATACGAAGCCCGGAGAGGGGCGGCAATGCGAGCTGTGACCCAAAAAGGAAAGTTAGCGACGAGGATGGAAGGAGCTAAAGACTGGCCCTTATCGTACTGAAGGCTGGGCGTATTTAGTAAAAGGTTTGAGCATGGGAGAAGCTTGCAGGCAGGGAGGGAGAAACATAGCGAAGGCAAAATTAGCCAAGAATCAAGGGTATCATAAAAGGCAGTCGTAAGGAGGATATAGGCAAGGCGAGAATCTACAGGAGATGCATGCGAAGTAAAGTGCTGTCGGAAAAAGATCCGTAATGCCATCAATCTAGCCTCGTTTCCGCCTGTCCATAGACGGTTCCTTGCGGTGTTCTCTCGTTCGTTCGATGGGACTTCGGAACTCATTGCGACGAACCGACCTTCCACTTACGTTGTTAATAAGTCTGGGTGGCTCCACCCCCGTGCTTTCTTCCGCCTTCTCTGATGAATGACTGAGTGCTCTGTGATGGCGTGTGATCTGGCCAGCACTTCCAGTGATGCTCAAGATCTGAACAATAATATCGTTAAGCCATATCACAATAGCAAAAATGCGCAGGCGAATCGGGATCAGTGGCGATGGGTACCGCACGACGTCAGCGGATGGAAGCGGGTTATACGGATCTTGAGGTGCAGGACGAGCAGTCATTGCCATGATAATGTACTTTTTTTTGCCACAACTTAGATTCAGAAGCTGTGGGAATTAGGAAAGTACGCCTTATCACTCACCGCAGGGAATAATAGATAGAATAAGGCAGCATTTGCAAGTCCGCTTCCCCATGTGCAGATAGCAGCGGAGGGAAAGCCAAATGCGAAGTAGTACGCCCATCGCTCTTCAAGGTGTCTTACCCTACTAGCAAGGGATAAACCGCGAGCTACCCACACGAATCTATTTGACGACATCAGAAAACACGTCTCTCGGTGCAACCAAAGTGACTTTCTCAAAGCAATAGTACCTATTTAAAAATGTTATTTTGAGGGAATGTGAGGAACATGGACGTGAACTTACGCGTCGATCCAGCACATGAAGGCAAAGCTTATGAGTGGCCCAGCACGAGGGATTGCACCAAGACCAAAGGAGACGATCACAGATGTCAAGACCATGACTGTGCGATACGCTGACGTTGCTAACGCGTTGAGCATACCAGTATAAGTGACATGTCGTGGTTGGACAGCACGATTGCCATATTGCAGTACGAAGGTACGTTTAGCAATAGTGTTACACCATGAACTCTACAGATACAACTTCCGTCAGTAAGACGTATAGAACCAAATACGGAGAAACACGTTCACCAACATTGAGATAGAAAGATATACCCACTACGGGAAGGAGCCACAACACCTGATAGCACCAACCCACATTCCGACGCAGCCAACTCGGATGGTCGTGCACGAGTGGCTGAAGCAGCAAATCGAATGCATAGATTGATGCCAACGAGAGCGAATTCAAGAGGAGGGACTTGAGGATATTGGACCGTATTTCAGGGTCGCTGTGAAGCGCGTCAACCGTGGCACACGCGAAAGGCGGAGAGAGGTGTACCTCGTCGCGGTCGCAATAACCAAATCCCACCTAAAGGCGTCGAGGAGTCCCTTCAACAGACACTTTGTATGGATCCAAATTGTCTCGTGGAGTGAAAGGAATGATGGGTAGGCAGCTCGAGAACTGGACTGCAAGTGGCGCATATCATACTCATATGGGACTTGTCTCGACATAAACCTCTCCAAGTGTCCAAGTTTCTCGTAAACTGCTCGAGGAGTCTTCCCTGTCGATGGTTTCTTTCGCGGTACGAACGGAGGCTGCACGCGCGGATGCCTCGTTAAGCTGTAAAGGACAGGTCAGGTCGGCCTCTATGAGCCTATCATGCATCACGTAATAACAACCGCTGTTTACGTGGACACAAGAGTTACCCCAATTGGTTTGTTCCCCTATTCTACCCGCGAGCTCCGCGTTCGATATGATCTTAGTACCAGCGGCAGTCGTTGATTTTACTCCCAGCGTCATGATCCGTAGCAATTTTTGATCGCGATAGGGAATAGAGGTGAATATATAGTCAAGGAGATGTTGTTGCACGACGAACCCTCGCCCGTGGCAAGGCGATGTCACGGTGATTTTGTGGTGAACCCGGATCTTTGTCTACTTTAGCTAGCACGCCTCGTTTTTCTCATTTCATGTCACCGTTGTGGGAGGGGAAACTACTATATGGATGAGTGCAAAGATTGTGTTAATACTGAGAGTTGACGATATGCTCCCAGTCGACAGTTATCGGCCTGTGCTTACAGCAGGGACCGGAGAGGGAAACAGCACTGACAGAGGTCAGATAGGGTTCATAGAAGGTCGCCGATATAGTGCACCAAGGCGGGATGCTTGCCAAAACTCGTATATCCTGACTGTTGTCATCTGCTCGGTCGGAACATAGCATGCCACCCGTCCGCCACACCCCGCTGGCTCTCCTCCATCGCCGCCTTCCCGTACCTCCCTTCCCGGCCATGCAAAGCTGTGTGCACAATTTGGGTAAGGATCCGAGGCACGACGAAGTGTCTTTTACCTACCCCATACACCCATCCCGCTCCCGCGTATGCTCTCAGATTCCAAGTTACAACATTCAGTGCCAAAGCATATATACATTTCCCCTCTCGGCCGCTGGGCCTGGTTGGCTTCGACAATTATGTACTACAACAAATAACGACACCTGAGTACCAGCCACGATAAGAGTGAAAGAAAAGAAAAAATAAGAAATGACAACAGATCACAAGCGTACAAGTGCACAGAGAAACTAGAGTATGCACGAACAACTAGAAGTCATCTCTCATTTCCTCCCAGCCTGGAAGGGAGTAAGATCGCCGTTCTTTCTAGCATAAAATTTTCATACCTTCCTGCTTGAGGGTGCAGATGCCTTAGCGGCTGGCTTTCTTGCTGACTTCTTGGTGGCTGCCGCCTTCGCCTTGGTGGAAACAGTCGTGCCCGTGACAGCCTGCGGAACACGACAATGTCATGAGGTACCGCGTGAGAAGCAACGTACTACTACCGCACCTTCTTAGCAGCTCCCCGTTTGGAGGTCGTGGAGGTCTTCTTCGCAGATACGGGCTTCTTACCTGCTACAACCTTCTTGGGAGCAGCAGCCGCTTTCGTCTTTGATGCAGGCGCGGTTTTAGAGGCAGGTGTTTTGGCAGACTTGCTCGCTGTCTTGCTCTCGGTGGCCTTCTTTGTAGCCGTTGCGTCGGCCTTAGATTTGGGTACGGGCTTTTTAGCAGCAGCAGCCTTGGCAGTGGCAACCTTCGTAGGACGTGCTTTGGTTGTGGGCTTGGGTGGTGCAGCCTTGGCCGGCTTATTCTGTGGTGTAATTTAGTCGGTGCTAAAAGTCACGTGCCATAGAAGTGCACGGACCTCCTTGGAAGCGGATGTATCAGCAGCCCTGCTGGTCTTGGGAGGGAGTTTGACTCTCCCTGATATGCCTTAGATAACGCCGTCAACCACGGAACAGCCGCTAAAACCAAAGATAAGCGATTACCTTTAGGCAGAACGAAGATGCCTTTCTCAGCGCCGGTGGCGATGGCACGAGCCAGCTGAGTGTTCTGTGCGTTGCCGATCTGCAGCCTGTATGTCTCTTCAACGTACCTAAACAGTGCTGAGAACTACTATTGAGCAGAAAAAAAATGGATAAGAACAGACTTCTTGATATGGGGGCGGGATACCCCTTGGCGGGAGTCTTCGGTGCTGGCGGTGATACACTCCTATTTCGTTGAACGGTGGTCAGGAGACAATCTAGCGTAAAAGCCACCAATCCAAGGCAGAAATAACGCTTCGTGTACCAGCTGAAAGCGGTGGAAGCATGTCGTAATGATGAAAAATGATCGGACGATAAACCCCCCCAACTCGGGCGGATAACAGTGTTCCCACTCATATGCAAGCAATTACCATTGGTTTCGGAGAAAAGCCGAAGGAGCAGGCGCAGTATCAACGTTTTACAGACCTTGATCATGTCAATCCAGCTTGGATGTGTAGGGGCGGGCCGACTAGCAGCCTTCTTGGTGGACGATTTAGTAGCGGAGGCTGTCTTCCTTGCGGACATCTTGATGATTGCTGCTTGTAGATATGTGACTGTATCCGATATTCTTGTGGTAGTAAGAGGTAGACTGAGGGGCCGGGGGGTTCGAACTGGGAGGTCGCGCAGGAGATGGTGGTGGTTTAAGAGAGGGGAGCGTTAAAACTCCGAGGGCGCGTCCTGCGATCAACAAACTCAATTCTGCCAAGTCACGTGAGTCGATATCTGGGACGCGTATGACGCGACTGAATATCGGCCGCGTTCGTCTTGGGAAAGCCCTGCTTGCGTTCGCCCACAAAGTTGAAGGAAAAAGGGCGTGTTCTAGCAAGAAAAAACCGAAGAATTTGAGCGTTGAAGGTGGTTCATGCCTAGCACCCAAACTGTCGCTGTAGGACTCAGGCACGAGCGTAAATATCGTATATTTAGTGCCAGTAGCTATGATTTTTGCCCGTAGTTGATGCGGTGGCCTTTGATTCATAATTTTTGGACGGTTGCTTGTTTTTTGGGAGCGGAAAACATTCGGTGTGTTGGAGGGCAATCAACGGGGACGCGGCATGTCCAAAAAAGGAGCGCGTCTTGCGCCCGCCGAATTTGGAAGTGCCACGCGATGATCTCAGATCGCGAACGTCAAAATTCCGGGTTCCGCTCGTCTCAGCTTCCGAGTGTTTTTAGAGAGAGCGTCTGGCATGGCTGCCACCCCAGCTCTGAGAGCAGCCGCACGCTCGGCGTACCGCGATTTGCTGAGAGCATCGGCATCTACCTTCTCAGGTAAGTTGTCTTGACATTAGGCTACTTGAGTGACAATAATAAACTTGCTTTCAGGCGATGAACCAGTAAAACGAGGTATAACAGCATGATTGCTCGGACCCTGCCCACCGCTCACAACGAGTAGCCTTCAGATTGAAAATGCGCACAGAGGCACTTGCTCTGGATGAAGTTGCACGACATGATGCGAAGCAGGTGGAAGAGAAAATCCAGCTAGCCAAGGACCTAGCCACGATGCTGCGCAGAAACGTCGTGCAGGCACGGAAGATCGAAAGTGGCAAAACTGGAGAGACATGGAGTGCGTATTTGATAATTCGGAAATTTCAGTAACATTGACATTATGGAGGTCTTCGCTTTACCAAGGATACCGAACTCGGTGACAATTCGACCATCAAGAATCCACCTCCATTGCAATCAAGCCGTCGCGCGCGGAAAGATGGGAAAGGAGATACCCCGTCAGTGACATTTTCATCCCCGGATCACCCTTCTTCTGAGATGGCACTTACCCTAGACTCATAGAACCTGCTGCTCCGCCTGACCCTTCTCCCCCACGTAACTACTCAGCACTGAAAAAGGCACACAAAGAACGAAAGATTCCGGAGTTGCGTGAAGAGGATATAGAAGAATCATTCGTTCGTGGTTAGTCTGCGTTCTTGGAAAACTAGGCGATGGTTAGTTATTCGTTGCAGGTAGTGGCCCAGGTGGACAGTCGATAAACAAGACCAAAAATAACGTGCAACTCCTACACAAGCCTACTGGTATCCGTGTGTCATGTCAAGAGACCCGTTCCTTACAAACTAACCGCATGCTTGCCCGTCGTCAACTACTTCAAAAGGCGTGTAATAGTAAATTCCGCTCGTTTCGTACATTCGGTGCTAATGCCAATCCGGTTTTACTCGATTTATGATTGGTTCAATGTTCATAGTTGGATCAATTGAATAATCCCGGCCTTTCAAAGGCTGAACTTCAACAAGCGAAAAAACTTGAAAGAGAGCGTCAGCGGCGTAAGAAGGCAAAGAAGAAAGCGAGACAGAAAGAGAGCTCTGGCGACGAATGAACTTGATATCTTTTAAGATATTGGATTACGTAATGCATGAGTTTAGACGCGTATGCCCGAGTCCCGTTTAGTGTCTTTCACAGATCATACGACCATGTCGAATACAAACCAAGGGTTGTACACCTTGGCTACCATAATCAAGCGGTAGGTATCAATCAGTAGTCACGAGGAATATGTCCTGAAGCAGATGTTGCAACCATCAGATTGGAGGCGGTCGCGTCACGATTCGAGGACCTTGAGGAGACTACACGGAGCAGAACTTCCAAACGACAGAGCACTAGCACCGTAACTGATGTCTCAGAAGCTCAAGCCGTCCATTCGCCACGTCTAGAACCACTGGTCCCTCCTGCGGTCGTGATCCAGCCGCTTTCGCCGCCGAGTGTGACAGCATTCGATACGATCGTCATCGATGGCAAGCTCAGGGCCTTCGTGGAGTTGACGAAGGCCTTTGCCCCTCAATTCTTGATTGATCAGGTTTGGTTCAACCCATTAACCTCTTATGCGCTGTTCCGATGAATCTAGGTCACACTATTTGTCGATGAGCTGAATCTGCTGCGCAACCTTCTGCTTACTGCCGCAGCATGCAAGAAGCCTGATCATAAGGCCTTTGTGAAGCTGTTGGAGCCGCTGCAAACTGCCATCGAATCAATTTCACGTGCCAAGGTTACTCATGGAAAGGAGACAGCATGGGTCAACCACCTTTCAGCTGTTGCCGAGAGCGCCCCATGCGTAGGTTGGGTCACTGTGGTAAGCGTGCAATAATGCTCGTGTAATATCTAGGTTTGAAGGATGCCTTGCAGGAACCGAAACCTGCAACATACGTCAATGATGTCAAAGACTCTAGCAGATTTTTCACAGATAGAGTGCTGAAGGAGTATAAGGGGAAGTACGTGATTGATCTCCAAACCAGTTCGCGACCGCTCAGATTGACGGTTGCACAAGGGACCCTAAGCATACAGATTGGGTTCGAGCCCTCATGGCCGTCGTAGATGAGATGAAACGCTACGTTCTGGAGAATCATCCTGTTGGCCTTGCCTGGAATGCTTCTGTAAGAACTCCATAATTGTGGCTGCTTGCATATTAAGCATGTTTCTAGGGCGTCCCTGTTTCCGAGTACAAGGCTCCCTCGCCAACACCTGTGGTATCTGGCGCAGCGGCACCTCCGCCTCCGCCTCCACCCCCTCCTCCGCCCCCGCCTGTCGAAGTTGCTGCTGTGCCTCCGGCTGTTGGTGGCACAGCTGCCGTGATGGCTGAATTGAATCGCGGAGCGGAAGTGACCAAGGGATTGAGGAAAGTGGATAAGAGTGAAATGACCCACAAGAATCCAGCGCTTCGCGCTAGCAGCGTGGTCCCGGCCTCAGCAGCCGCATCATGTAAGTGATATCTGTGAAATCAGAACTTCTACGATTCTAAGTACCAGTAGCTGGCAAGAAGCCTGTGAAGCCTGCTAAACCACATGCTTTGATGGGCAAGAAGCCTGCCAAGTTTGCGTTGGAGAGCAACAAGTGGCTGATCGTCCGTGCATTTTGCCACTTTATCTGACTCATCACCAACTTTCAATACAAACAGGAATATCAAGAGAATGAACCCGCATTGGAGGTCTCCGGTGCGGAGATCAACCAAATTGTCAATATATTTGGTTGCAAGAACACCACTGTTGTCATTAAGGGGAAAGTGAACGCAGTAACAATGCGTAAGTGAAGTCAATCTGCTTCCAAGACACTAGGTTCACTTGCTCTCGTCAGTTAACTGCACCAAGACGTCAGTCCTGGTGGACTCGGTAATTTCATCCGTTGAAATCACCAAGTCGGCTTCGTTTGCGTTGCAGATCACTGGGACTGCGCCGACGATCCAGGTGGATTCGACGGATTCGGGACAGATATACCTCTCGAAAGCGTGTCTTGGAGTGGAAATTACCACAGCCAAATGCAGTGCTATCAACGTAAGCGTACCCGTTGAAGGCGAGGAAGATGGCATATTCCAAGAGCAGGCTGTGCCAGAGATGTTGAAGACGGTTGTTCAGAATGGCAAACTTGTGACATCTGTCGTCGAGCATGTTGGCTGACCAGTGTCCAGTATATACTGTGTGGGGAGTAGGTAGGCTCGGTGGTCGATATCAAACATGCTCTCACGGATTTAATATTCATTCCTCGTGTCTATCTCATGCCATGTGAGTGTGCACGCTTTCGCGGACGCTCGGATCAAGTTTTTGCAAATTGCGGGATACACTGCCGAGAACTTGACATATGTGGCGTAGCTGATAGTCTTCTAGTACAAGCACTGCTTGCTAGCTTCTTATACATAAGTCGCACACCACTACCACACAGACTAGACAGCCATGGACAACGCGGGTTGGCATGCCCAACGCAGAGCTGAAAGGGTGTGAAACCTCATTTTGATTGCGGCAAAGCACCAATATTGATCAAATGTGTTTCATACTACAGGATTCATATCGCTATTTCTCTCGTCGCCATAGAGGCTCAGATGGCCAGTACGTTCCTGAGGTGGTGGTGGGACCGCTACCAAGTGGGCAATATACGACACAGTCGCCACCCGAGCTTGCCCCCCGGCCTTCCAATGTCGTATGCCCCGGACTTACCGTACCGCCTAACGGTGCCTCACTGACCTCGTATCGTAGAGCGACTCCGCCACGCATAGGGTGGGCTTGGCACAGCTCCCCCCTGCTGAACGCGCCAGGGCACAGAGAATCCCGCAAATGGATCCGGTTCTTCAGTTTATGGTCGGTCCGCTGTTACGATACGATACGGTTGACATGAATGGCGTCTGGCATGGTGCAGCGCTTATTGTTAGTGGGTATCAGATAAAATCTAACCATTTAAATAGACTGTTGATATTGTCGTTATACCTTGTAGCCGCTGATGCCGGATCATTCTATGACCCTGTGCCTGTCCTAACGTACCAATGGGATCCAGAGGAGCCAGCGAGAACACCGAACGGTTCCACGCTGTCGACTTTCTCCAAATACGATCTGTCACCCCATCCAGCGGACCCTCATGCAACTGCACTACTTACCTGGGAGGAGTCAAAAACTAAGGCTACATCGATTGACCAGACTCAACGCGTGGTGGGTCAGGAGATATATGTGTACAGCGGACGTGGTGGGTGAGTTTGGAACCATCTTCAGTCTAGGATCAAGCTTGTGTCTGAACGAGAACAGGACATTCACATTCTGGCGATTTCCAATCCGCATACAACTTGGGTATAATGAGCTGTGCATCAAGTATAGCATTAATGGAGGCATGCAGCTTTCCTTTCATGTCCCGACAATTCAACAGAATATGCGCTGGGCTACCTATTCTGTGAGTTCTCATAACGAAACCGTGGCTGTTACAGTTTTTACTCAAACTACTTTTTTTTCCTCAAGTGCAATGGGTTTAGTGCTGGTGTCAATCCTGATGATTTTCGAGGACCCGGCTTTAGGAGTGGGTATGACCCGATGTGGGTCGACCTCCTGCAACAGCATTCACAGCAACCTTTCCACGTCCTGGTTGGAGGTGGCGACCAGCTCTATTGCGACTCGTAAGCTTTATCAAACTACGGGCATCTACATTAAAGACCCATTCATTAATCAGCTTAACCCGAGAGCCCGAGATGCAAGATTGGGTACACTCACAGAATACAGCCGCTAAATTATCGTGTCCTCTCACACCCGAAATCACCGAATGCATTGACCGATTCCTTTTCAACCATTATTGTGCTTCGTTCAGACATGGTGCATTTGCCCGAGCCAACAGTTCTATGTGAGTTGGTCACTTACGTATGTACGCATTTGGCTGATATATGCCTCCACTTAAGTCCTATGCTGAATATGTGCGGTGCGTCGTTTGAACCCGGGAACCATACGCTTAATTAACCTGTCCGTTGCCAGATGATCATGGTGCGCCACGTCACATATACCCGTTACGTTTTTGCTGACGGTCTTGGTTTGATGTTAAGATTTGGTATGGCCTTTCACTTGCGCCAGTTTGTAGTAGGCTGATTAGGGACCTCATCTAAAGATTGACGGGTTTGGAAGCTGTAATGGTGATCACCAGTCCAAGAATTATTTACTGATGAGTACCTCAGATCCGGACGACTTACAGTCTTGCCCAATTTTCCAAGCGTAAGTTCCGTCTATTTTTCCCCGCTGTCTCTAACTTTACGTTTCTCGCAGCATCGGTGCTCGTGGTTACTTCTTCTTCTTGCTTTTCCAGTGCTTCATCAATCGTATGTGTGATGCCGCTAAGCGTGCCCGCTGGTATTAAGGACTCTTCTGCGCAGCCTATTATGACGGTCTCAGTGACAGGCCCGGTGAACACCCGTTCAAATCGCTTGTTCTAGGATTTCAGGGGCCGTTTGTTGGGTTGCCCTCACATTCATTCCTTGCACCCTTGGGACCAAATGTGCAGATTCTAATGCTGGATTGCCGGTAGTTTCTCTCTACCGCGTTCAACAAACCAGAGCTAACGTCATCTCAAGCGCCGAAAGGAAAAAAGACACAGTTTGCAGCCAAGCTCAGTACAAGAAGATTTTCGACTACATCACACAGCTGCCAAGTGGTGTCGAGCACCTGATTGTGCAACTCGGTACGTCGAGGTGATAGCGTATTCTCTGGAAGGCGTTCCAACGTCGAGTGTCAGGAATTCCTATTGCATATCCTCGCCTCGTGTTCTTGGAGACAGCGCTTGAATCCAAGCTAAACCCACTGATCGCATTGGGCCGCACTCGTAACTTCGGTTTGGGTGGCTTGGTGAATAAATTCAACTCAGATGCAGAATTACTGGATGATCTGGTGCGAGTCAGACTAAACTGTGTTGATCGCTCACTGGAAGTATGCCTCAGAACGATCACTGGACGGCAACTGGCGCACAAAGTATGTAACTCATCAACTGGTGATTTGACATATTCATGGGAACACGGTTTGGGTTTTAGAAAGAACGTAATACCTTTATCCAGGAACTTCAAGGTATCGCAAAGATGAAACGCCTTCGCATCACCTTTTTATCAGGAGATGTACACTGTGCCGCTGTTGGCGTTTTAAAGACTTTAGCTGGGGGAAAGAACACGCCCGAAGTACCTCCTTCAGTAGACTTCCGGTATATGATCAACGTCGTGACCAGCGCAATTGTGAACACTCCGTGAGTCTCAAGACCAGCAACGCTTCTTTTTCAGAGGGCTAAAGTAAAGCATGCTAGTCCACCCGTTGGGGTTATCACCATGGTTTCCTCGTTGGCAACCAAAATGCACAAGACACTTCACTATGCCCAGACTGACGAAACGATGGTAATGAACATTCCAACCCGTTCTTGCAAATAAAATATGTCGAGTTGACCAACGCCTATAGATGCCAATTTTCACTCACGATCCAGATGGCACATCGCGTGTCAAAAACAAGTATATCATGGGTCGGCGGAACTGGTGTGCTGTGCGGTGGGATAACAGAACGGGAGAAATGATATTCGATCTCCGCGTAGAGAAAGAGAAAGGCTTGGGCACCAGTGTCGGGTGAGCCAACTTCTGCTTTTCCAGAGACAGGCATAACTCAATTTAGTGCAGTTATGAGGTGAAAGTCCCACCGCCGCAGTGGGCTCCAGGGCGCTAGGATAGTCGGAATGATTTTTCACATTCTATCCGTATCGTATGCCATTATTTTCTGGCTAGTTTTTTGTATGTAGTATGCACTATTATTCGCTTTGTATTTCTTGTCACAGCAATTCTTCCAACTCAAGGTCTATCGATGGAACACCGTCCGACCTATTTTCCGCGTCCATATTTCCGTACTGCTCACCCTCTCCGTCACCAACCTCCACTTCACCATCCGCGTGATCCGATTCGTATTCACTTCCTGCATCATGGACGCGATAATCAATACTGGGCGTCGTCGTCGGCGCTGGGGAATGGGCCATCTCGATATCTTCGGGCAACTGCATCGTGGCCGCAAGCAGGGAAGAGACGATAGGTTTGTAATTGTCGCCGAAGTCGGCCACAAGCTCCCGTTCGGTGGATGTCCGCGATGTGGAGATAGCCCTGACGCTAGCCTGACGTGTCTCTGCTTCTTTTGCCCGCTTCTTCGCCTCCGTCTGCCGCTTCCTACGCTCTTTTTGTGCTTGCTTGGCTGCTTCAGCCTTCTGCCTCTCAGCCTTCAATGCCATTTCAACTTTGGCTTCTTCCTCCTCTCGTGCATCGAGATCCCATTGCTCCTGCATGAACTCAGGGTACCGTTCACAGATGGGCCTGCCAGGTGCGGTCACATGAGGGTTTGATATCTTCATCTTCTTTTCGGAGCAGTGCTTCGATATCCGGGGGAGGTGGGAATTCAAAGTCTGGACCTGGATTAATCCTCACGCGAGCATAGTTAAATAGGGATATGAACGGATAATATCCGAGGGTGCCATCGTCATATGGATTCTCCTTGTGCTCCCGTGGTGCACCTTCCCGAGCACGTTTTTTCGAACTTTCTTTGTCTTTGCGCGACGCGGCCGTCCTGCGCAATGGGAGGTAGTCAAACAGATCGCTAAATGCGACCTTTTGACATTCTCCGTTAACGAAGAATGCTATGTGCGAGCCTCGTAGCTGTGGAAGTGGACGCAGTACAGGTGTTTCTGGGCCTGGACCTTTGCGTTCGGGTAGACTCTTTGCATTTGCAGATTTCTTGGAGGGGACAGACGGGAGGGAGGCTGTAGAGGAGGCTTTATTGGAATACTCCATGAGAGCGATCATTTCTTTGCTCTGCGCGTACTCCAGACTTTCAAAGTACTCCTGTCCTTTGAACTCGATAGGTATGCGCTCTCGCTTCAGATGCGCAGGGTCGTGAGGATCGGCAGGATCGGGTTTGCGTCGCGGGGGAAGAAATATGTACATCCCAATAACATCGCCGCTCCGAAAGCTATGCCCATATGTGCGTGGCCTTGATAAATGAACCTTGTCGCCGGTTTTGTCCCGGTATCCATAAGAATATCCGTCCAAGCCCGCAGGTCCGTTCAATGGTGCTTCTCTGCGTGCCCAGCCAAGACGGACATGACTTCCCTCGCGCATGTTGACGTCTGGTGCATCTGGAGGACGCTCTCCGCCACCGCACTCAATACGTACCTCCATATACCAGGCACCCTCTCTTATAGGGGCATTGCATCGCGCGCTGCGAAAGCCCCGTTCGCCCAACAAACCTAATCCGTCCGGGGTAACCTTAATGAAAGCGCTGCGATCTTCCCAGCTGACACGGAATTTCGCCGGGCCACTTTCGATCGTGCGACATGGCAGAGCAGAACCGAGTGGTGCTACGCCCGCAGGAACGTAGCGGAATCCGAGTCTGTTCATCGCGAGCTGTTCGGTGGTGTGGTAGATGATATTAGGGGTATCTTGAAAAGTTGGAAAGCGGGATATCGTGAGTCTTGGACGAGAGAAGAAGTCGTGACGGGCGGGGAGTGTTACGTTGGCTGTTGCAGTTGCGTTATTACCATTAGCAGAGTCGGACGGTGTAGGGGATGGTTCTGGGACCGTATTAGCAACATGTCTGCGTTTCTTTGGTGGATAGTGGAGGTTGTTCGCAGTGGTACCCGGCGTGGACTGTCTGGAGGACTCATTGGGGACGTTCAGCGACGTGGAACCGGTGGTCGCCATTGATTTCAGGGCTCGTCGACCTCCCAAGTACTTCTCTACATTGAGGCACGTGACTCAGACACATGTTACCATATTCAGGGGGTACAGGCGGGGCAGTGGCTAAATGGACTTGGCTTCCTGCAACGATCATGACTGCTATTAGGTACGAAACTCACATGCACATCGAGATGCTGATTCTTTACCCGTGAGGCAGACGGATCCAAAAGGTACAGCCGTTGTTCCATGTGGCAGTACCGATTCAATTATGCCCTTAGGAATTGAGAGACATCAAAGAGAGACCTATCGATGTACGTATGATAACCACCCTTCGATCCACATTGTCGGCCCAGGTAACCTGACATGCACACGCTTACGTAGGGCATCTTTGTCGAACCGGAGAACGATAATTTGTTCGTGTGGAATTGTGCCGTGAAAGGGGCTGTGAGTGAGCATCCGGACGAGTTCTCCGTTCCAGACCACCGATCGCCCACATGCATAGTCCGATACTCCATACAAGGGTGGAACCTTCCGTTTCAAACTCGATCTGCCGTCCAACTTCCCGTTCAAAGCACCTACCGTAAGTCACCCCCCGTAAGAACTTGTACCATGATCTCCGCCTCAGGCGTGCCTTGTGCATCCGAGATGCCGTCCGTTTTTCATTTACGCCAACCACGCATCCTTTCACATTGACATATGTAGAGTCTTTTCAATTGTTTTGTTACCCACCTCAACTCTTGCTACCGCGTGTTATATTACGAAACTCATCGCGATTGCAGGTTGTATTTCAAACCAAGATCTATCACCCGGGGATCAACGAGGAAGGTCATATCTGTGTACCCATCCTCCGCGACGAAGTAAGCACTCGGATTCTTCCTGCTCACTTGAACTAAGGATTGCGGACACCGTTGCCAACCTACCAGTGGAAACCTTCCGTCACGTTGTCAACTGGTACGTCCGATTTAAATCGCTTCCCCGTCTGTCGGAAATGAGACGACCTCGTTCTAGTGCTGGCAGTTATCCAGGAGAAGGTGAACAACCCGAGTGCAGATGACCCATTTGAGCCAGATATCGCGGCAGTGAGGACCTCATTTGACCCTTTGTAGTTGAAACGCGTTGATTCATTACTTCTGGTTCGTAGTTGCTGAAAAACGACAAGGCCAAGTTCTTAGCCACAGCGAGGGAACACACGAAGAAGTGAGTTCTCCGATAGCAAAATAAGCTCCCCTTTCCGATGCTGATAGTTCTGTCTGACACAGATATGCTACTTGACGTAGACGATGGGAAGCAGACCTAACCAGATTGGTAGGAGTGATTGTAGCGATAGTGTAATAAGACATACGCATGTGAGGTTGCGGTGATAATGGCCTTGCGGTTTGTCCCCGATCGATTTTTGATCAAGGTGCGGGCATTGGTTATTTGTTTGATCGAAAATAAACGCTACTACGCGAGTCGCTTGCGGGAGGGGACTGCTGCACCAGATCACCCCGCGCACGGATGGTATATGACATATTATGGCCATCGTACCATTAATTATGGATGGATCTGGGTGGGCGTGGCACGGCAAGGTACAGCTGCAGCCTCTGATCCAGCCGGTGTCCAGTCGAGACTCAAGCTGGTCATCTCCGGCGCCCATCCTTGTCTTATCTTCAGTTCATTTAGTCATACTACTGGCGTACTAGCTTGATAGGCACTTTGACAACACCGTGTGGGTCAGGAGAGCCTTTCGGAGCAGGTTCCAAGGTTCCTTGTTCCCGTAAACACCAACTCCTCGTGTTCACCACGTTCCTTGTCTGAGGTCTCATCTTCTCGTCTCCCAAACCTTGAGATCTAATCCTGGGACTCCGTCACAGCAAACGTGTTCGAAACGAGGGTACTCGTGCCAATGCATCGTTTGCGGTACGATCCCACTGCTAATTCTTGTCTATCGCCATCTCATTCATCTCATGCCCCGATGTCATAATAATCTGTGCGGCCCATAATCTTCGCCCATTGCAACCCTGTCGCGTAACCGTAGGAAAAAGTCCGACGCTCCCAGCCAAATCGCCCACAGTTCCTCGTCCTCCACAGTCTCCTACGACACCGACCGGCCCCCAGAGCTCCCTTCAGCAGAACACTTCCGCACTTCCCTCATCCTCCCAGAGTAAGGTTCACTTGTTCGCTTCCAGGCATCGGCGTTGATTCAAATGCCGATTCAGACTTGCACGCCGTTTCACACTCCTCCGTACCCCAACCGGTGACCCCGTCTCTCTGGAGGACCTGAGGCAACGCTTCGCAGTCCAGAGAGCCAGGGGCGGTCCCGACCAGATATCCGAGACTGAAGAAGACATGCTTCTCGAGACACTCGGCCGTATTCGCTCCAAGAGCACGGCATCCAACAAAACTGACCACCATGAACCTAACGCTCCCAGTATGTCCGCAGGATCTGGCGCAGAGTCTGATTATACCCCCGAGCGCTCGTCCAATTATTCTAATAACACGTCAAGCTCGTCAACATACCCTGCTTCTTCACCAACCTCGTCACCAAGCTCGAGGTCCGCTAAGCGATATAGCAACAATTTGTTTTCTTCCGGACGCCTTCGAGATTATTCCTACCTCCGTTCTATATCACAAAAGAGTGGGAGTAGCAGAAGTGCTGCATCCATCACCCCCACCGACTCTAGCCAGAGTTTACGAGAGGGAGCATCTTTGATATCCTCAGACAGTCTGAGGCCTGTAACTCCCGAAGAGAGTGGACATGACTCCTCGACACCCTCGAGCCCAAATGAGAAGACACCTGTTGCACGTTCAGTATCACTTGTGTCATCCAACGAAGACGTGCCTCCACGAGCCGAGAGTGGGGACCATCCTCATACGTTGGAAGACTCGAGCACTGCAAGTTGTCAACGGACGTCCGCGGCCGTAGCTGAAGTATTTAAGGAGATAGAAGAGGAAGCGGAAGATGAAATCGTCATGCCACGCACAAGTCGAACACCTCGTCCTGATACCGACCGCGAACGCGTTTTCAATGACACACGAGACCAAGCGGAAATTGGCACATTGGTAAGGGTAAGACCAAATATCGTTTTCAAACCTCTCACCATATGGCATCCAGAACCATTCATCCACGCACCTCCACTATGAGGCAGGGACTGCAATATCCTCCGACAAACAGATTGTCGTTGACCCAGGTACTCACCGAATGTCACCCATTCCTACTGGACGTCCCGGGGCAACTTCACCCCGCCTGCCGGGCTATGTACCGGGAATGCCTCGCCCCATGACTCCGCGCGATCCCATACTCGACGATGATATCCGCTCGCACTCCACTACACCCCGTGCGATGTCACCCAATCAGAACGGGCACGTGTCTCAACTCTCGTCAACTTCATTTACGTCAGGCCCACTCAGACGTGGTTCTGACGCATCCCGTAGCACCCCTCGGCCCACTTCCCCCCCTTACACGTCTTCGACCTCCTACTCACCGAGGAACCTTACCGGAAGGCGGACGCCAGATGAAAGTCAGCGCGACAGTACCAGCGGTACTGAGCAAGAGGGTCCTGGCTCATCTCTCTTCCTGCGAAGGCGACCGGTATCGCCCTTGACCAGCACTACTTTTCAGCCAATGGCTGTTTCCCCCCGGCCCAGCACGCCTTCCAACGTCACGTGGAATGTCGGGCCTGCCGGCAAGTCCGAAAGTAGATCAATGCACAGCCGAAACGGAAGTTTGACAGACACCGATTTTTCAGTTTACGCGGACTCTTCCAAGTCGTTGACCATGTCTACCCACCCTTCGGATGCCCCAGTCACGCCTAATTCGGTTTCAACGAAGTGGAGCCGATCAGCCAGCCCCGCTGTTTCGGTGGAGTATCGTTCGCCCTCAAGTCTCTCTGGTTATGACGTTGGTTCGCCTTTGTCTTCAAGCCATACCCTTCGTTCTCCAACGCCTACACAATCCCGTAATGTCGCCTCGCCTGCATTCACCTCTTCTGACCCAAATCCCGTCATTTCGCGTACTTCGAAACAACATGCATCCAACTTCTCTTTAGGCTCCTCTCAACTCTCGCTTTCTCCTTTAGCCAATTCTTCTCGTTCTTCATTGGAATCTACTGGGTCAAGCTACCATTCGGAGAGCGGCCAGGCAAAACGCCAGGCCGCAGGTATTTTCATTAATGGCGCGGGCCAGGCGCAGCCCGCGTGGCATGACCTCGATAAGTCGAATTCTACCACTCCTAGCAGTTCACAAGAAGGATGTGATTTCGAAGACATCGTAAGACGTTATGCGGGACTGACGAAGTCCGACTTCTTCGCCATCCAAGAAAGGCTTGTTGGAGCTGCGGTTCAAAAGTCCAGTTACCCTGACACGCGGGAACGAGCCAACTCATTGCGCAGGCGCAGGCCGTCGACCTCACAGTCAAACTATTCTGTGAATGGTAAAGAGAGCCGGGTAATTTACAGTTGTATCTAAATGACGTTTGCAGTCTCTAATACTTGGTACAGGTTGCTAGCCCGCAACCGGTTCAAAGTGCAACTCCCGGTACCCGCTCACCTGCCCCGGACAACAATGCCAAAGCCAATGCTCTTCTGGAGTCCGTAGTGGGTAGTATACCACCGATTACCCTCACTATAGACGACAAGGTCGAGAACAAGCCCCCTTCCGAAGTTTCCCCTACCACGCGAAGAAATCGTGATCTCGCACGTGCCTTGGGCTTTGGGACCGAGGAGGAGGATAATGGAGTTCCTGAACCAGCATTGACACATGAACCCGAACCATCCTCCTCGTCGGTCTCGCTTACCGTGGAGGCAATTTTGCCCCACGTTCCTTACCCCGACGAAGAAGAGGTTAATCCCCCTGCCATTACGTCCCCACAACCTGAACACATACCCCTTGCGTCTTCTCCAAGTCCTAACCCTAACCTGCAACGTTCCACTTCGGTTCAGGACCCTAGATCAATTGACGAATATGAGTTGGAGAAGGAAGTACAGCGCAAGGCGGAGGCCGCCACAGCTGCTCTTATGAAAACAACTTCAGGGCAGAAGTTTACGGAGGCTAACTCTTCGATGGTGTCTGTGACCCGTAAAAGAATAAGTCCGAGCCAGATATCTACTCCGGTTTTGGTCTCTGCTCCAACCAGTATGGAGACGATACCCTTGCCACAGGCTGGCACAACTCCGCCTTCCAATACCCAATCATCTCTTGGCATTACACAGCGCGTGAGACGCTTCAGGGATACGTTGCGGGTGAAACCTGCGGTCTCCAGCGTGGAGGAAATCTCATCCCTACCTACTGATCAGCAAGCCCAAAACAACACTTCCTCAGGCCTCCGTAGACGCCCTACACTCCCTAAATTTAGTCCACCCGACCCTGCGAAGTCCAAGATTCCTCCATCTAACACCCAAGCTTCGACAACGACACCTGGTCTGAAAGGATTGATCGCACGTTTTCGGAAACCCAAAACTAGCGAAACCCATGGAGATAGTCACTCTAGCAACCGTTCTCGGACATCACCTTCCGACTCTTCGCCTACGGCATCGGCATCGTCTCATCGCGGGAATTCTGTGGCTACCCTGCCGATGAAATCTGGCGGGTCTTCGTCAGCGGAGGCGACTGCCCGTCCAGCTACCGTCACAGCCGCACTTAACAGCGAAATGGATTCCGCAGCCGTGAAACAACTCTTCGACGCTGCCTCAAATCTTGGGCTAGACAAAGTGGCATTGAATGACTTGCTTGCTCGTTCGACGTCTGTGTCGCGTGCAACGGGTTGGGGTTTGTCTGCAGGGTCTCGTGCCGCACGTGGGACTAAATCGCCGACACCTACTAGGCCAGTGGCCGATAACGTCGATCAAACCCTCTCTGTTACACCCGAAGATAAACGGAACGATGACGTTAACAGCACTGTGAATGGCGCAGACGACAGGACCGTGAGAGCCATGACAATGCGAAAACCCGTAAATTCCACACCATCCGACCAAGGTGTTGAAAGCCCCGCAGTAGTTCGAAGGACACTCATCTTTCCCTCGGACTTTAGAACCTCCAAAGTCGATGCGAGCCAAAGTTCCCGGAGGCATTCTATGAAGAAGCATCGCCGCTCTAGCAGTGCAACTTCGGCGCAGTCAGCCCGGTCTGTGCATGATCGGGCACCAACGCCACCACCTCCGAAGACAAACGGTGCTCGGCGCCTGTCAACAGACCGCTCACCACCTGTACCGTCGATGGCAACCTCTATCACCGCACAAGCCGAGGCGCTTCTCCGTGGACCCACTGGAGGTGTCACGACGGAAAAGTCGAACTCTGCGTACGAGTCACTGTGAGTGATCTATCCCGTCCCAGGGTTTCTATCTGATCATTTCCTTGTGGATCAGTTATGACATGTACTCTGGCGAGAACAAACATGCATCCACCCTCGTGGACGATTCAGGTCGGGAACGTGGTCATGATAGCACAGCCACTCAGGAGGGAACTGCGGTTGAGGTCGTTGAGATGGCCAATGGGGAGACGATCTGGTACGTGACTTGCGTATACTTTTTGCCGTATGCGGGACTTATTCTTCGTCAAGGTCTATCGTGAATGGTCTACGGGAAGATGATGTCGAGTCATTTAATGCCAGCAGGACAAGTTCACCCGATTGCGCGCGGGAGAACAGAGATGATGTGCAAATATTTGTCAAGGAACATGCGCGTTCGACGTCAAAGGGTAGCAGCTCCTCGTTCTCGCTGAAAAAGGCATATCAGGGCAAGAACCGTCCGGAGACGAAGGTAGGCCGATACAACATATCAAAATTAGCCCAACACCCAATCACCTGCGCCCCAGATTTATTATAGCTCGTCTGCGCAAATTGGTCGACTTATAGAAAATCTTTCTCAAGGAATGGACAGTGGTTCCTTCAACTTTATCCCTAATCACCATTCTGATCGCTCGAGTCCGAGCTCCTTCCAGTCTGGTGGCGATGGTCACTGGACGGTTGAGGAAAGACTTGAACAGCTGCTTGGCGCGATGAGGGACCCTTGAGTGCTTGGTCGGTTTACTGATAGCATATGGATATTGTGTGGTATATGGTATTCTTCTTGGTTGTCTTGATAATGGATTACATACAGTGCTCGTATCATCTCTGTTTAATATTCTGGGATATGTTGGTTCCCTTGTCGTGTTGTTATGTAGTCCTCTCGTTACCCGGTCATATTCAAGTCAAGCCAACGGTTAAGATTCAGCGTCACGAGTGCTTCAATCAAGAGCAGCCCATTCGTGAAGCAATATTGAAGGGTCCCGTGTGACATACCGACGGGAGTCGAATGGTCGAACTTATGGAATGTGGCAATTTGTACATTCAGATTTGGGCCTGCCCACAGCTGACAGTGACAGCGAACAGTGAGTTGTCTGCACCTACATAGAGCCAGATGTCAACGTACTTCGTATGATGTAGGGTCTTCATATGACCGACGCCATTCATACATCCGGTCGTCGGTAGCGGAGACGAACTGGCGGGCACTGACAAACGGTACGTCAACGACTGAGAGGGGGGACAAGAGAATTTGAGAATTACTTGGGACTGGATCCCGGCATGATGAGACGTTCTATGGGGATCTCTCTGGACTGTCCGAGTGTCAGGAATTGCGCAGACCCGAGTCCGGAATGGCCGCCTGCCCAATGGAGGGCAACAGCGGGTTGTCTGTCGCTAAAAATCTGCAACAGAAGGGGGCGGGTTCACGACTGACGTGGCACAGCCAACGACGGTGCCTACCGTGGTGCACATGTCCGTGGTCTCAAATTCGAAGAAGACGTGCTTCTCGTCTTCTCCGATGACCATGCAATCACGGGGATCATCGCGGCCAGTGAAGAAAACTAAGTAGGGGAAAGCAGACATGGTGAAGTGGGTTGTTTGACTGGTAATTCATGAACTTCGCAAGGCTTCATATACCCTGCGGACATTGCAAGTGCTTCCCCGGTTTCGTCAGAGGCCCCCTTGCGACCACCGGACGGATGAAAACTAGGAAATAAAATAATACCTTATCGATATTGGCTTACAGCCAGTACAGGAAGACCCCCCCTAGGTGGAGCGAATAGAAAATTACTGAAAAGCACCCGTCTTGGGGAAACGCGGGGGCTCGTGATTGTTTAATTACCCGGCTTCGTGCATCACGCTAGGTTCGTGGCTATCAGCGCGTTAAAAGCTAAAACGGGCACCTACCTTGTAGGGGCATCTCAAGGAATTCATAGTAGTCAAGGCCATCCATGCTGTATCACTAAGGAGTGCTCCGTTCATGGCCTTGGCCAACGCCAACAATATTGATGCAGAGTTTGGATGAAATCAACACATGGCGTGGGATCATTGATCAACTAAACCTAACATAACGCAGTATAGTCGAAAACAGCACGTCGGTGGCTTAAGAGTTAACCTTCCACAGCGGCCGTTTTCGTATCTTGCGAGTGACATGGACAGCACTTTCACCCATGTGACTACCACCAAAGGCAAGTACGACCGTCTCTTCTGCTCCACGACCCCGCGCAATGCCCTTTTTTCTCAGCTCTACGGCGTCCTTTGCAAATTTAAAACGACTTTGATCTGAACCTAATGTAGCGGGTAAGATTATAGCAAGTCGGACCAACGTGAGGAAAACGAAGCCGTACCTATTTGGAAGGCCGGGGACTCAACAGCCGCCTTGAACATGTCGAAGGGCACGAGGGAAAATATCTGAAGCAAGGTCTCTCGTCCCGACCTGCCTTGTGACGAACCAGATTCGGAGACAGCGGATGAATTTACTTCCAATACATTGGGAAGGGTATCCACGAGAAAGTGGAATACATCATCTCGCAACCTCCGCGCGTATTGACCAAATACGGATGTTAGGGTTTGTTGTTCGGGATCGAGTGATCCGTCTGAGCCAGGAATGCTGTCAACGAATTCGAGCCATTCATGAATCGTCTCCACATTGATGGACTGCCTGCAACTTTCGTACGCGTACACACAGAGATCATCCATACCCCCCAGTAGGCATCCGGCCGCCAGAACGCCTCGTGAATTGTCGGGCCGGATAAGATCGATGGAAACAGATGAGTAAAGGTAACCAAGCGCTGACAAAATGACAAATAATGAGTGACCCGTGACGGACGAAGACCCATCAGTGTGATACCTATGACGAAACCCTGTGAATGCAGCGATTAGCCTGTCAAATCTAGTAACAGCTACGTCAATGAAAATGTCCAATGCGGACCCCCGGAACGGTAGTTGTAAGAGATAAGGGTCCTCAACTACTAGTATCCGGGGGGTAATTTACAAATACCGACAAGGGGTATATTCATCGCCACCCAGAGTGGCACACAAGGAACGGACCAATGATTCACGTAGAATGAATGCCCACCTCTTGCGTGACTTCTGGTTCGTTGTCTAGTTGTACATATATTACGCGTTGGCCACCTGCTGGGGGGGAAGTGGACATTAAATGTGCGAGGAATGGTGACCGCGAGAGGATTATGGCGTGAAGACGATACGAGTTCTGGCGGACGTTCTAAACTCAGACGAAACAATTGATGCCCCTTCTTCGTAGATTAAATGAACAACGAACTCACAAGGATAGTGTCGGCGTAGTGCTGTATCACATGGGGGAAAGTTAATTTGGGGTATTTTCTAAACTAAAACGATGGTACTCACGCCGGTCTGAAAGCCTGCATGATAGAGATGATGTATAATTTCTTCGTTGTGCGAGTTAAGTGCTCTACTACAAAAAGGGTGGCAGTTTCATGATTTTCCCGTGTGCAAAACACGGAGCGCAGCCATGAATGATAAGATCCAGCAAGATGATCGGGAAAGAAAGCACACTCTGGGGAATACTCACTGTGAATACCCATTAGAGGTGGGGAGAGGAGATACTGCAACCGAGTCACATGGAAGGTTTTGCTGGTTTTGTATTGGGGTTTCGAGACCGTTACTAGGAGTGCCATGACCATTAAGACTTGCGCTAGACGAGGAAGAGAGCAGGATTTCCATGTTTTTATCTGACGAACGGTGCGCCCAGCAACTCAGGATATGCGTCAAGTCTGGCGGTCGCTCCAACGAATCGGACGGGGTTGGTTGACCAAGTCCATACTTCCATTTGTGCGTCACATTTTTAGGTGACGGTCACTGTCACACGAGAGGATAGGGGGATCCTCGTAGCATAATGCGGGCATATGTACTAGTTTTCTACACACTTCTAGGTACTGGTTTACTGCCTGAACACCAATCTTTAAATGATGCGAAATCAAGCACGGTGCCAAGTCCATTGACTTCGCCACCCATATAAACGAAGTCACTCATCAAATTGTGGCTGACACCCTGCGCAGCTGCCAAGGGTCCACAGATACAAGGGTATGAAGGAGGCACTGCAACATAATGGGGTCCGTGAGAGGGATCGAAAATGACCTAGAAATTTCATTGGAGAGTTAAGATACCAAGGACGATCAGTGTTTGCGTTACCATGTGCGATCTATCGGATGCAAAGCTGTCCAAGTAAACCTTAGAAGGAACGACCCTGAAGAGACTGCAGAGGACGACGAGTCTCCACTGAGATAAGGTAATCGGATTTCCCGTAGTTGATTGTACCTTTGGAATTGTTCTGGCAAGTCCGCGTGGCCGGGGAAAGTTTGCTCCACGTATTCTATATAGTAGATAAGATCCGGGTTGAGCCCATGCCAGAAGGCGATGAAGCGTTTCACAGTCGAGTTTATACGCACCTTCCCAAGGACATGGCACGGGAAGGCGAGTGTCCAGATCATAGATCCAAGTTCCTTGTTCGTCATCTCGATTTGCAGCGAAGGCCCCGCGCAGCGTTAGAACAACACTGGTAGTCCCATATCACCGCGGTATCTCTAGACGAGCTTATCCGCTGGTTCCATAAAGCGACCTGTTGGGGTAAATAAAGTTGTGGCAAGAGAGAGTCGTCGAGGGTGAGATTGCGTTACCGTCCTGGATAAATTGGATACAAAGATAATATTGATATCCCACCTGCTGTCACTGTCCGGCTGTGCCAGCATTCGCTGGGCGAGATGGTAGATATTCTCTTCGCAATACTGACTTGTGTACACGTTGTCTTCGAAGTTGGGTAGCATTAGATTCTCACTCATACTCCGACGAGGGAGTGCTGTATTGCCCCTATTTGGGTCATTTTGCGATCGCTGCCCAGCTGTCCAGGTTTGACATTTTGAACAACTCCAAGCTAGCGAAGCGTCTTATTAGAATGCAGGGTCGCTGACGAACGCATAATCTCCACTGCAGTCTTACTAACCCTTGACCCATTGGCAGGTGGCGGAATACCTCTTATGAATGGCGCGAAATATTTCCCTTGTCAACCTATTCACGTACAATTTCATCCGCAACACGCGATTTCGAAACTCCTAGGGCCGGCTGCTTGAATGGCCGAGGGTTCCCAGCAGTCCATCTTGTCACCAACCTGTTAATCAAGTCTGCAGGGAAAGGGTCAAGTGCGTGGCTTAAAGTTCACATTTCCTGCACTTCTCGGATCATGCTATAGTGGCGTTGGCCAAATTCCGCGGGAAGTATCCCTGCTAGTTACACTCGACGCAGTAGTAAATCTAGATCACCCAAAGGCACACAGGATCCGTACTGACCTTCCAAGTCCCATTTCTTGATTTTTGTGCATGGTAAAATCACAGAGGTTGAATCTTATAAAAGCAGTACACATCAGGCTCCACGCCAGCACTTAAGAACGTGCTTGATAATCAAGAGGGATTGCAGCCACTGACTTGATGCCTGGTTCACACACCTATAAGTTACATGGCCGTTCTGTAAGGTCATGCCGCAAAGAAATCGACTGAACCATGATATCGTAACTGTCGAGTACTACTTATGTAACGATCGCCGACGTCAGAAAGAAACTCTGGTTATGAAATGCGGGACGGCCCTCCGGAACAGAGTTTGACGTTTCAATGCCAATTAGGGTATCTACTCACGTCAACAACGTTGCTGAATCTACCTTCCGGGGCCCGGTGTCAGCCTTTGTGAGCAACAGGTTTGGACAGCCATACTACGCGACGCCACGGGAACGGATCGATAGGATGGTGTGCCAGATAGGAAAGGCTTAAAGCATATTAGTGACCAAACAAGCAGAACTCCCCAATTCCCTGCGAACGTCATGGAAATCTACGTCGTGGGCTGGTGATAAGAGTTAAATGATGCACCAAAAAGGGATGGGCACGATCACCATCCTGTGGGCAAGAAGAGAGCGAGGAAACTCACTATCTTCCACCTCTCCCCATCTTTGAATCTGGCTCTCCACCTCGACTCGCGCAGCAGCAGCGGCTTGCTCGACAGTAAGGTGCCGCTTAACGAGAGCAAGCGCAATGAGGAAGGACTTCGTCACATAGGTTGCGCGCTCCATCGCTAAAGAGAAAGGTTGGAACCAACTCGCACAGTTACATTCGCAGCGTACCAGCCATCTCCCATGGGTCCATCTGGCCAATAACATCGCCAAGTACTTTCTTCGTTTGCTCAGGCTGAGAGTGTAAAAGTATCGAATCAAACACCTTGACTTCGACACCATACGTCACCTTCACCCACTCAAGAACGGGCTCCCAGCGCTTTTGTTGCAGCTCCACCAAAGGCGGTGGGTCATCGTGATGGAAACTATGACAGAATGAGCAAGACCTCATATATGACTTTCACGAACGTACCAAATAGTGTCAGTGTCTAGGTAATTCAGGAGGGTAGTCTGAACCTGCTTCCGGGTTTCCTCATCTTGGAGAGCGTCGATTGCTCGCGCAGCGATCGATGTCTAGGACATTAGTCCACAAAACAATATCAAGCCAGCTTCCCTAACTTACCATTGGCAGAGCGTGTTGTTTAAGAAACTTTTCCTGGTTTTCCCACTCGTTGGCTATCACAGTTGCTGCCAAACGCTTTCCCTTTGGGAGTAAGAGTGTGTTGCCGGAGGGAGTCTTTAGTGCTCGTTTGTCCAGCGTCACGGCAATGCCATTATCCCTAATGTCAATTCCAACTGTCTTCCAGAAACGCTTCAGAGTAGCCTCTGCGCCTTCACGCATTCATAAGAACGCTGTGACATGGTATGATGCAAAAGCACTTGCGATTAGTTTCGGAGACCACGGGGCCCTCTCCTGATATTGAGGTCGTAGTATATTTGCGGAAATGGTGTAGCATATAACATGTCTGTACGACTTGTCGCGACGATGACCAGGTTAGCCTGGCAAGAGATAAAGTTTGCGCGCTCCGCATCATCAGAGTTGATGGTATTTACTTGGGCTGGTAGTTCGACGCGTAAAAATCATAAGCACGTGACTCATGTAGTCTGATTCCGAAAGCATCAAATTTATTGAACAAACAAAATAACACATATAGCTCGTAGCAATCGGGAGGGAATAGATCTTCGCAGCTAGTGTACCCGGTCTTGCCTACAAAGGTCATAGGTTGCACACCAGAAAGAAGGACAGAAAGTTGCTTTAGTTCCGGTGCAACGATGTGAGAATATGCGCGAAGCAAAGCTGCAAATGGAGGGTCAGCTGAGCATATGCAGCAAAAGAACAAGGAACCAAGTGGTTGCCTCAAGATCAACATTATTGGTATCCACAAACCGTAACACCCGGGATGGTTATTTGGGTAAGCCCATAGTGAAGTTAAACAGTTGACGAGCCTCTTCTGCGCCAAAGACAAGGGTAATTAGCTGTTATAATAGCCGTAGAGGGCCATATGGGGATGGAAATCTGACCTTGAATATATGGTTCGAAGGAGACCAGAGCGTTCATTCGCATAAGGCAGAACCGGTCTGCGAGGTCAGACATGACAGAAAGTTGAAGTAGCTTGAACCGTCACTTTGGATGACATGAAGTGGTGCAGACCAGGCCGAGGTAAAAGCAGTAGACTTGCCCTATAAACGGTCTGAAGTGCATGATACTGCGTGTTCCATCATCAGTTTCGGGCAAATAAACTCTCAGCAGGGCCAGAATGTTCGTGTGTGGTTTGTTCAGAAGGGTTAAAGGTCGAAGGATGGCCCGGATGGGAGCAACGACGACTCGCAGGTCACGATGAATAAATCTACATACATATGCGTCATCAATGATGAGCGTCGAATGACAGCAACTGACACAGACTGACAAACGGAACGGGAGCAAAAACGAGCTAAGGTCCCATACCTAATAACTCAAATGCTTACTGGGTGATTTGAGACAGCCCTCCATCACAGCAGAAAGTCCACTCGGTTATCGCCTTGTTTACTGGGAGCGAAATTCTATTCCTGATCAACGGCAACGGCATCAAAAGGATTTTATCTTAGGTGTGATTTGCATGATGGCATTGAGAATCAGCGGGAAGTCTCGATCACGAGTCTGTTTTCGTCGATCCAAGTAGTTCCCTGTCCTATCCTGTACCGATGGCACAGTCCGCAGTTTCTCAGACTACCGGCTTAGTTAAAAATGCGCACCCGATACTGCTTACCAAATACTGGTCGGCTCCTTGAGCTCCTTCAAGGACATGCACTTGCTCCTCGCATGACGTCACGTGCCAACCAAGGTTGTCCGCACGGCTATAACTAGTGCCTCTCTGTCTTGAGGAACATCGTCTTACAATGAGTCGAAAATCGCCCGCAGTGCCAGTGGGGATGCAGAGTCAGTCCCGTATCTCTGCCTACTTCTCCCAGACTTCGTCGCCGGCCAAGAAGCGTCAACACGACAGTGGAAGCCCTGTCATAGACTTGACCCTTGGTGATTCAGAGGCGGTTGAGCAGCGACCCATCAAAAAACTTAAAGCAAGCCAGGATGGCCGTCCCTTGGAATACTGGCGTTTCGACCCAAGTCAGCCGTCTTCAGCAACTGTTGAAAGAGCATCATCCATGGACGAGGGCAGAAAGAAGAGACACGAGGAGTTCAAACGCGTCCTACTAGGGGAAAACAACATTTTCGCTCGTCCTAAGCATATTCAAGAGCAAGCCGCACACTCAGACGTGGGGGAAGTGAGTGGAGAGGATGAGGATGGAGGCCCTGAATCCGATCGCTCCGACGTAGCGTTCAAGGAGCTGACAGATTTGTTCTCGCATAAGCCCGTCAGAAAGAAGGGCAAGGCGAGTGCTCCTAGTATAAAACGAAACAAAGGAGCTTCAGAAGAGATTGGGCCGAGTGGGCTGCCATACACTCCTGCGGAACTACAAGTGGGTATCCCTAAACTTGGTGGTCTGACTCTTCTCAGGAAGCGTTACTTTCTTACACAGTCATTGAAACTTATCAAAGACAATCCGGGGGTAGTTCTGATGATTGAATCTGGCTACAAATATTATTTCTACGAAGAAAGCGCTACGGTACGCTTGCCGGGAGTAGCGCAGCGGGACACCTATCTAAGAGATATCCGCAGATAGCCAGCAAAGAACTTGGCATAATTGCCTACCCGCGACGCAATCTCATGACTGCTGGTATCCCCACTCATAGGCGTGATGTACATGTCAAGAAGTAAGCCCATTTTCTACTAGTGGCGATTCTGAAGTTTTACCTGAGCCATTAGGCTCCTTTCCCAGGGATACAAGGTCGGAATTGTGGAGCAGACAGAGACAGCAGCGCTCAAGAAAGCAAGTGAAACCAGAAACATGCTATTTGAGAGGAAACTCACTTATCTTTATACTGCCACAACGTACGCAGTGATACTGGGGAGAGTCAACATGATTGTGATGCTGTTTATTTGCAGATACGTTGATGAAGTCGGATCTACCGACGACCTTGACAAGTATGGTGCTCCGTTGCTTGCTTGTTTCCTCGAGTCACCCAGCCGTGGAGCCGTCCCTGACGACCAAGTCTCGATAGCAATGATCGCTATCACACCCAGTACTGGTGATGTTATATGGGACGAGTTCGATGGTTAGTCGAGTTATGTTCGACTTGCTCGTCTTTTCTGCTTACCCGGAGTAGATTCGATTATGCGTTCTGAGCTAGAGGTCAGCTCTTCTTGGTATGACAAGGCGTGGGTTCGTGACGCTCCAATAGACACGTCTTGTACACACTCGGCCAGCAGAACTGGTACTTCCGGAGCAGGGATTGAGTAGATTGACAGAGAAGGTGTTGAAACATTTTGCCAGGTAAAATTTCCCCCGTGGCTTCTCGCCAGTATTAACAGGGAGTTGCAGCTCCGCAGCAGGCGAGCATAGAGTTCGAATCGAACGCTACGAGAGTCCCATGGAGTACACAGCAGCCTTTGATTTTGTAACACAGTTTTACAATGATAAGGCAAAACAGGGAGCCATGAAGGATCCCAAAATGGGTATGAGACTGTGTCTTTTAATATCACCACTCTGCTATTCATTTTGGGCCTTTCAGAGGGTGTCCTTGGCATTATTGCGAACTTCCCGCAGCGAGTTGTCATAGCTCTTGCGCACGCTATTGAGTACCTTTCGGCATTTAGTATAGCGGATGCATTCCTTGGCGCCAAATTTTTCTCGAAGTTCGCTAACAGGACTCACATGTTGTTGAATTCTAACACTCTTACCAACCTGTCGGTCCTCTCTTAGCACCCTAGAATCCAGTCTAATGCATCTTACAGAGAAATTTACCATAACCAGACAGACTACACAACCAGAGGGTCGTTAATGTGGATTCTTGATCACACGACAACTAAGTTTGGGGCCAGACTACTAAAGAATTGGGTGGGCAGACCACTCACCGATAAGACGTTAGTGGCCTGTTTCAAACAGAGAGTTTCTGCGAAGCTAACTTCAACAGGATCCTGCAACAGCGAGTAGATGCCATCGAAGAGATAATCGCCTGTACCTCCGAAAGACTGGTTGCGCTTCGGCAGGTTATGAGGAAGCTGCCAGACCTTGCGAAAGGACTCTGTCGGATTCAGTATGGGCAAGTGAGTACGCTGAACTCGTTAGATCGGGTGTGCGGCTGAATCGCGTATGCATGAAGTGTTCTCCCAAGGAGCTTGCAACACTTCTTCCCGCATTCAACAAGGTCGCAAACGCATTTGACGGTCTTGTAAACGAGCCTAGCGGTGGCTTCACATCCAAACTATTGAACGAAATCGTTTTGGCGCTCCCGAAACTTAAGGCACCAATGCGTGACCTGCTGAGTGCCGTATCCTTGGAAGAGGCTGCCCAAGGATCCAAAGTGTCCCTATGGAAAGATGACGAGAAGTACCCTGCGTTGGTCGAGCTACAGTTGGTGCGTATTATATCTTACTGTCGGAACTCATGATCGACCTTTTTAGATGATTCAAACCGTTGAGTCTGAGTTATCGGAGGAACTAAAGAGAAGTGAGTTGATCCTTTGCTGTTGAAATCACTCATTTCATACCAACACATTCAGTCCGCAAAATTCTCAGAATACCGTCACTGCAGTGGACTACAGTCCTTGGCTTTGAGGTACTCTTCTTTGCTATCTGTGGCTTCTAAGTACCCTGACGGCTACTAGTATCTCGTAGAAGTAAAGAAAGCTGATAATCGCGAGGTTCCTGTTGGCTGGGAACTGGTGTCAAGGTAACGCTCCATTCCTGTATTGCTGTGAATCGTTACTCTATGGTTACCCAGCACAAAGTATCTGAGACGTTACTATACTCCGGAAGTCAAGAAGCTATTGCAGGAGCGAGCACGGTATCAGGAATTGCTCACGGCTGAAGCTAACAAAGCATACAAGTCTTTCTTGGGCGATATCATGCAATCATACTATCCTGTCTTACGTGACGCTGTGAGTAAGTTGGCAATTGCCGATTGTCTTTGCAGTTTGGCGCAGGTCGCGCTTCAAGATGGTTACGTGCGACCCGAGTTTACTGAAGACGATGTTCTCGATATCGTGGATGGCCGCCACCCGATGGTGGAAGCTTTGAGGCCAGATCCATTCGTTCCCAACACAATTTGCCTGGGCGGGGATTCTCCAAAAAGTGCGATCATTACGGGTCCTAACATGGGTGGCAAAAGTTCAGCAGTTCGGATGGTTGCTCTCATTGCCATCATGGCACAAATTGGATCGTATGTCCCTGCAAAGGCTGCTAGGATTGGGATGTGTGACGGCATCATCACGAGGATGGGAGGTAAAGGATCTTGTTGGCCGACTTGAACCTGAACTTAGAATTTCTACAGCATCGGATGAGCTAGCGCGCGGACGGTCAACGTTCATGGTCGAGATGGCAGAAACCAGTGAAATCCTCTCTATGGCCACCCCCAAGAGTCTAGTGATCCTTGATGAGCTTGGTAGAGGTACGTCCACAGCGGATGGGGTGAGTACATATATTTCTTTTCCTGGCCTCATTTGAATCCGGACGGGTTCCTAGATGGCAATTGCAGACGCAGTCCTCCACCACCTAATACAGGACGTAAAGTGCAAGACCCTATTCATCACGCATTATCCCCTTGTTGCCATTGACATGGAACGACGGTTTCCGATGGATGTTCAAAACGTACACATGAGTTATACGACGGAAACCCGTATAGACGGGAGACGAGACGTAACGTTCTTGTATCGCCTAACCAGGGGCTTTGCTAAAGAGTCGTTTGGAGTGGAATGCGCACGGTTGGCAGGTATTTCTGAAGAGGTTCTTGCTGTTGCAAGTGAGCGCTCCGAGCGTTGCCGGCTGTCCGTCGAGGCTCACAACAGCCTAATTAGGTTTGTGGTATCAATTTTTTGGTGTTACACAATCGTTTTCATTGATCCTGGTGTTATTTCAGAATGCATGGTTGTTTTCATCTTATCCAGCAGTGTCTCGCAAATCCACCAGACGCAACCCAGTTGCTACGAGAACTCCGCACCCAAATGTACCTGCATCGATCTACATTAGGAGCATAGTGTTACTATGATTTGGTTTTCTTTTGTTTCTTCCGACCCGATTTTTTAGAGGAATCCGTAGTATCTACCACTTCATCCGCCTTGCGTTTTCCTCCATCGCCACTCCGAGTTGCGGGTTTCAGCTGAGAAGCAATTGATTCTATTTGACGACACATGCTCAGGAGGGGCGACGACGATTTGAAACGGTCGCAAGCAGCGAGTCTCGCATGTAGCGCATTCCATGCAGCAGGGTTCCAAATCACCTTTCCGGGCGACGAGTTTGACTTCTGCACCTGGCGGATACAGATTAGGACGCCTTTCAATAGGTCCTTCAGCTGACTGGCACTCCAGCTGCATTGATCGTCGACAGCTCCGTTTGCGAGATCTAGCACGGTTTTCTGTAGACTCTTCTGGAACGACGACGTGATCGCCTGGTCATCCTTCTCCCAGTCAACGTCACCCAAGTACCTCTAGAAAGACAGACAGACACACCTTGCTTGGCTGGCTCAAAATTATGCTCAGGAGTTGGAATGCCTGGCATCTCCTATAGGAATTGACGGCGTTTGAGGACGCAGTCAAAACAGGGTCACGGAACTTTGATCCTAGTACCTGGAAGCGACGGACGAAGTCCTGGAAGAAGCTGAAGTTGGCCTGAGATGCCTTGCGGGACATGTAATCATCCAAAGATTCCTGGTATATGCGGACCACACCATCATCTTCATTTAGCTGGACCAGTACCCGGCACAAATAAAGACTACTTTGGCTTAGGACCGAGAGGTTGTCCGGGGAATGCGACTTCCGAACTCGTTGGTGAACCTCGCGAAGGATGGTTTCGACTTCATCGCGTGTCGCATTGATTGGCACGTCCTTGGACTTGGCAAGACGGTTATTAAGGATGCCCTTCGCCTTATCAGAGAGCTGTTTCTCGTCCATCCCGCTCTTCGTCACCAGGTCAATCAGAGGGAGTATAAGTCGAATGTTGAGCGGATTTTGAGGTTCTCTCTTAACGAAGGTATCGACGAGGTCAAGAACCCTATTCTTGAAGTGCGTTGCTTCTCGTTGTGCATCCACACCTGGCGTAGACCTTAGTAAGATAGACGTTCAGAGGTGACTACTACTAACCTTTCTTGGACCTCTGCTCGTCCTTCCGGAATCGGAAGATCTTAGCAAGTTGCTCGTCTATTGCTATCATCTGTTCATCATCCATAAGTTCTTCGGATTCTTCGTCAGATTTTTCATCCGACTCGTCATCCTCGACGCTGCCCATGCCGCTAGCCTTGAGCAAGTCAACAATTTTCTTCCGAGTCTCCTGAGCGTCTTCATCGTCACTCTCTTCAGACTGGCTTTCGTCATCGTCCGATGCTTCTGAAGAGTCCTCATCTTCTTCGTCGCTGTCGGCATTCATCTCTTCGATCTCAACCTCAGCAAGCTCGGCTGGATTCCGTCGTTCAAGTTGCTAGCCAATACAAACTTGCAGTCAGAGCCTTGCAAGACAAGACGTGACAATATATTGCTCACTGTAAGAACGAGATCTATTGTGCTCTCCTGAACCGCACCAGTGACACAGGAGAAAGCCTCGTTGGCCACTGAGCGCGTGTATGCACTCGCATTTTCCAGGTACCCAATGAGCAGGTCCACCAGAACATCAATCGGTTCTGGCTCGTCTTCCGCGGGTAATTCACTTTGTTTGCCTTTCTTCTTGGATGATTTTTTAGCTGCGAACATTCGCGACGCTGCGCTGAGACAGGCCTTGGAAGTCAATGTCAACCTTCGAGTAATGCGTTTGATAACATAGACAGCAAATTACTTCGAGATTCCCAACACTGTCCTCTCCACAGCGACATTGGAGGACTAGGGATGAAAGGACGAGTTCGAAGCCTTTCGCAATTTCCTCCTTCTCAGCGGACACCTCCCTCACGATCAGACGAACATTCACTGAGCACGTACCAGTACAATGAACCTCACCTTGCCCAACTTTTCATGGGTTTTCTTGACCCTGTCCAACAACTCTTGCCTCTCCTCATCCACGGGTGCTAGCGGACTAACATGTTTGGTATCTTTGTCTAATTGCGCCAGCGTCGTGAGTACTTTGGATATCCAGAATTCACCGTCAGCAGCAACGGCCGTCTCTTTGTGTGTTTTGTCACCTGACCAAGCGATCAGGTCGACGGGGGCTCCCCAAGGTGAAACTTGACATACCCTTCTTCACGATCGTGGTTTGGCTCGTGAGGTCTGCGAGACTACTGAGCAACCTTGTACGACAGTGGGCTTGGAAACCTTCTGTAAACGGTGGAGACGGAAGTGCACGAAGCTGGGTGGGAAATAAAAAAAAGGGATCAGAGAATCGCGTGTCTGAATATCACGAATACGAACCGCTCGTATCGAGCTAGACCCGGATTTCTTGCGAATCGAATATAGTCCGTTCACGGTGTACCAGTCTAGAAGAATTTGGATCCATTCATCACTTTTTGGCACAGATCCATTACGTATTAGTGCTGCGAATTGGTCTGCGATCCAAGTTCGCCGAGAGTTCAGAGCTGCAACATCCCTGATGTGATCATGAATATTTGTAGTTATTTCTGCTCTGACGGCCATTTGAAAAGAAAGTGGGACATACTCATCGGCGTCCTTCGCATTTGCTTGGTCTAGCAAAGAAACGATGTAGCTCTTGATTCCCTCGCTATCCATAACTGACAGAATGGACTCCACTGTCTTTGTTCGGGTCAATTTGTCGAATTCTTGGCTGCCATTGATGCCTGTGAGTTGCAGGATCAAGGGAAATCCCAAAGTAGGATTTTCTTGGACGAACGACTGAATGTGTTTTGCCTGCGGAAGTTTCAATCGTATCCCCTAAGGGTGGCAGAGGTGACTACAATTATTTAAACGACGCACCACGTCGAGGGAAATTTTGTGCAGATAGCGGTCGCTTTTAGATAGGTGGTTTATCCATGACCGCATGAGATTTTTGGTGAAGAGCATAGGCAATTCGTCGGTGCTGACGCGGGTAAGCGCCTTTTTAAAGACTTGAAAACCCCAGTACTTCCTCTCAGCTGACGACGTGGAGGAAAACAAGGAATCTAACATGTCATGTCAGATTATAACAACGATTATGAAGGGTTGCGAATAGTCACCATCGACGACTATGCGGAAAAATTCTCGGAAAGATCCTTGCGGGGGTTGTATTGAGTTAGAGGTTGGTAAGAGACGGTCGAATAGCATGTCCCAGACAAAGTGGATTTGGGGATTCCATGAACCAGAACCAGGATTAGGAACTTCATCATCATCTAAAGCAGACTCCTGTGATGGTAACATCGACTTTCATGAGCCCAACTGCGCAGGAACCAAGGGATCGATGCATACCTTCAGAATCCGCCCTAATGAAGCGAGATTCGCGACAGCCAATATGTTAGAGCCCTTAAACACAGGTGCCAGCGAACTCTCCCAATCGTGGTTCGGCAAGAGAGGCTGCAGCTTCAATGTCATTGCAACTTTTTCCGGCGACCAAAACGACTCCTTTTCCTTCGAAAAGAGATACTCGACAGTTGTATCCACTGCCTTCACTTTCCACGGCACGGAGGACTCTTGCACTGCATCGATGGCCAACCCAACCGTCCACCACGCGCTCTCTCTCAGCCACGACTTCGTCTCCCCAACCTCGATCAACTTCTTCAATACCTCTTCGTAGCCCTCTATGCTCGAAACTTGAGTATTGGACGAGCCAGAACTCGGGAGAGGCGTCTGACGAACGAGGAGGCCAGAGCGAATGACAGCTGTGAGTCCAAACAGACGGGCGAAGAGAATGTCGCGTTCTTCTTGACCCGACATCGAGCCTTGTTTTTTTGTCGAATCGCTTATAAGAGAAACGACTTGTGTGCATGTAACGGTGTTTATTCTCGAGAGAAGCTGCAATAGTTATGGATATTGTTCCAAAGCTCGTTCACATAGACGGACGGTTGACACAACGTACCTCTGTCAAAGCAACGCTGAATCCCAATCTGCTGCTTTCTCTCGGACTTGCAAGACCTCTTAGAAGCCTACGTATCGAGTAAGACACATCCGGCGAGTTGAGGAGGTCGAGTGCATCGCCGCCGCCGTCCTCGGTGTCTGAACCGACGTCCGGCTGAGGAACATGGTTTGTCTGAAACTGCTCGAGTGCGCTGATGAGCTTGACGGACGCGTCGACGCGCTCCTTCTTTGAAGCAGAGGACAAGTCCCAGAAAAGCGGCAGTGTCGTAGACATGCTGTCTCGACTTCAAAATTTCAATCTCGATCAGGCAGGCGTGTTTGTTGTGGACTGTTGTAATTAAATTGATTTAATCAATTGAACAACCCAGTTCTATGAAGTGAAAAGCTCCATGTCGAGTACACTTACCACCACGACTGACAAGTGCATCATTATGGATGCTATCAAGGCAGTGTTTGACGCGAGCCAAGCAGAGCTTCGTGATATCTGAATTGCTAGGTGTAACTCATCCGCTCGACGTCCTGTAGGGAAGCCATGCTTTAGCACTTGTCACCGCAGATTGTCCGAGCGAGGATGACTCCGTCCCATCCTTTTAGCGATGCAGACCGGAGGAGTTGATATCATCGAAGTTAGTGAACTATTCTCAGGTCCCATCGCAGACCGTCTTGCTATTCAAGAAACTAACCTCGTGAGTCTGTTCATTCCAAATCTCGTTCGTACGCTAAGAGGAGTACATCAGGTTGCTCTTCAAAATAGAGTCGACTATGGAACGATTTTCGCACAAATCAAAAGTCGCTCGGAGCAAAGGCCTTACGTTTTGGGTGCTTCTGATGGGTGAATCCAGAATGCGACATCATGAGGCTGTTCGTGCTCATTAGCTTGTGCAGGTTATTACAACCCTATCCTTGCATACGGCGAAGACCCGAAGAGGCGTCCATATTCTGCGAGAAATATGTACACGAAAGCTGGGTGAGCACACATGCCGCTGAATCGTGAGGGTTAAGGCAAACTCATCGGCGAGCTATAGCCTGTCTTATGTCCCTCTCGTGGCACCAACTTCCTTACTTGGCCCCCACTGCAGATCCCTTCATTTACATCGTCTCGCGTGTAAGTTCTTCCTCTATGTTAGCGGGACATTATCGGAATATGCATACCACTTCTCCCAGATGGGCACTACTGGCACTTCCGTCAAAGGGTTCGTGAACAACGAGTTTCCCGAGATCATCACTCCTATCCGCAAGCACACCTCCGTCACCCTTGTCGTGGGGTTTGGAATCGTTACACGTGTTCACTTTGACGCTACTGTCGAAGCTGGAGCTGATGGCGTCGTCGTCGGGAGTCGCATAGTCTCCCTCATCAAAGAAGCGCCGGCTGGTAAGGTTCCTCGGGTAGTCGAGGACTCAAGGAATCATTGTCCTCCAACTCCTTCACTGCCGGAGTTTAAAGCTCGCACTATCATTACCCCGTCGTTGCCGGGATGTCTCGACCGACTGAAATGACGCTTCTCCCCTCGCGCTTCGCCAGCTAGGGGGCTCGTATGTGCCGGAAGTGCTTTCCGACTGCCTCGTCGAGTTAGAGGAGGCTCATAATGTGACGCGAGATGACCCAATGTTCTGGGCTGAGAGCGAAAGCCGCTTGGTTTCATGAGCCGCTCTTCCAAGCTATACTTTGCAGAGAGTCTGACCAAGTATGCTAATGGTGCACAGATCTGGCTGAAAAGAGAGGGTCTGTACATGCCCACAGATCACAGTACAATCGGCCCAAACCCATCCTTTCACGACAACCACACAGGGTCGAATAAAATCAATAACGCAGCTGGCCAGGTGCGTGCTTGCCCATTCTTTTGAACCTTTTAGATTGAACGTCGGCCAAGATCTTGTTGGCCAAGCGTCTTGGAAAAATTCACAGAAACGGTGCCGGGCAGCATGGTGTGGGGGGTGCGACCGTGTGTGCTCGTTTTCGGGATGGAATGCACTATGGATATTGGTGCGCAGGATGCACGGAGACAACCACTGAACGTTTTCCGTATGAAGATGCCTGACGCGAAGGTACCCAATTTGCCATCATGTAAATCAATCAAGGTACTGAATATGTTGTACTTAGGTCGCGCCCGTCGAGTCCGGCTCGGAGACACTGAAAGATGCTGTTTGACGAAGCAAAGTATTTCCTCATCGGATCTTGTTTCGGCCCTCATCCAATCCCGACTATTATCCGCTACTGGTAAAAGGTGATCGGACGTGAAATCAAAGCACAGATCACGGATGAAGGAGACGACAGGGAAACTTCGGGACGTAGTTGTCGCATGCGTTCGCGGCGGCAGCAATACCATTGGGTCCTTTTGCAAGTTCCATCCCGGGTACGTCTGTGCACCTCCTGGGCATTGGGGCAGGAAGCGAGGATGGGTATATGGATAAATGTACCGTCCTTGTATGCTACCACTTGATAAGGTATCGACGGCGACCGTCACGGTGTAATCCTGACTAGAGGCAAGCCGGGTGTCTTGCACGGAGTTCGAATATATGTCCTGCGAGATCCCGCTAGTCAAATTGTAGAAACGCATTCTATCAGCGCTGGATTGGATTATCCTGACGTTGGACCGGAACACTCCTGGTTAAGGGACAGCGGGAACGCTGAGTACGAGGTTGCGATGGACGAGGAAGCTTTGAGAGGATTCCGTCTGTTGCACTCACCTCGAGGGTATCATTCCAGGTTAGTATTTTCTGCTCATAGAAATGCATATTCAGTGACGAGCATTAAAATCTTCACACGCTCTGTGGGGGGTGTTCGTGGGGCAAAGACACTTCCAAAGGAAACCAACTTCGTTATAGTATGTGTCTCATTTTCAGCCCCTCCCATCTCTGTTGACACCACGGAATGCAGTGCCTCTCAGGGAGAGATAACAGACGTAGAACCGATCTCTGAGCTCTTACCTGGACAGTGGGCCAATCACTTTGATTGGCACATTTAAAAGATGATAGAGGGAATCTAGCTGAAGTTGGGGTACAACCTACAAGTGATTGAGTGTAGGGTAATATGTACATTTAAGGTGTTCGACAAGCATATGAGGGTAACTATGTGATATTGGGTGTGCCATTCCATTACAGATGCCAATGTGGTGAACAAATTCTGTTGCTTACACTGTACTTGGTAATCAGAATACAAAGAGAGTGACCCATGGATAAAGCACACATCAACATTATGCATTGTATTTGAAACATTCCTGCCATTGGTTTCCATGGACCATTTTACTCAAGTCTAGCTCCACACAACAGCCACTAGGAATGATCAATGTGGTGGGCATGGAATAGAATGGGCATTGCAAAGATGTTAGTATCCAAAGAAGCAATCTACCCTGTAGTCCTCTGATCCAGCCATCATGGTGGAGCTGTACTAGTTGAGTGTTGCCTTCAATGGGACCATCAAGAAGTTGTTCACTGTCAGGTAATGCATGTGATGAGACAGATGAAAAGCAGATGGGATGTGTTCCATAAACTTGAACAGCTTTTTTGGAATGAAGTCAGATTGTATAACAGCATAAATGCAGGTACCTGCAGGTAATGTACTCACCATTGGTAGCATGTGGAGTGGCAGGAACTTCATTTACATCTCCTGGGATTCCAACTGTATTTCCTGAGTTCCTGTTGCCATCAGGAGAGGATGCAACTGAGGTGACATGCTGAGTTTGGCCCTGAGGACTGTCAACCTGAACTCTATTCTTTGCATCCCACACCCTCACAGTTTTGTCATATGAGCCTGAGACAATCCTGTTGCCATCAGGGGAGAATGCAACTGAGGTAACCTGTATACCATGCCCCTCAAGAGGGCTGCCAATCTGAACTCCACTATTTGCATTCCACACCCTCACAGTTTTGTCCCAAGAGCCTGAGACAATCCTGTTACCATCAGGGGAGAATGCAACTGAGGTAACCCAACTACCATGCCCCTCAAGAGAACTGCCAATCTGAACTCCACTATTTGCATCCCAGACCCTCACAGTTTGGTCCTCTGAGCCTGAGACAATCCTGTTGCCATCAGGGGAGAATGCAACTGAGGTAACCCATCTACCATGCCCCTCAAGAGGGCTGCCAGTCTGAACTCCACTATTTGCATCCCAGACCCTCACAGTTTGGTCCCAAGAACCTGAGACAATCCTGTTGCCATCAGGGGAGAATGCAACTGAGGTAACCCATCTACCATGCCCCTCAAGAGGGCTGCCAATCTGAACTCCACTATTTGCATCCCACACCCTCACAGTTTGGTCCCAAGAGCCTGAGACAATCCTGTTGCCATCAGGGGAGAATGCAACTGAGGTAACTGGTCCACCATGCCCCTCAAGAGGGCTGCCAGTCTGAACTCCACTATTTGCATCCCAGACCCTCACAGTTTGGTCCCAAGAGCCTGAGACAATCCTGTTGCCATCAGGGGAGAATGCAACTGAGGTATTCAGGTCATTTATCCTACTCATGCAAGTTCTGGGCAAAGCATCTGGCAATGGCTAAATTTGACATTTCCCTTGCAACATCTTTGCAAGCCATCATGGAGAATGAAAGAGTGCTATTCTGGCTTGAGATTCTCAGTCTTCTTGGTGCATTAGGGAGTGCTGAAGTCTCCTTTGCAACTGTAGCCAGATGGTTGCAGGTAAGTATGCTAGTCAAATAGTATTTGATCTCTTGTTAATGTCATGTGAAAGGGACATGCAGGTTATGAGGTCACATTAGCATTAGCAATGGATGGAGTCAAGTTTATCCAAAATTGCACCACAGGAATATCATGCAGCACACCACACCTATACCTCTCTGCACTGCCATTTGCACCTTCTAGTTCTTTGCTGTCAAGAATGCTGATGCCCAAATTCTCCCACCTTGTGCAAGTCCAAGGGGGTCTGCAGGACTGGCCAGCTGCCCAGCTTGCCTTACATGGGCACACTGGGCCTGTCACCTCAGTTGCATTCTCCCATGATGGCAACAGGATTGTCTCAGGCTCTTGGGACAAAACTGTGAGGGTCTGGGATGCAAATAGTGGAGTTCAGATTGGCAGCCTTCTTGAGGGGCATGGTAGTTGGGTTACCTCAGTTGCATTCTCCCCTGATGGCAACAGGATTGTCTCAGGTTCTTGGGACCAAACTGTGAGGGTGTGGGATGCAAATAGTGGAGTTCAGATTGGCAGCCCTCTTGAGGGGCATAGTAAAGAGGTTACCTCAGTTGCATTCTCCCCTGATGGCAACAGGATTGTCTCAGGCTCTTGGGACCAAACTGTGAGGGTGTGGGATGCAAATAGTGGAGTTCAGATTGGCAGCCCTCTTGAGGGGCATGGTAAAGCAGTCCACAGATGTTGAAACGTAGCTCCATGCGAAGTAACTGCAGTGAGGCATAGGCCAGGTCGCTTGAGTCAGAAATGTCAACGAAGTGGGCTCCACTTCGTGAATGATCAGTTAGGAAGTCATAAAACGATGCATGGAGGGGTCGGACTGGCAGCGCATTGTCTGCAATACCACTCAGCACGGGAGCCATGAACTGAAGGATGATGACTACATCGTAGCGGTCATTTTCATCGGGGAAGCAACTGCGCATGGCATTCAATGCGGTCATCGGCAAAGGTTCGAATGTCATCAGAAGCTGTTGCATAACAGAGCAGAATCGCAGGAATGGCGTGCCTGACTTTGGCACAACACTTTCAAGGATGGCAGCATACATACTATCCAAAAGTGTCTTGCTGTCGTCGGATGGCATGGCTATTAGGCTCTTGAGTCGTTCTTCCACAGTCTGACCAAAAGTGTTCGGGTTGATAAACTCGCAGGCCAGACGTGCCCATTCGAATAAGCCATTCGACTTGTGAACGATCTGTTGTATCTCCGTGGGCGCAACATCTTTGAGGTCAACAAGTGCCTTCGAAACAAATAGAGTGACGTCACGCTGGGTCAACTCCGCAGGGACGTCGTCCAGACACATCGCTTTGACGTGCTTAGCACTACGGAGAGCACGTTCAATATCCGGTAGAGGTCGGAATGTTAAAAGGATGCGAAGTTTAGGCAAGGTCGCGGCTTCTGTCGATGTCAGAAGAGACAGGATGTGCCTCCTCGATGAGTCGGGGCCACTTTCATCTAGCGCATCGATGACAACTACCACATTTCCGACGATAGCACCTGTGGCCTTGCCCAACGGCTCCAAGATCAGTTTCTGCCATTGCTGCAACAAGTCAGGTGTCGTCTTTAGAGTGTGATCCTCAGCGAGAATGTGTCCTAATGCTCGTCGAAACGCGGGGTATTGGCCAGCGAGATCTCGGGCAATCGATGTCAGCATCTTCTCCTCCCGACGTTCAACCTGCCTGTCACGAGCAAAACAGAAGCACGACCCAAGCCCTCCCATATCCTTGAGCCAAGATGCAACGGTATGGGCAATAGCAGATTTGCCCCTTCCGGCCTGCCCGTGAAGCCACAAGATGCATGGGGCACTGGGACTGGGGTCATTGACCCAGTTGATGATATCCCGCAGAATCTCTGTCCTCGTGTTCTCTAGGCATTTCTTCATCGTGTTCAGGCCTGCGCCGCCTGCGTAAGCCATACCCTCCATGCTCAGGTCTTCGAGCACGCGGTAGATGTTGATCTGGATGTCCCGGGTCTGGCAGTCTCGGTATTGCTGCATCAACTCATCTAGCGTCTTCGTGTAGTCGCTGATGGCAGTCTGCGTCTCGGATATTATGTTCTTGCCGAGTCTCCTCCCTGAGGACGTATGAGACGAAATGAGAGTTTTATAACGACAACGGAAATAGACCTACAAAAGTTTCTTGTTCCTGAATAATCTTTGATGAACTGTGCACCAGCACTAATTGCCCGCGCAATCTTCGCCAAGGGGACTCTCATGCTATCGACGTTCTTGATGGCGTCGTCTTCCGAAAGGAAAGCGTACACGGAGCCGACTTTCTTCAAGAGCTCCGATACTGCATTATCTAGGTTCGCTTGCGTAATGATCAACTGGCGCGAGGACGGAGTGAGTAAAGAATGTAGATAAAGGATCCTGACTCGTACTTGGGAAGCGACGATGAGAATGCCTAAAGCTATCTGGGCATAGGGATGGACCTGTGCAGGATCGTTCAGTTGCTAGATAGATGCCAGAATAAACTACGCACGTTTGCAACAGTGGTAACTATGCTATTAAAGACTTTAAGAGGTTTGAGATAGGTGTCATTCAAGTTCTGCAGGTCAGCAAACGCGGCACCAGCCCGCGCGACAGTTTTGACAACAATTTCTCCGCCGCGCGGGACGGCTTCTATGCTCTCAAACACTTGTTGAGCGACATCGAGGTCATCACCCGCCGAAGCTGGGTCAGGTTCAGGTTCTGCTTTATTGAGTAGCCCTTGATTCTGCGAGAGATACACGCTTAGCATCGTTGCAGTGCTGGACGTCGTAGATCACATACATCGTCGTCTTGAACAACTTGTGGCGGTTCTGGATCCTCCTGGGCACCTTCCGATGTAATGGGGTTGGCAGAGGAACTTGACGGGCCTCCGTGGGACCGGCCGAAGCGACTCCTCACAGCGGCCAGTCGGCCCATAAGGCCATGTCCCAATTGTCCAAGATTCGATGCAATACTTTCAACAGGAGCCTGAGACTGCCCCTGCGAGTCATGCTTGACCGATCCATTAGTCTGATGCATTGGCTGCAACAGATTGCTTACTTGACGGACGTTAGGCGCTGATGAGGGTGACTTTCCAATATAGAAAAGACGATTCTTTGACTGGTTTCTGGCCATTTAGGAATCAATAGTTTTGATATGTACTGTGAGTTGGATTGCACTGCCGTTTGTGTGTTGAGAACGAACGACGATGCTGGTGGTAATTGCAAGTGTGCTGTGGTGCAGGCCATACTGTAATGTAGCCGATCACGTGGTATGCAATAGCCACCTCCATGCCTCTCTTATGCCTCCTCACCTTCGCCAATGCGCTCAGCTCAGCCCGTTCTCTCGTGTCTCCTTCCTGACCCGACGGTCTTCCTTTTCCATCTCCTCACCAAACTCCTCTCGTCCGAGCTTCCTTTGCAGTGTCCATCCAATGTTCCAATACTTTGCTACGACGCAGCCGACGATGCGCAATACACATGTGAGGGCCGTAATAACCCGGACGACAACAGCCCGCCAGCCTATCAAAGATGACGTAACACGAGAAGTAACCTAAACATCTGGTATCTGAGGTAGTGTGTCACCCTTGGTGAAACCCCCAAAATAAGACGCCATCGTCGTAAGAATCCCGCAGGGAATTGGTTTCCAGCATGCTTACTGTACATTTCCAGGGAAAAGTACAACCGACGCAGGACCACTCATTGACCGCTCCGCCAGCCCTGTACTCTTCTTAGTAGACCTGAAGGCTTCCGTCAGTAGGTCGTCTTGCGTTTGAGACATCAGCAACCAGCCACCGATCTTACTACAAACATAGCTCCCGTCGTCTTCCCTCTCGTGATCAGGCTCCGGGCTACTCATCTTGATCAACACTATGTCACCATTGTGCGTGTGTTGTGCGGTACACTCTGGTTCTCGTAGGAGTGAACTCATCCTCGCAACGAACCAATATCCGACGAAATGCTGCAGCGTAGGCTGGACATGTAGTGGGCTCTGGTCAATGTCAGGATGAGAAGAGCGGAATGGTGGTGATTGGCTGTCACGCTTTCGAACCCCCCAAGTTTAGAAAGTGTTTCAGTGGGGCGCTGACGGATTCCAAGCAACCTGCCCTACTGACGAAGGAGTGAGATTCCCAACCCGCCGAAATCAAAGCCATACGACAATTCGTTCTATGTCTTTTCAGCCACGCTTACAACACTTGTTTTGAAGTGATAGGTTACGATTGCCTGTATACTGACTGCGTTCTCCGCACTAAAAGGTGCCAGCGATTGTTCTTAGGTGTCCGTGTTCCTGTTTTGTGGACGCTGAAGTCCTGAAGTGAACGAAATAATCATTACGAAGAACGTACAGGAAACTGGCGCGAAGCCCTCAAGAGTGATTCGGGGGCATACCATCACGGGCTGAATCGCTGCCAGTACACCTGTGCCGGCACCGAGGATAGGTATAGTACTGGATGAACAAGTTGATTTGATCTACCCTCTCATGTATCGTAGTGCCGTACAAGTAGCTTCGTATACATACATAATAGTGTTACAGGTGTATGGTTCATCGACATGCAAGCGTCATCAACCACCATCTAAGTTCAGAAGTGCCGTCTGCTGGTGCGCCACGAATGGGTCCAGTAAATCATACCAAGATGCTTTTATTCTCTTTTCTCCGGGGTGGTGAGTCGCTTGGGGTCCGACCCAGTATACGGCCATGTGTGAGAAACCCCTTACTTATTAATATGATCCACTCTTCCCTTCAGCGACATGATCACTGACAAACCCCTTGGCCTGCGCGAGCTGAACATGTGTTCAGGTAACGACTCATCGCGAGTCCGAACCCACCCTGATCCCGAGAACCAGCGTCATACACAATACCCCAATGACACTTACGTAGTTGCTGATCGGGAGCAGCACTTCGTCGGTAGTGGGGGTCCGATTAGGCGTGATGAAGATGATTTTGCGGATGCGGTCCGCAACGCCGCGCGTTGTATGTCGGGAAGCGCACGAGTTATTTATCCCCCACTGAGAAGCGAGGCAGTATGCTCGCCTCTTTTTGTCGACGAGGTGGGGATGTGAAGGTTGTAAAGTAAAAAGCTGACAGGGTACCTTCCGAAGAAAAGATGTTCGATAGGTCAGCTTGTATTAGAGGGACGGCAATTTGCATCGACCACTCAGCGATCATGTAAGAGTTACGGAACCAGGCGGTGCGCTCATTCTGAATGAGAGCCTTGGTCGTCATCTGAGACCGAATGTGGTCACGAACGGCACTATGGTCTGCGCAAAGTGATGTTTCCCCTAGACGTCAATGAAATAAACCCACGATAATGACCACTCGAGCACATTTGATACTGCAAATATCATTTTCACTGGAGTGGCGGGAGGCATGCTGCTGAGGGAACAGGGCGCAAAGGGATAAGTCGTAAAGTAATGACGAGAAGTAAAGGAAGACAGCCGTAGCAATAAAGACAAGTACTTGCTGAGAGCTGGCGGAATGAGTCCAATTTGTACTTCACAGCGGTCAAGCACATCAATACACCCATAGTTAGGTCGTGACAGATAGCAAGCGCATCTAGTCGGAATACTAAGCGGCATCGAGGCTCTTTTGGTTGAAAGGGTAGTAAGAACTACAAAAAGCGCATAGTACACAGACAAGCAGAGAAAGCAATGGTTACCACGGTAGAGCCGAAGCCCCGACGCTAGTGACGGCGTTCACGAACGCAATCACGTAATGGACCCTCTCAGGGGCTAATTGAAAATGTCTACATAATAGACAGGCTCTCTCAATCCAAATGCACCCAATGACCCTTGACACCCATCCTACACTTCATACAATCTACCCGAGGACCCATAGTAAATCGCTGTTTCCTTCCTGGTCCAGACGAACAAGGTGAAGAAGGCGGTAAGCACGACTTGCCCATCGATATACTACCACTCCCCGTCGGTAACGTATCGTTGTGCCGAGATTCAGATACCGATACCCCGCTCGAGCGTTCTATAGTGGTAATACCATGTTGGTGGTGGTGGTGGTGGGATGGGCCAGCACATAATTCGTGTTCCTGTTCTCGAAAACCGTAGTCATGCGACGGAGGCGTGGGTGCCTCGGAAGACGGGGTTGCGGGGGAAAAGTAGATCGCCGGGGGATATGCGGCCGATGGCGCCATGGAGGATGTTGATGATGATGGTGGGGGCGAGGGCGAAGTTGACGAAGACGACGTAGTAGTAATAGTGGTCGAAGCTGGTATGCTGAACGGTGTGGCAGAGGGTAGGAGGTGACATTGTGTGTTCACGGGTATTATGGTCGTCCATTGCAATCGTAGTATTATGGTGGTGGTTGTGCGACGAAGATCTGGGTGATGACAATATTGACATAGCGGACTCCTCAGGGATGATGGGCGCGTCCGAATAAGGATGCGAATGGGGCTGCATGTCTATGATCTGCAGTATTGCCAAAAGGTCATCGTCAATCGTATCTACGACCACTACGATACCGGTGGGATTGGGGACGACGGCATACCATATTCTCGTCCGAACCACCGCCACCCGGTGCACTGTTGACGCCTCCTTCACATATCGCAAGGTCCTTTGCTTGGACGTATCCAATCGTCCTGGAATCCCATTCCAGGCTGGTGTCCCGACAAATGCAGGGGCATCGACGCCGACGAAGACGAAGACAGAGGAAAATGACACGGATCGCTGACGTCCGACGCGGCGAACGAAACACGACGGTTCACATTGAGCACAGACGTTGCCGCGTCGCCCCCATTTGCGATAGCAAGCGCAACGCGTTTCTGCGTGAAAGCCTCGAGTAAAGAGAACCGTCCTCATTGAGTAGGGTGATAATACCGATACTCACAACTTGCCTCTCCGCCGTCGTCGGCGACCCAGGTCCAGGTGAACGGGCCCTCTTCAGAGTCGTCGCGTAAGGAGTCGGTGTCGAGACGGCCGTACGGAATGACTGGGGCGGTGATTGCATGTTCAATGAAGGCCCCTCATAAGAAATCAGGCCTTTAAAGCAGTCCAAAACACAGCCTTCTAATTCTTTTCGTTCTTTCTACGAGCCACAACAGCAAACATCTACAGCAGGGATACACAGGTATACAAGCCACTCCGATATACGCAGATAATCTCTTTCTACTGAAACACCACCTAATACCTTCTACGTCGTTGCTGATATAGTACAGCGGGATAAATGGGACAGAAGCAACAGGACAAGGAACACTGATTGGTGAGTGAGTAGTTGCGGGAAATCTATTTATCCTTGAAGTTTCATTCCCCCTCTAGGCAGCCTCGGCTCGCCCTCCACATACAGCTCCCCAGTCTCCTCCCGGAGCATGTCGTTCAACCACGCACCGTGTGGCTGAAGCTTGATCCCGCGGTTGTACATAACTGCAAGGTACAACCAAGCAGCCGCGTTTCCGACCGTGCCAACCTCATCCGAAACGTGCGAAGCGGCGTACTCGCTCACTTGCTTGTACAATGCCTCGTCCGTGTAGAGGTCAAATAGGTGCTTGGCCACGGCATCGTTATCACCAACTTCGGTGAGGTAGCCAGACTTGCCATGCACGATCTGGAGAGGGATACCACCTGTGCGAGAAGCGACCACAGGGATACCGGCATGGAGAGCCTCCGATACCTTGACTTCGAAACCCTCCCGCAGAGACAACTGCATTGCAATCTTGGCATTGGCCATCAATGCGTTCAGGACTATAGAATCAGTGAGTAAAACACGTCCAGAAGCAAACCACGATATACGTACGCTGGTCACTGGGAGGCAGCCTCATGACAACGATATCCTTGGCGTACTGCTTATAGTCGTCCGAGTGAATCAAGTTCAGGACCTGGTCGTATATGATGCTTGCATCCGGGTCATCGACGGCACCATGGCCACAGATCAAAAGCTGAGGCATTTCATCCTCATTAGCCACTTTGCCAGAGGACTTCAAGAGCTTCCGGAAACGAGCGTATGAATCGATGACGTTGGGGATACCTTTCGAGGGGTCGAAACGAGCAACCTGAACGACGTAGTCGCGAGCGGGCCACTTCAACTCGTTCATCTTTTCTTTGACACACAGGCTGCGGAATTCTCCCATGTAGTATTGTGAATCCCATGGGTTGAGGTGCTTGTTGAGACCATCGAGCCTGGTATCACGACGTTAGTAGTCGCTTAGCAAACCCAAGGCAATACGTACCAATCCGTGGCAGCGCCGAGCAGAGCTAACTTCTCGATCGGGACATCGCTAGGCACAAATTTGCTGACGGGGTGGCTGATGAACAAGTCGGCCTGCTTGATGTTCTTCCAGAGGTACTCCCAGACTTCTTCTTGGGGAGATCCCTTTTGGTGAACGAGATCGCTGCGGATCTCAATGTGCGAACGGTAGATAATGGGGAGGTCGGGTCGGACTTTCTTGATGAGGGGGATAAGACCAGGCATCTGCGGGTCGTCTGCGGCCGAAGTCAATGAATGCCAAGACCCCCGTTTTGTAGACCAGACTAACCAATGAAGGCGATGTCGACACCGCCGGGGGCAAGAGGTCCGCCCTCAGCGGTCCATCTCAAACCATTCTTCAAAATCCATGCATCGAATTGATCCTTGGCCTCCTGGGTCAAGCGCAGATCGGGAGCTGCGACGCCTTGCAGAATGTTGTGGTTGTTTTTTGTGGTGCGGAAGACGCTCGGCGATGGATTAGGCACGTACCTATGCACGCATGTGCAGGGACATCAAATTAGTTCCGAAAATGAGGCGCAAGAAGGCATGAAGCCATGTAATAATGCGCACCATGCGGCGTCAACGTCTAGGAGGGACAGGAACCTAATTAGCGCATGTCGCATCTGGCAAGTTGTGGATAAGTATTTGTTCCCTTGACGTTTACGACGGCGGAAGACGTACGAGAGCAACCCCCCCTATAGAAAACAAAAAGAGTAAGATGTCATTTCTCCGCGTATGCCGGATAAATTTAGAAACACCGTACCTCCTTGGGGTGTGGAGGAAAAGAACCCGATTTTGATCTTTTTCTCGCGCATTTCGTCGGCAAGTTTGATAACGGCGTTCCAGGTGCGCTCTCCAACTGACTTTCTGTAGACATCGAGGTCGTCGATCAAGTGGATTTTTCCACCGGCGTCCACGGTGACTTGGTTGCGGGGTCCGATAGTCAAGCGTGGGTTGTTATTGGGGCCGTAGTACATGAGACATTTGCGTGCGGCCGAATCGGCTTGCTCATCGAGCGTGCGAGGGATCGGGAGCTTGTTAGTAACGCCAGGTTGCAGGGTGTTTTGGTCCATGAGAGGGGAGGGGTCCACATATACTGTGGGTGTTTCGGCACCAGAAGGGACATAAGAGCCAGTTGTGGACGAGATGCGATGTTTGACGTTGGGACGTGTGAGTGAGTCCGTGTGGAAAGCCTTGATGTTGAACACGATGGGAACGATGTCCAACTCGAACCAGAGGCGCGTGCAAAGGTTAGGACACTGTGGATGTACTGTGAACAAAGATCGAAAATCATCAGGAGATCACTTACCTCCTTCAAGAGGCTGAGGGTGACACCTGCGCCGAGGAATTTGCAGATGTGTTCCTGGGAGAACCGCTTGATGATATCAATGACGTGGTTCTCGATGTCGGCGGCGTTCTTGGCTGGATCGTTGGGGCTGTATGAGACGACAGTGGAAGAGAAGTCGGTGTTGTAGACGGAGTCGTGAACGGAGATGGCCACTTCGAACGATTTGCCGCCGTTGACGACAGTGCCGGCGATACCGGCCCACATGGGCTAGAGAGGGTGATGAGACGATCAGCGCCGAGAGATAAGTATCGAGATCAGATACCGATGGCGACTTACAGTGAGGCTGGCATAGGCCTGTACGAGGGGTTTCTTCCCCGTAGCGCTGGACAGCCTGCGCCTAGCGACCGATGATGGCTTTGATTCGAACTCGAGGTGGACGCTGGCTGCTGGGGACATTGCGAACACAGAGAGGGTTGGGTTGGGGGGAAAGAAAGGGACGTGGATTGGGCAGGTATTTATGTGATTGCGGGGCTGGGAGGCTAATAAGCGGGTGGTCGTATATGGGATAAGTCACCAAGATTGAAATCTAGGGGAAGGAATAAATTGTACCATCTGGCTGGGATGGGCTTGTCTGTCCAGTCGCCGATTTGAACAAGGCCACACGAAACCCCCTAATAGCAGTAGTCACCTGAGGTTGTTAGTGGCCTGACGACGGCAGCACCCCCATGACAGGCAGACAGACATCCCAGCTCGTCGGTTGTGCTGTCTGCGATGATCTCGAGAGTGTCGGCTTTGCGGTCGGTCGCCGCCATCACTCCAGAAAGAAGCCTATCGATGATGCCGAACCGAATGAACAGAGTTTCCGGGGTCCCTCTTGCCACGTGATCTGCACGTGTCTTTTTCTGTTCCTAGCCTCAGACCAGGGTTCAGAACGTTCTGTGATGTCCTGTCCCGAATGCGGCGCAGAGTGTGTCGTTGAAGACGACGGGTTCAAAGTCTGCACAAGTTGCGGACACTATGAAGAACAGACCATCCTAGCTACCCATGTCGAACACTACAACGACCCGTCGTCTAGCAGGGCTGTCCGCAATCGAAAAGGATGGGATCTTGCCGGCCAGTCCAAGGAAGCCCGCGACAAAAGGAACATGGTACGTTCTCGGCACCTCTTTCCTATTTTCTGTCGCTCACTTACTATATTCGACACGCGCAGACATCCATGTCTATCTTCATCAATTCTGTCTTGACCAGGCTAAACAATCCCGGTCTATCCCCACGAGCCCAAGCCATATTCGCACAAGCAATGGCAGCCGGTGGATATAGGTGGGGTCGCAAGGCAAAGCTCACTGCAGGCGCTTCTGTGGCAATAGCCCTCCGCGAGTCGCACAAGTCAGACTCGCTGCGCGATATCGCATTTCTCCTGGACGAATCCCGGCTTTCCATCGCCCGCGCTTTCCAGTCCGTCGTTTCCCTTCTCAACTTCTCACTTAGCTCTACAGACCCCTCCGTCCATTTCCCAGCTCTACAAACACACCTCGTCTCGCTTATTCGCCCTGATTCCGGCTCAGCACCGCCTACTTCTGCCACAAGGCTTCCTGTGGATCTGCTCGCTACACTTACGCCCCTCTCTTTGCCCGCTGCTATTCGCACAGCAACATCTCTTGCGGGAATTATATCCGCTTACGTCCCGCCGCTCCCTATCACGTCCCTTCCCACACCCCCTACTGCATGTGCTCTCCTCATCCTTGCAGCTCGAAACCGATATACGTGCACCTCTTCCACACGTAAGTGAATTGGCATGTGCCCTCGGAAGCCGATTTGGTCTCTCGGGCGGTGTCGTCTCATCGCGATACAAGACAATCTACGATCTCATCGAGGTATGGATCCGTGACGTCCCCTGGCTTGATCAGTTCCCGCAGAAAAACAAGGGTCGCAGTCGTCCAAAGCTCCCTAAACGTGCCGTTGTCGCAAAGGGAATTAAAGACGTTATCCAGTTCCGAGAAGAGATATGGAAGAAGCAGATCGATGGGCAACGCAAGATTAGCCTTGTGATTGAGCCTGACCCTAGCGAAAATCCCGCGGAAAGTGCCAGTAGTTCGAGATCTTTCGTCGAGTCATCGACGAGTGGACCCTCAGAGATACAATGTCCCCGAAAATTCAACCGACGTTCGATCGCAGGCTACAAAACGGCGCAAGATTATCCACGGAAGTACATATGAAGCTTGTCGGTTCTTATTGAATCCTCTATCATTTCCGACCACGTCATTCCGCGGATCCTCTTCCTCTCGCGAATACCCGGGTAACGGAACAGATGCCGGCGACAGTAACCTTGACGTATCTCTAGCGACGGATTTGCTAACGCGCCCTAACGAAGCAGAAGAATTCTTTACGTTCCAAAGCAAAGACCCACCAACGCGTCTTCAGCTTCTCGCGCTATCTCGAGGGGGCAGTGCGCCGCAAGACATTTCTGATGAGGAACTGTTCGAACAAGGCGAGTTGGAGGGACTGTTTAGGAGTGAAGAGGAAAGAGATGCTCTAATACCTTTGTTTGAGCTGAACTGGGGAACACAAAGCTCAGCCAAGGATTCAACCCCTGTTTCACGACAAAATAAGCCGATACGGACGGAACCCAACCGTGGCGCAAGACGTATCAACATGGAGGTTTTAAGCCGTATACTTGAAGGAGGAAGTACTGAACTTTCCCTGTCGGATGCAGGCTGGGAAGATAACTCGGAAGAGGATGACAACGAGAACAAAGCTGACCAATTTGCAAATCGACTTGACTTCTCGGTCGAAAACATATGCTCTTCTCCTATCAGCGAACCTAGGCGTATCGGTCGTTCGTCGATAGAAGAGGAAGTCGAGACGATAGATGATTGGCGGCCCCTTTCTCCGGAAGCCGGGTTTAGGCGATTTGGCAATACTGCTGAAGCCGATAGGTATGAGCAGGAATGGTAACGACATAATCGAGATCTTCATAATATATATTGTCCGTTCGACGTCTCTTGTGATACCATGTCTTCGACGAATGCTCACCCGTTATCATCATCCTGTGGGTTATTCTTTCCTTTTAGTACCAATGATATCTCTACCCCAAGGCTTTTGTTTCCGGCTTTTGATATTCCCTGATTGAAACAGAGTTTTAATAACAGCAGCCCACGATTGAGCAGGAGTGCTCCATGTTCTGATAACTTGCCTCCCGCTTCCCTGAGCTGCTTCTCGACTTCTGCTTCCTGCAGCTTTGCTAAATATATATTCCATGCCGACGTATATGAAGAGGTATCCGTGGTCTTCGTCAGTTGGCGCCTTGGCAATTTTCATAATGAAGTTTCAGGGTAGCACCGTATCCCCAAATCACCGTTGAGTACACCCTCATCAGCCCAGAATATCCCATTTGATACAAGTGGCTCTTCGAAGCGATGGCGACTTTGGCAGGCTCTTCTCGAAATGTCATATTGGCCCGATGTGCGGGTGGCGTGATATCTACAGATATATACAGTAAAATCTACCCAGCCGTTTCCAAGGATTCATCATAAATGTTGGTTATGAGACATAGCATATTAAAAATCCACTTTGGAGCTCGGGCTCCAACGAAGTTCTCATGTGTGTCTTGTCTTTGTCACTTGCCCGACAGCCGAAATGACAGAGGAGCGAGCCCAAACTCGCATTGGCTTAGTTTATTGCCCTGAGCAAGTCTATAGTCCCAGGAACCAACAGCTAGACACATACTACCTACCCCAACGTCAGTCTCTCTTTCATCGACCTTACCCACGTTGGTCTAAGTGTTGCTGATGCGGAGAGCGGGGTTGACAGTCCCAGGAACGAATCCTTTCGGAAAGACCTGCCGAACGTTGATATTGATGCGGGCGTTCTGCATGTAAGTCCCATATGGCTCCCACGCCGACGCCACAGTAGTAGCGCTAGCCCTTTCGGTCTGGGAAGCCGAAGGGTTCGCGCCATCGTTAGCTGGCCGTGACGACTGTGCAAAGTGTTCAGGGAGCGTGCTCTCCAATATACGTGGGACGCCTGTCAGTGCGGATTTACACGGTCAGCTATCGTTCAGGCGGGGAGGAGTGGCGCCGTGTGAACAAGTTGGAGAGCGCGTGTGTATATTGTACGTACGTACCATGATATGCCCGTCTGCATGCTGGTCCAGACATAATCACGACATCACCGGATCGCAGAAGAATAGGGGTGGGCTCCACATCCCGTGTGAGACCACCAATGAGGAAGATAGCGGTGTTGCCTAGTCTAACATTAGAGTCAGTGCTTATTAAGGCACAATGCGGATCACAAAATGAGAGGAGACGTCTGCTTCGGAGGGAAAGGTCCAGTGTCAGACAGAGAGACTTACGAGATTGACACCAGGGGTGATGTCGCACAAACTTCGGAGCGATCAACGTGAGCCATGAGCGTATCCTGTGTTGTACAGTATCATTTACATTTAGATCAGGGCGGATTGGACGTGCGGAGTATGTAGATACCCCACCTTGGTCTGGTAAAAATTGACGATCCCCGCATCCGGTTCTTTCCAAAGGAATGAGGAGAAATACCTTCGGCATTGAAGCCATGTATACATACCATAAGTCTCGCTCCACGTCCTCCAATCATTGTCTCCCCATCCTTCTTCGAGGCTACTGTCCGCGCCAAAAACCTTATCCCAGGGTACCAAACTCACAGCATTCCGACACAGATCTCGGATACGAGAATTGACGTGTCCTTTACCCTTTGAAAAGTCATACTGCTTAGTTCCCCAATGATACGACCACCCGATATTGGCCCATCGTAGCTTCGGAACGAGCTCGGATGGGCTACAATCGGAGACTGTCGTAGATGGCTCCGGGGATGGTTTCGGAATCGCTTGGAGAGAGTATATGTTGTCTGTACCCGCTGCATCATTTGAGATGAGTTGGCGTGGTCCGGAGGGTACGTTCTTCTGGGAAACTACTCCTTCGGCAGTAGATGCTTTTGTTTTGACTAAGGATGTGGCATCCTTGGGGCAAGAAGAAAGGGATGCTACGTGTGCATTCCAGATTCCCTCGGGTGGGAGAATGTAGTGTGCGTCGAGATTCGTTTCATTCGGGTGACGTGCATGATCCCGGAGAGCCCATTGGACAAGCGCGCGTTGGCCATCTGGTGACACGAAAGAGGGTAACAATACGAGTCCTATTAGACGAAACGTTGGATTAGCGGTCCACCAAATACGACGGGCTCACTATACCTGGCACGGCTGGTACAGTGCAAACATTTCCTCCATCAGACAACGTTCCGATACAAACGGCTCGTCCTCCGCCCGATCCACCTTCACTGCGATCCTCTGCAGCAAGATCGAGTACGTTGGTTAGATCAGGGGGCGGGAATCGAGCCTTAAATTTCTTTTCAGCCGCTCTGAACGGTGTCCAGTTAGCATCTACATCCTGGTTTCTGTTCTTTGTCGTCCTTATATACTGCCTCCTGGCTTTTTTGAATGCCGCGCTAGACGGGTCTACTGCCACGACGTCAGTGGTACTCGGAGACATGGCATATTCCTTTTACAAACATGCACAAATATATCATTTCACTCAAAATTTGCCGGTTGCCGTTCAAGTTGCGTAGTATAGGCGTCTGTCCGTGGATGGTCCAACGTCGAGCCGGCTAGCAAGTTTATTCTGTCATTGGAAACCTCATCCTATGTCTATATGGCTGCCGCGTTCTCAGCAGCAGCATGTGGTTTTCTCGCTGTCGAGTAGGAACCATCGAGCTCTGCTACACACCCATGCATTCTGTCGACCGGCTGCGATCGCTCGTTCGTCCGTATTCCTCGTCGCACGGTGCTTGGATGATGACTCGCGAAATACACCGAGGACATTTGCGGTAGTACGGCTACAGTCGACAAGCACGAGTACAGCTGCAAATACCGCGACGGCGACTCCTCCTTCCCCATCCTCGCCTGAACAACCAAAACCCTCTCTACCGGCTCCGAAAGAGGACGCGCCTCTGCTGACAAGGGCATGGAAAAAAGTGAAACATGAAGCTCAGCACTACTGGCACGGTTCGAAGCTGCTCGTGTCGGAGGTCAGGATATCTGCAAGACTGCAGTGGAAGATTTTGCATGGAGAAAGTCTCACACGGAGGGAACGCAGACAGGTGCGTGTGGCGCAGTATTATATGTGAATGACCAGAACTATTAACTTATTGGATGGCCGTGGTTCCTTAGTTGAAGCGGACGACACAGGACCTGCTCAGACTCGTTCCATTCTCCGTGTTCATCGTCGTACCATTTATGGAGCTCTTACTCCCCGTTGCCCTAAAACTCTTCCCCAATATGCTCCCTTCTACCTTTGAAGACAAGTTCGCAGCTGTGAGTGATCCACACTTCGTCTTTGCACTCGTCCCCTCAACCAACATGAAAATACGCAGGAAGAAAAACAACGCAAACTCCTCCGTGTCCGTCTAGAAATGGCCAAATTCCTGCAAGAAACTCTACGTGAATCCGGACTCAGGGCCAACGCGCATATCGTTGGCTCAGACGCATTCAAGGAGTTCTTCCGCAAGGTTCGTTCGACAGGTGAATCACCCTCCGCGACAGATATCATCAACGTAGCCAAACTTTTTGACGATGATCTCACCCTCGACAACTTGTCCCGTCCACAACTCGTATCTATGTGTCGTTACATGGGCATCAACGCATTTGGGACGGACAATTTCCTCAGGGGCGCTATTCGCTCGCGGCTCAGGAATCTCCGTAGGGATGATCAATCAATCGACGCTGAAGGCGTGGATTCGTTGTCCGTCGCAGAATTGCAGGCGGCCTGTCAGTCAAGAGGGATCCGTACCTCTGGAGTGTCTCCAGCGAGACTCCGCGATGAATTATCGACCTGGATCAGCCTACATTTGCATAACCGCGTGTCAGGGGTACTTCTCATCCTTGGACGGGCGTTCCACTTTGATAGAAAGTCTGGAGAAGATGAAGATGGAAAAACTGTTGTCATCAAGGGCTTGGAGAGTGTCATGAGCGGGTTGCCGGATAACTTGGTTTGCCTTTTCCCTTTATGAGCATTTCTCGCTGCTTGCTTATGCATCTTTCTAGCTCAACGAAGCCGAACTCGAAGTGGACTCGGACAAAGCAAGTTACAAACAGAAGCTCGAAGTGTTGCAACAGCAGGAGGAGCTCATCGAGGATGAAGAAGAGCAAGAACAAAAGGAAGAAGATGCCCGGCGTGCTAAGCGTGAATCCCAGGAACAAGAAATACGCACTGCCCATTCACTTCTTCCTGACACGGAAGTGAGTATGCACTTGGGACCAGAAATGGACGAGGCTTAATAGTGTTGCACCAGCTCCATCCAGAGGTCACCCCAACTACTGAAAATGCCCGCATGACAACGGAACAGCTAAATGAACTAGGAGAGGCACTCTGCATCTTGTCTGCTAAATCTAGTGTCCTTAAAGAACGCGACGAGCTGCGCACGCTTATGGAGGAAAACCTCCAAAGAGACGAAGCGAGTTCTTACTTCTTTCTTTCGACTACCAACACGCTCATTTTTTTATTGTTACACAGGACCCTAAATCGCCCTCAGGTGCCCTCACGAAACGTATCCGAACCATGCTCACTAAGATCGACACGCACCTCCAAGAGTACGACACCCACGTAGGAAGTTCGTTGCAGATGATCTCTGCGGATGCGCAAGGTCGAATTCCAGTCGAAGATCTCCAAAAGGCGCTCACGGTTATCAAACATCGCCCGGATGACGAAGTCATTCAAGCTGTCATCCAGAAGCTGGATGTTGACCAGGATGGATATGTGGAACTTGAACATGTGTTGGGGTTGATGGAAGAGGAAGGGCTTGGTAAGTTCTGCTCGCTTCCATTTCCACGTGCCCTCCTAAATGCGTGAATGTGTGCTCATTGTGGACCCGCATGGACAGGCATCGAGGTTGACGACGAGGCACGAACCATTATCGTTCAGGGCAAGGAGATCAAGATGGATTCCAAGCCCCGAAAAGAAGACATCGTCCAGGAGTAATCCATTAGCAAGCTTGTATACACGCACCCTTTAGATATTTAATGCAATCACAACTTAATCAATACTCGAATGATGGTTGTGATGGTGGGCGGGTATGGATGGTATTACTTTGTGAGATGTGGATAGTGATACACCATCGTGGTAACGTCAATTGCTATGAACATCGAAAGCATACGAGAGGAAGCGAAGAAGAATATGCCGAAATAACCGCGAGGGTCCGAGAGTATGGTGGATCGTGTAGTGAGGGAGGGAAGAACACTAAACCTCAAAGGAAACATGGTTCATGCACGTAACGTCCACCATATCAAAGGAGCGGAGCCGAAGATCGAAGCACCAGTGGTGGCCCCTTGTTCATCCACAAACTCTCAGAGGGCGCTAAAGTGGGGGTATCGGAACGTGGGGTTGAGATATGGGCTCCTCAGCGGGTGTGCCGGGTCCCTCTGATTTTTCCTGGAAGTACGTCGGTTCGTCATCTCCATCAGACAGTTCAGCCCACCATCTGCCGGCTTGGAGAATGAGGATGCCGGTGAGTGCGACACTGCAGATGAGGTGATTGGAGGCGAGCTCAAGCGTCGAGGATCGAAGAAGGCGGGGGAAGGGTTCGTCAATCCGATAGTGTGGGAGCGATGAGAACTTGGCCACTACACCTGGATGCGGAGGAGATAGATTCGTCAGCGGAAGGGAACGACCCGGGATGAGAAGTAATACAAACGCACTGGGGATAACAGAGTACAAGTACATCATCACTGTCGTACCATAGAGGACTGAAGTGGTGGGTTTAGTACCAATCAGACTGGACACACGACCAGGCATTAAATATTGGTAGTTCTTACCTATACTACCTCCGTCGAACATGAGGTTGCCAGCTTCGCCATCGCGGAAGCTCCAAAATATCGTGATGCCTCCCAATGCAACGATGGCAAAGAGGACATATAAGAGTTCTATGGGTGCCTTTGTGAGTATAGAATAGTACAAGGCTGCGGTCCAAAGGTGCTCGTCCGTGACGGGCGACTTCCAGAGTGTGAGAGAGTCTGCAATCCAGTGGGTAAACAGAGAACCTGCAATGTGATGGTCAGTTGGGCTGTGCCTCCGACGATGAACTGGACCTCACCGAGAAGAAACGAGGTTGTGCAGACAACGATACCTGCTCGTACACCCATGGTGAACTGCGTGTAAGGCAGGCTGTTATCCTGCCCCCTCCTTCTTGTACTTGAACCGAAAATCACAAGCTGTCAGCTGTCGGCCCATTCCTGAGTCCGACAGTTGCCTTTCCTGGAACATTACAACCCTCGCTCACTTGGTCTTCGGCCGAGTAGGAAAGGTCATGCAAACTGTACTGCGAACAATCTTGCTGTCGTCCAAGCCAACGACGGCAGGGACAAGTATATCTCACACCGTAACGCGTCTGCTGTCGACCAACGCAGCACCATCACCATGGTTCGTGGACCCAGAGCCACAGCCATCTCAAAAACACACCCCACCCCATCTCACACCTAAAGTACAAGAGTTTCCCCCAAATCTACCGGGTCCGATCAGACAACTGTATACAAAATTAAGCCAGTCTCCTCTCCTGGAGCTATCCACGTTGGATGTACGTGAGTCTGTTGCACCTCCGCCAGGTCTACCGCTACCCAAACGGGCACCACGGGGTCGTAGAAGGCGCGGGGGAACATACGCAGGGGAAGGTATCGACGAAGACGCCGTGGGTGGTTTATGGAATTGGGTCGTCATTGCACAGGTAAATCACGCGCCCATATCTTATCTTCTGTTGCCTGAACTGCACAAATAAAGGTGAAGGAAGGCACTGAGAATCGTGGGTCGATTGCAGCTGTCCTACGAACTGTCCGGAAGACTGTAAGCACATTTCGGAACTTGGCCACCATATTCGATTGCTCAGGGCGTTTATCAGTTGCTCACGATGGATACCCCCATTTGCCTTCCCCCGGGCTCTAAGAGACGGGCACATAACGGCTGGGCAGTAGTCGACGCAGGGAATTTTGCAGTTCACATCCTTAGTCGAGACGCCCGGCAAAAGTATTTCGAACACTTGGACCAGTGATGGGTCTCCACGTCAATTCCCCGACTCTACTTCCGATATCCTACATCATCAGTTTATTTGCGAAGACGATAGATATATTGGGGGCCTCGCCACGTTTGCTAGGTGACCCGATACTACTTGGAAAGGGAGTGCCGCGATGCGGTTCACCACGATTAAGTATATTAATAGTATTGTCTGGCTGCCACTGCTCTCCCATCTCATCTGAGTCACCTAAACTAAGCTGGTGGGGACTATCGACGGCAGCGTTACGCCGCCAATACTATACCAGTACCGACTAAATAGGACCTTGGATGTGTCCCCGACTTCTACCATCAACAGATATCCCATTCCCAGCATCCCGTGTTTCAAGAGAAAAAAGAGGGGAAAAAAACATCGTAAAGGTATATTGTTCTGCCATAAAGCATTTGGGCAATGTACCCGCGAACACAGCCAATAGGCTCACCAACCCCCAATCTCATATTTGCATCAGCCGGGAGTCGAACCCGGAGCTAGGCCATGGGAAGACCCAATGTTACCGCTACACCACTAATGCCTGTACACCCCTATTAGACCAGGTACCCTCACAACACTGAGAGCATTTCTAATACCATAAGCATGTGCACGTCCTCCCGCATGATAGCATGAAGCATCATTAACACTTGCCATGTCAATGGAGAAACATCCCTTCGTCGCCCAACATCGCTCTAATTCACTCAGGTCCAACCACCTACTTTTTGTTATTAAGCCTCACTCATTGTCTTTCGATATCTCCAAACAACGGAGATGCTCAAAAAACCATGCAGAATTTCCTGCACCCTTGCTCCGTTCCTTGGAACGGCCTCGGAGTCTCCCCCCTAGAATCAACAGAACGCGCGTTGTAACCAAGTCGTGAAACGACACTTGCTTCACGACTTCGACATAACACACATTCCACCAGGGGGCCATCGAGCTGTGGGCAGAATCAATGAGATGCACTGGTTGAAATGTCCTGATCCGCTGATGAAACATGCATAAATCGGAGATAAGTCTCCGCCTCGCCTAGTCCGATATTCGAGTCAAGCAGCATGCGAACGAATTCCAGGCAACATTGCCACAACCGTCAACCCAACAAGGAGCCTAAACCACAATTGCGCACTGCTCGTGGGTGTTGAAACTTCCAGCTGTACAACGCCAGCCTTGAGATTCGGATGGTTCGATCCCAGGCCGTGATGCTGTAGTTCATGTATGCGCGGCCCGACTGTACATTGTGCATATTCCTTTGCAGAAACTGCGAAACGATACCCCGCTTTCAACGAGTTGTCCTCGAGGATGGCCTTTGTGGCCTCTAAAGCTTCGTCGGTTACGAGGTTGAGAAAATAAACGAGGGAGACTTCGCCGTAGAGGCGGAGGTGCCCTGTCAAAGAGCGCTGAAAAGTTCAACCTGATCCACCTTTCACTCCAGCGATGTGTCAGAAAGGAAGTGTACCCACGTAGAATAGCATCATCAAAGGCCGCTCTTATTTCTTTTCTCTGCCTCCCAAGGCTTTCTATCAAGAAGACACTTCCACGATTCCTTGCGAACGCATACCGTATCGTCAGCTAGGAATTCATTTAAAACGAGCGTCTCTTGCGAGAGTGGCTAAGATAGGACAATCAAATATGCGGGTCAGCTAGATTGACCATCATGTGAGGATATGTTCCGGCCATACGCGCACCTGTAAATGCTACGCTACGTTGCGCTGCACCAGGAAGACGAGTGTCAACGAAGTGCCATCGATTTGGACACGTACCTCGATGGGAGGGACAGTCGACGTAGTTGCATATGTGACACCAGTCGATCAACTTGTTTACGAGGTACAGTAGTGACCCGTGCAGATGACAGTCTTGTTATGTTCCTCAGGAATGTTGCGCTCGCCCTAATACTTACGGATCGAGCTTGATGACGACAAGCAAAGGGACGAAAAGGGAATGCTCCCATTTGCTCCAGTCTCCGCCACACCACCCGTCATGGCACTTCCAAAGATCGTGTCGGGCTTCACAGTCCTTCCAGTCGCATACCCTCATTCAACGCATATCATATACGCAAGGGCACATGCATCCTCCTCAAAGTCCTCGAAACCGACCTTTCCCCCGGACAGAACGCTCTTTCTCGTCAACGTACCCGTAGATGCTACGGAACGTGAATCTGTCACTTTTTTTCAGATACGCCGGTACGGTGGAGCGGGTGATATTCGATCAGAATGATTTGGATGACACAGAGCTGCAGGGGGATGCATCGGGGAGTGGGAGTGGTAGCGAAGGATGAAGTTTCAGATGCCCCGGACTCATCTATGGAAGTCGACGCCGAAGAAAACGCAGAAACTCGACCTCGAAAAAATCGCAAAGACAAAAAGAAGGATGAACCGGCACCCCCTACTGTAGTCCCACTGCCTACTAGCCCTCATCGCACCCTTCGCAAAACCGGCGCCGTCGCACACCTTGTCTTCCTCGATTCGTCTTCGCTTTCAAAGGCGCTCACACCCCTACCAAAAGCACGCTCTTGGCCATCATCTGAAGAACTGAGAGGGTTGGCTCGCTACCGTGCTCTCTACGATGAACAACGACCCCCTCTGGACATCGTCAAGGCACATGCGGACACCGCCATGGAACTCTATGAGTTCGAGCTCGCCAAGAGTAGACGACAGTCGGCCTATCGCAAAGGAGAGGCGATAGTGGACGAGGACGGTTTCACTCTGGTCACTCGTGGAGGAGCGTATGGTAAAACGCTTGGCGGTGGCGTTGGCGTTGCCAACAAGCAGTTCCAGGCTACTGGGAAAACTGGCAGTAAAAAGAAGAAGGAATCAAAGGAGAAAGTGTCGTTCTACGCGTTCCAAAAAGCGGAAAAACAGCGAAAAGGTAAACCATCGAACGCGTGTTACATTATGTGCAACTGAGCCTTCCAATGTAGCTATCATGGATCTCAAGAAAAACTTCGAGGCAGACAAAGCCCGAATAGAGAAATTGAAGCAGTCCCGTCGTTTCAAGCCTTACTGACAAGCTGTACACTTGCGGGTCTGTTCGTCATCTCTGTCATGTCCTTTGAGAGAACTTTGGTCCTAGCGACCTTAGTTCTGGAACGAAGGGTGAAGCACGCAGAATCCGGTTTTTTCTCCCCCACGAAGCACAACGTTCAAGCTCCAGGACTGCTACGGACATCGTAAAGTTCATTTCTTCATCAATATTACACTTATCAATCAACGTCTTTCCGTGGCTAAAATCACGAAGTCCGAACAACCACGGATCCGCACTGCCGAAGCTTTGAAAATGGAATCCATTGAGTACATCAATACCAGGACATACGAGTCTGCACCTTACCTTTCCATCTTATCTACAAAAAGGTTGTTCTATCCCGACGGGTGATCGTCGATCAGTGTTTAGAACATCCTTTCGTGCCACAGCTATAACAAAATGCTGTCCCACATCGACATAGCATGTGAGAACATCCTGAAACACGTTCCACTATCATCTTGCAGCCGGGGCAAGTCTGCCACCTCTCCCTGGCTGCAAGCGCCTTCACCTCACGCGCGAGCGAGTTCTGCTTGCAGTCGTCACCTGGGTGAGCTTGCTCCGTGCATTTCAAGCAGACCAGTGTATTGCACTTGGCGCACGTACGCTCAAGCTGCCTTGTATTTGTCTTCACTTCGCCCATGAATGCGGAACATGTCGCCTTAGGACAATATACCCGCTGAGAGGTTGGAATCGATGCTTCTATAATTTTCTCCTGGATCGCTTTGCGCCGTTCTTTGGGCAAGCTTTTGAGCAGAGGATCTACCGGGAGTAGTTGAAGACAACATTGCAATGGAAAGAGTTGTTCATCGCGGCACGCAGCTTCCACCATATCTGCTACGCACTGACGACAGAAGCGATGTGAGCATGGTGCGCTCAACGAAGTATATACGTCGCATATTTCTCCGCAGACGACGCATCTGCCACGATAGGGTGTTGGTTGGCTGTGATATCTAGTCGAATGCAATTCATGACTTACATCTCTCTCTCCTTCAAGGCTTTAGTTACGGATCTTGTCAAGGGTCGCGTTCTGTTCTCAGGTTTCGTCGTGTCTTCTCTGGGTTCTTCGCCGTTAACCCTGTGACCCATTCAGTTTTGTGCTCATTAGGCATGAAGGAACATACAACGAGAGGGGCCCTAGCCTTTGCATGGCTTTCTGGGCTTCCGTAGGTTCGGGAAGATCCTCTCCTCGCGCAACGGCTTCTGCGGCTCTACGGTCATCAAACTCTGCCTCTGCCAGTAATGCAAATTGCCCAAGCAACTCCTGTGTGTCGGGAATGATTGCACTTTGTTCCCCACGGCTACGCTTGGAGCTCGACCTAGCTGTCAAACGCAGAGTCCCCGTTCTCTGCAACGCGTCTTTCACACGGCCAGCGAGAGCGGATAGATTACCCATAGGAGAACCAGCGTCGCTCGAATTGGCTTGCCCACGGACTCGAGCACGGTTGAAGGTGTCTATATCTTGAAGAAGTAGTTCTGTTATGAGGACTTGTGTGTCGACGTCCCACTCGCCGTCGTCAGCAGGTGCAGGTCGTTTTCGTAGAAGAGCTGAGGCCATGTCTTTGGGGGATGAAGAAATGGAAGACACCCCCTAATCACCGAATGAGTGCGAGGCTAATTGTGCCCCTGAGTCGTTCTAGATGATATTTCATATGCGTCATCCACAATGGAATGTTTGGGGACTTTCGGCAAGTTGATCCCTTACCAAGAATACCACCTTGTTATCTGTTCAATTTAGGAGCTCCAATTCGCATCGGTTCCCCACCTGCATGTGAGGCTTTGTGCAATCATCGCTGTTACCTTAGAGTGAGGACAAATGAAGAAACACACGCGGTTATCCGGTTCGTTTATATCGTCCAATTTTCTACGTGTCGCTGGAAGCCTCTTATCTACCCTCGTAAGGATGTCTGAAGCGTTCGACTATCGTGAGTTCAAATATTCTTGCACCACGGAGGTAAGATTATCCAATATTAATCTCCCTTACGTACCCCCCGAGCACACGTCGACGATCTAAAAAACATAACTCCCAACACGTGGTGCCAGGGTGATATTTGTTGTCTGAAGTAATCCGGACTGCGGAACTCCAGAGAGCTCTGCATTCAAAGGTCGTTGGAAATGTGTGATAGTAGTGTAGGCCGTTTCTTTTTGCGGCGGCTGTTGCAGCGGCAATTGGAGTAAGGGTAGACCTTTCCGTGCCAGATGACACTCCTATCTGGCCACAGTCTTTGTCACGCTACCATCTTGACACGATTCCCGTTGTGTCCACACCGGCGACGTCCCATGAATAGTGTATCATTCTACTTTTTTGAAGTGCTTGCAGTGTACAGGCGGCAAACGTTCGGTGATAGGCTTCTGTTTAGCCCCTTTCTCCCGCGAGTCGACAGGGTATTTACTATTGTTTGTATCACAACTACTCTCCTCTGTCATGATAGGGTGGTTCTTCTTGTGCAAAGCAGGAGGCAAGTGCACTTTATCCATTGTCGACACACACGCACTTACATGCCCTTTTTGTGACTTTTGACCCTCGATTTTTGTAACCCTACCTCCGCAGGCTGACATATGGGCGTACTGAGCTCCGATCCTCGTGGTTGTGATATTATTAGGTTATGATGCCACTCGGCGAATAGCGACGGCACGGGGACAGAAGTCATGTGTCACAGTTATTTCCAAAGTTCAACGGTCGTAGTCAGTTGTCTTACCTAGCACCGGAAGAAGAAATCTGGAGTCTCACCATTCATCCAGATACAGCGACTCTAATCTCGATATTGCAATAGTAAGTATTTGACCTGCGAGATTATCTAAGATCGTCCACTGTTCGGATACGGTATGGCTTCATAAACATTGGTCCAAGGTTACCGTCACTCCGGCTCCGTCGGGAGCAAGGCCTAGCTACCGCAAGCAGGCTTCGAACTTTATGACATAGACTATACCGTCGGCAGGTGGATATCTCTTTCATATGCACTCCGACGGTGGACACCGTCGGTTTCTCTACTTCCACGGGTGTCTGGATGGTATATTATCGTCGCTCTTCAAGGTCGTTGGCCAAACCAACTCTTGGTCAACGTCCACTTCATGGATTTCCTCTCCACGCCTTATCTCGTCGCTACTATCTGTGCTGCTCTAGTCGTAGCATGTTCATTCAAGCTTCTTAGGCGCCCAAACGTAAGTCGAACGCATTTTAACAGTGATCAGGGATTGTTGAAGGTGTGCTCTGTAACAAGCTCCATCACATCCCTATTGTAGGCCACTCAAGTTTATTGGCATCGTACTGGTTCACGAAAGGACTCGAAGTCGACCGTCATCGGTTTGTGCAGGAGGGATACGACAAAGTGGGGGGGTCTTTTGTGTCGGTATCCGTGAGGATGGTGCTGACTGCAATAATTCAGTACAAGTCTGGAGTATTTAGGATCGCTAACTTGACACATTGGGTTGTCTGTTTGGACCGCAGTCACCTTGAGCACGTGGCGAGGGCTCCCGAAGATCACCTCTCCTTTATGGAGGCAGCGGATAACGTAAGTCAATCCCATCTTTCGGATGTTGGTTGTAATTCAATGTAGGTCACTGCAGATCATGAAATTAGAATATACGCTCGGCTTGAAGATCAGCGACAACTATCATATATCCATTATTCAATCAACTCTTACTCGCAGCCTTTCCGTTTTATATGCAGATATGAGGGACGAGATTGTCGTTGCATGCAACGAATACCTTGATATAAAGCACAATGGTCATTTACTGCATCACATCTAACTGGAAGCCACTAACGGCCGTTTGATTACAGAATGGAAAACCATCTCAGTAGTGCATGTTGCTCTCCAGATGGCGAGCAGGACAAGCAATCGGATGTTCGTTGGCCTCCCTCTTTGTAAGTCACCGAGTTGATGCACCGTGCATATCTTTCATTGGCCTAGGTCGTGACCCCGATTGGCTCGAATTGAATATAAATCTCCCTGGTGCAGTTGTGGACGAAGCAAGAATTTTGAGAGTCTTTCCTAATTTTTTGTTACCGTCCGTTTTTCTCTACTCTCTTTCAGTATGCTTTGCTTTACGCCGAAGTTGATAGACTGGCTGCAAAGTTTCTCGCCAATCTCTCCGGACGGACCTGTCGGGGGGTTACTTTCCTCGGTCCAGTAATTAAGGAACGTCTGCAACATATGGAAACAGAGGGCACCAACTGGTACGGTAAACCGGTGAGCCCCTGCGCTCGTTGTACCTTGGAAGTGCTAAGATCTGGTAGAATGACTTCTTGCAGTGGTGCCTGGATACTAAGCGAGAGACTTCCCTAACTTCACTGACCCAGCGTATCATCGCTGTTAATTTTGGTGGCATTCACGTTCGTTCGCTTATTTCCAATTCTTCTTTATTGATCACTTCCACTACCACAGACGACCTCGAACGTGCGTTCTTAATTACCAGCGGGACCGGCGCGCTGATTTCAGTGTGGTGTCTGTTTCCAGACTCTCTCTCAGGCGCTCTTACATCTTGCAGAACATCCACGACATGCACAGGCACTCCGCGAAGAGGTCGAGCTGGTTGTTAGTAAGTACGGGTGGACGAAAGAGGGTCTTTCGAAGATGCGAAAAGTCGATAGTTTTCTGAAAGAAACTCAGCGTTTTGACGGGCTTGCTGTTTGTGTGTATCCCTTTTCATCACTCCAGCTGGTCAGCTCAAAATTGTCAGTGGGCGTTTCGCGGAAAGCAATGAGTGACATCACACTCCCTGATGGAACCTTCATACCTCAAGGAACCTTTTTGGCCTTCCCAGCGTATGCCATGCATCGCGACGATGCAGTGTATGAAAACCCAAAAGAGTTTGAGCCGTTTCGATTTGCTGAAATGCGAAACAAAGAATCTGAGGGTTCTAGGCATCAAATGGTCGCTGTAACCCCGGATTTGTTATCGTTTGGCTTTGGAAAACACACATGGTAGGCACACAATTTTCCCACCTAAAATTACCTCCTCATGCACGTTATGCTGTAGCCCTGGCCGATTTTTTGCGGCTACTGCGCTCAAAACTATGTTGGCGCATGTTGTCATGTTGTATGACGTCAAGAGGGGAAATGATGAATCTCAGCCAGACACCTTGTACGCAGGGGATGCTATTGTGCCCAACCCCATGACCAAGATCATGTTCCGGAAGAGAGTCAATTGACTGCTGATTAACTTTGTACTTCGATACGCACTTCTCGTTCTTGTACGTTCCTAGCCCCTTCCAGGAGTTCGCCTTCCACTTTGAGTTTATTTCTCTCCATGACTGGTACTCTAGTCCCAGAGATGTTCTGCGTGGCCTCAAGGTCAGCATTCGACTTAGAGATGTGTTAGTTGTGCATTGTTTCCAATGTCTCCCTGTGAAGAGGTACAGCCACTCACAGCTTCTCAGCCGCACGCGTTCAAAGTTTTCTCGGATTACTACTGCCGGTATAGGTTTGCCGCAAAGTGACAAAGCACTGATGTTCGAAACTAGAGCGTTGATACCTCTGCTGCGGTTTTCCCCACCTGATATCCGAACCTTATACCCCCAGGCCAATTGCCCCACTGAATCGGATCAGTGAACTAGAGAATGAGCCGTCGTGAACGGTGGACACCCTGTGTATGGCTGGGCCATAGATACCCGACTGCAGTGATGAGAGCCAGAGTTCCGTTTATTAGACTGTCCTCTCAGACTTCACCTCATGAAATATTTGTTCCCTCGGATTTTTCCATTCCTCACGAGACCTTTTGGAGGCTTCGTGCGTCGTCCACCTGTGCCGACAAGATCACGATCAGGAGCTCAAAAGCCGCAGTGGTAGCCAAATTATCTACCAGCCTACTTTCTTGCCCATCAGTCATTGCCACCTTGGCTTTACGGTGATATTCTTGCCCCCTTTTCTTTTCCATCTTCCGTACAATGTTCTCACTGGTATCAGAGCTCTTTCGGCGACATGAAAATGTTACCACGATTATCAAGGGTGTTCGGTCAAAAAAGATTTGGAACACGTAAGCGTACTATCACGTAACCGCAGAATATTTCTACACATTCGACTCTCGCAATACAGGTTGCTCGATAGCAGTGCACTCTACGATCAGCCTAAGCATTTGTATGCTGAGAAATGAGAACTGTCCCAGTTGAAACACAGAACTCATTGATTGGACAGAGCAGATGTGGGCCCTTAAGATACATTTTCAATGGATCAATTATGTCACTAAATGATGAAGTGCGCTCAAAGTTGAGCAGCGTTCACACCGTGGGTCCGTGCGAGGTCCGTGCGACCCCTTTCTAGCTAAATATGGCAATGTACTTCGGCTAGTCGTTCGAAGCGATACTCCCAGCAGAGCATTTGGTATGTAACTCCTGATATAACCTGCAACGCGTCCCATTCCGCAGGCTACTCTATTTCCAAGTGGCGCACGCCAAGTACTGTCCGTATCTCCTGCATGAGCTCGGCCTTCACCACTGCACTGTCGGAATGGTGTGCTAGGCCCAGGGGTGGTCATCTCCAAGTCGTCAAAACCTCACAAGACAAAGGCGCTTTCCAGACCTGGACTCAGTCGACCGCATCTGGGAACAACTTTGAAACAACTGCTAGTGTGCCATCAGCTTCGTAATCGTAAGGTCACCATCACCCTAGCTCCCTCAGAAACCTGTACTGTATGGCCATTGCAGCTAGACTTCGAAGTGCACTGCGATAATCACTGTCAGTTCCCACCTTCACTGTATGGAGTCTGGAGGGTATAATACGACTATTGCAACGTTGTTGACCCAGTCAGCTCTTGGTTAACGCCCAGCTCATGGATTCCCTCTTCACGCCTTATCTTGTCACTGGTATCTGTTCCGCTCTAGTTGTAGCATGCTCGCTCGGTTTTCTTAGGCGTCCAAACGTAAGTCGTGTACGTCTTACTTGACGTCGGGTGTTGTTGAAGATGTCTACTGCAACAAGCTCGATCACATCCCTGTCGTAGGACACTCAAGTTTACTAGCATCGTACTGGTTCGGAAAGGGGCTTGAAGTCGACCATGATCGGTTCGTGCAGGAGGGATACGATAAAGTAGGGGGGTCTTTTACGTCGGTATTCGTGACGCCAGCACTGACTGCAAAAACTCAGTACAAGTCTGGAGTATTCAGGGTCGCTAACCTGACTCATTGGATCGTCTGTTTGCACCGCAGTCACCTCGAGTACCTGGCAAGGGCTCCCGAGGATCACCTTTCGTTTGACCATGCAACAAACAACGTAAGTCAATCCCACCTTTCGAAAGTTCGTTGCAATTCAAGGTAGGTCGATGCAGTTGTTGAAAATGGAATATACGTTCGGCTTGAAGTTTAACGACAACTATCAAGTATCCCTTGTTCAATCGACTCTTACTCGCAACCTTTCAGTTCTATATGCAGATGTGAGGGACGAGATTGTTGCCGCATGCAACGAGTACCTTGATTTAAAGCACAACGGTTATTCGCTGCATCACATTTAACTGGAAGCCACTAACGTTCATTCGATTACAGAATGGAAAGCCATCTCAGTAGAACATATCGCTCTGCAGATTGCGAGCAGGGCAAGCAATCGGATGTTTGTTGGCTTTCCTCTTTGTAAGTTGCTGAGTTGATGCACTGCAGATGTAGTTTTATTGACCATTTTTCCTAGGCCGTGACCCCGACTGGCTCGATTTGAATATAAATATCCCTCACGCGAATTGTAGCAGAACTAAAACTTTTGAAGTTTTGCCCTAGTTTTATGCTACCGTCAGTTTTTCTCTACGCTCTTTCGGTATTCTTTACTTTACATTGCAGTTGACAGATTGGTTGCAAAGGTTGTCACCAATCTCTCCGGACGGACCAGTCGGGGAGTTACTTTGCTTGGTCCAGTCATCAAGAAACGTCTGCAGCATATGGAAACAGAGGGCACCGACTGGTGTGATAAACCGGTGAGCTTCCGCGTTCATTATGCTTCAGAAGCTCTAAGACCTGGTAGAATGACTTCTTGCAATGGTGCTTGGACACTAAACGGGAGACTTCGCTAACCTCATTGACTCGACGTATGATTGTCATTAATTTTGGTGGCATTCACGTTCGTTCACTTATTTCCGATTCTTCTTTATTGATCACCTCCACTACCGCAGACAACCTCAAGTGTGCGTCCTTAAATTGCCAGTGGGACCAATGTACTAACGTTGGCGTGCAATCTCTCCCCAGACTTTCTCTCAGGCGCTGTTAAATCTTGCCAAAAATCCACAGCACGTACAGGCACTCCGCGACGAGGTAGAGCTAGTTGTTAGCAACCACGGATGGACGAACGAGGCCCTTTCGAAGATGCGAAAAGTCGATAGTTTTTTGAAAGAGACTCTGCGTTTTGAAGGTAGTTCACTTTGTATGTATCTGCCACCATTGCTCCAACTGTACAACTCAAACACTAATTGCCAGTGGGCCTTTCTCGGCAAGCCATGAGTGATATCACACTCGCTGATGGAACCTTCATCCCTCGAGGGACCCTTTTAGCCTTCCCAGCATATGCCATGCATCACGATGGCGCAGTGTATGGAAACCCAAAGGCGTTCGAACCATTTCGATTTGCCGACCTGCAAAACGAAGGGTCTGAGGGTTCTAGGCGTCAGATGGTCGCTGTAACTCCTGATCTATTGTCATTCGGCTTGGGAAAACACGCATGGTGGGCACAATAATTTCACAACAGAGATTTTCTCCTCCTCATGCGTGTTATACTGTAGCCCTGGTCGGTTTTTTGCGGCTACTGTGCTCAAAACTATGTTGGCACATTTTGTCGTGTCGTATGACGTGAAGCGGAAAGACGATGAATCTGTCCCAAACACCCTGCGCATGGGAGATGCCATTGTGCCCAACCCCATGGCTAAGGTCATGATCCGGAGAAGAGTCAATTGACTGCCATTTACCTGAGCACAAGAACTACTGGCTGACTTGTCATGTGTGTTGTTGTATTGTATTTTCGACTTGCTTTCACGTTTTCCTCGTTGTTTCTAGTATTTGCCTTCCACACTAGATCTATTTTTCTCCGTGAACGTGGTACCAGAGTTCCGGAGATGTTCTACACTTCATGTTTCGTGAGCATATACGCAATTTACCGCGACGTACCAACGTCAAGTAAAATCTTGTGCAGATAACAATCGCTTTTAGATAAGTGGCTCATCTACGGCTTCCTAGATTTTTGGTGGAGATAGCCAGCTGATCAGCGCTGACAATGTGGAAGAGGATGTCATGTCCGACAGCGACAATAACCATGAAACGTGCGATAGTCACCGTTGATGACTATGCAGGAAAATTCTCTGAAAGATCCTTGCGGGGGTCGTTTCGTATCCAATGCTGGTGAGAGACGATCAAATAGTATGTCCCAGGCAAAATGGAATTGGGGGTTCCATGAACCCGACCCGGGATTAGTGGCCTCTTCTTCATCTAAAGCAGACTCCTCTAATGATGATATTGACGGTCGTGAGTCCGACTGAGCAACGACCGACGGACCGATACCTACGCTCAGAACCCGCCCGAACAAAGCGAGATCCCCAACAGAAAGGATATTAGAGTCCTTGAACACGAGTGCCAACATAGTTTGCCAATTGTGGTTTGGCAAGAGAGCTTGCAGCTTCAATGTCAATGCAACCTTTTGCAGTGACCAAAACGACTCCTTTTCTTTCGAGAAAGATATTTGACGGTTGTGTCCAGCGCCTTCGCTATCCACAGTACAGGCGAATTTTGCACTGCGTCGGTGGCCAACTGGCAACCGCTCACCGTGCTCTCTCTCACGACTTTTTCTCGCCAATCTCGATCCACTTTTTCAATACTTGTTCGTAGCTCACTGTGGTCGACACTTGAGTAGTGGAGGAGCCCAAACTGGGAAGTGGTGTCTGGCAAACGAGGTCTGAGGAGACCCGAGCAAACGACGGCTGTGAGCCCAAGCAGACGGGTGAAAGGAATGTGGCGTCCTTGACCCGACTCAGAGCCTTGCTTGTTTGTCGATGAATCACTTGTGGTTGTCTGGAACGACCACCGTTCCGGACCAGATGGCCGTCTCGCGCCGGTATCAACGCAGCGGACGAGACCGGCACCAGTACAATGCTATTGGCGCTTCCCGTTTCTTGCCAACTCCCTCATCATTGTCTGATCATTGCTTCTCCCCAACTTGGGTCTCTTTCGGACGGACGGTTTTTTTCCTTATTCGTACAGCGAGCGTCACGGTATGGTGTGTACGAGCTCTGTCACCGTTCACGGATCTCAACCATGACCCTTCGTTAACTTGGGCTTTTGTAGCCTACGTGGTGAGCGATGCGCTACATCATCGTAGATGCATTCTTGGAGAGGGAGAGGCAAATACAAAATGGAATGAGCGAATCTCAACTCAACGTCTTCGAGAAATGCAGAGCTCCGCGGATGGACTATTGCATATTATCGCATCGCTGGACGACAGAGGTAACCTACGAAGAAATGGAGAGCCTCACAAAAATAGAGAACAAGAATGAGATACGCAGCCGGAGCGGTTATCAAAAAATCCTTAGGTGCTGCGAGCGGACCCAGTGCGACGGTCTTGGGCTACTGTGGATCGATACGTGCTGTGTCGACTTTTCGAACGTTCCGGAGACCTCCGATGTCATCAATTCTATGTTCCAGTTGTACCAGAACTCGAAATATTGCTATGCTTACCTCCATGACACTTCTGTCTTTCCGACAAGACGCGACGACAAGATGTTCGGAAGGTTCGATGGATGGCCGGAGTGGTTCTCACGGGGCTGGACACTGCAGGAATTGATAGCTCCGGAAAATCTTCGATTTTTCAACAAGGACTGGGAGTACGTCGGCGATAAGCGAAGTTTGGCACCCAAGTTGGCGGAAATCACAAAAGTTCCAGTCCGTGTTTTGAGGGATGGTCTCTCTTCATACCATCCTAGCGCCGCTCAAGTTATATCCTGGGCTGCTGACAGGAGGACTTTATGCGTCGAGGACCGAGCATACTCATTGCTAGGTCTATTGGACGTCAACATGCCGGTATTATATGGGGAGGGAAAGAGAGCATTCCTTCGTCTTCAGCTAGAGGTTATGCGGATGTCAAACGACCAGAGTATCTTCGCATGGAAGCACAGCGTGACCTGCAGTGTCCGGTGGACCGGCGGTGTGTTAGCTGATGATCCGATCTTCTTCAGAGATTGTCACGACGTCATCAAGATGGAACCGAAGGAATTCTATGAAGGGCTTTCACTTTTGTGGGAGTCAGATGCAAAAGGACTCGTCACCAGCCAAGGAGACGAAGGAATTCCCGCATTCATCGTTACCAATGGAGCGATCCAGATACGTCTTCCCCTTTTACCTTACTACGGCTGTCCGTCAGTCTTCTTAGCGGCATTGGCGTGTCGCAAGGAAAATGACCCACTGCCAGTGACCATTGGGTTAGCAAGCTTTGCATCCAACTATTATAGATATTCCGGTGCAACTGGACCCCTGCAACTACTTCCCCAGTACCGACAACTCTCTCTGGCATATCGAGGACAAAGGTCTCAGGCCATCACATTCAAGCTCGATGACAGGATGGTCCCATATTATGGTTTCACTCGCACTGATGTGCTCCCAGACGGGGAGTCACTTGCAGGCAATTCCCTCAGACTGTCGGACACCAGCCCTCTTGCGATAGTAAGCTATGTCAATAGCGCCGTCAATTCTTCCTTCGCTATCGCATTCGGTTTCTGCTTTGGTCAGGACTGGGTACACATTATTTGCGACGAACATGAAGCGATCGATGTAGAGAAGGTGCATCGCAGAGTATGGAATACAGGCGCAGAATATGCCCGTGTTATGTCTGAAGTGCGCTTTGGTAAAAGGGGCCGGCCTCACTACGCGAAACATGAGCCACTCCCTTGTACCATTTGGACTGTGAAAGTTATTTGTGGAGGACTTGAGGATTCGAGCGATCGCAGAGTTACAGTCGACGTTATTCCACTCCCAGGAGGTCATTGGAAGACGCACGAGTGGGAGCCTGTATATGTGAGTACATATCTGCTCACATTATGAACAGGGCTGTGCTAATTTGCTACATCTAGGATATTGAAGATAATATCCATATGCCCTGCCTCATGAAAAAGACATCTTGGATCGGTGGACGCTTTGACAACCACACACTGCTAGTTGGACTCGATTCCCAAGGTGTTTGACCTTGCTCATGCTCTGCAAGTGGTTGAGGTGAGTTGTAATGCATATCAAATGCGTATACTCTAGTTCCACGAACTTCATGAATGCAGTTAGGCGACTATGGCATTATCACATCCGATACCAACGGCATGGGCCACTTTGAACATCGAGGCAACATCTTTGATGACTTCAAGTCACACGCTCATGAACTTGGCATAGACCCGGATGATCCAGACCTCATGCCTGTGGTGCACACGGTTCATGCTCCTTACGAAGGTAGCGCACATATGACAAGCAATGATGTGACGACAAAACTTATCAGTTATGACGGTGACCCTCGGGTAAAAGCCGGGTTGACTTTGCGCCAACCGAGAGGTCTTTCACTCCCGAACACTCAACCTATCCTTATGTTGTTAAAAATGCTGTCTACTCGGAACAGGAACTACTCGTTAGTGACAACGGTTGTGCAGTGTTCAACATGCTACCTCACCGACGACTTCAAACAAAGGATCAACTCAGCAGTGACGCAATACCCCAAATTTTGGCAGAATTGTAGGTTTTTCCGTCAGTGCCGGTCCGTTGGTTCTTACCTCTTGGATAAGATACCACATCGGACCTTTACAATGTCTCCATCAATCTACATACCATTACTCCCTTATACATGGTCTCCGATCCCTGGATTTGGTGCAGACGTGAGTTGAACGCAAAGGTGGTAGAAGAATACCGAAGAATCAGGTGGGTTTGTCATTCGGTCGTATGGTTGATGCTACATCCTTTGGTATTTAGAGAACAGTTTAGCATCATACAAGGCCACCTGCCACGACATCGGGAGGACCTAAAGGAACCAGCGTTCAAATTCTTGAAGGATATGTTTGGTGTTGAGCATTTGGAACGTGTCGTGAGTGCTTGTCTTGTCCGGGTATCTACTAGTACACGGGCCTAGAAACCACCAGGTCGGCGATATAACCTTCTTTGAATGGCTGGCCTCGTCTTTGCGTATGGGCAAATCAACAATCTCAGAAGGTGGGATTGATCTGTTAAGTCATGCTTATCCTTGACATATGGTTGTAGGGATCGTGCCTGGTTCACCGAAGCGATGTGTTAAGCAACTAGTGATGATGTTACTTCAAGCAATGAAAGGGGTCACGCATGCGTTCCAGATGCGCCAGTCGTCAAGGGTTGTGGAAATGATGTACATGACAAATCCGATCATGACAACCCTTGGTGCGGAGGTAAATGGCCCAGTTGCTATCGTTAGAAATCCACGTTCTTATGCTGTTGAATAGTTCCTTGCTGATATCAGTACTACATTCCTTGGAGCAAAGGACATACTTGATGATGTTAAGTCGTAAGTAGTTGGGACTACTTCTGCTGCTTGTATGATTTAATGTGCTGCAGTGCAGACAGACGAGAAAGAAATAACTGTGAAACTAAACATTGCAGGTGAGCACAGGTATCGAAAACACCGCCTGAGAAGAGCTATATATATGCGTAGCATCCAATCGCTGGTGGACGAGATTATGGCTTTGCAAACGCAATATCATAAATCAAAGGATGACGTTGAACGACTGGCTCTGGAACAAGATATCGTTGGCACGGTACGATGGATTGGTGATGTTAATGGCTTGGGTGACAATCTTCTACAGATCTTACTGGCTTGCTATTATGGAATATCTTCGGAGATCCAGCAAACAATCAGGCAGGAGAGCCCCCTCCTCACTTCGTCCTTTCGGTTGTACCTGATGCAAAACAGGTTACAGATGACGTTCTGAGATATGAGACAACAGACACGTCAATGGCTTTGCCAGAGAGGAAAGAACGTCTCAATGTAAGCTTTTTCTTCGCGAAATAGACTATAAACCATGCTTAGCTCGCATCTTCCGCATCAGTGTTTACATTTCGTTGGAGACATCTTCGAGGATGCATTCTCTGGCGCACCACTTGATAACCACTTTCACTTGCGATGGTATGTACACCATGAACAATCTAATTTGAGGTCGTCATATGAAGCATCGATTCGTGTCCATTTTCTAATCAAGCCCATGGCCAACGCCAAAGCAAGGACATCAATGCATAAGCTCTACCTTGCCACTCGTTCTGGATGGGATGTCAGAGGGACTGGCAGTATCCAACTTGATTCGCAAGGCTCCTTCCCGGGTGATACGTGAATATTTCATGTACGAAGGACTTGATGTCACCGCGGCCAGGAACTGTGCGTGGCATGCATCAAAATAATACCGCTGCGTAAGTATAGTATTTGTCAATGTTACTGCAATACTACAACAAACGTTTCACCACACTTACATACGTATGCACTTACTATTACACTGTTCGCGATCGCCTTGCTAATTTAGCCGCCCGACTGAGTCTGGTACAAAGCCTCCTCTAGATACATTTTGTCATTCTACGTTCCCGCCTTCGCATCTACTTTGGCTCTGTGTTTCCGGGCCGCGTTGGTCTTCCGTACTGATGGGAAAATGCAAAATCATAGCACATACCGCCACAAATGAGCTTCGCTACCGTCTGGGATATCACCGAGAATATCTTACAAGACCTTGGCGATTTTATGCACGTCTCGGCAAAGAGTCAAATTAGATCAGGAACTTCATATAACTCTGCGTATTAGAGGTCGTCACTTGTACGAGCAATGATTCCAGTGTGCTGCATTCCTATCTTGCTCGGAGTTTCCATCTCGTTATACAACAGCGATTTGACAACCCGGAGGGTCAGATGGCATCAACGAGAATGACAGTGTCAACTCTCCATCATTGCCGCTTGCCTGACCTCAAGGGAGATTCCACGCTTGCACGCCAAGATCTACCCGCATGACCATCAGTGAAAGTGATAATGCGATTGTTTCTTGTCCACACTTTCCCACAATATCTTCTTCCAGTGCTCGCCATTCTCCATCATGTCACTCGTTTTGTGGCATTCTTCTTCTAGTGTGTTTATCTTGCACCATACTGTATATATAATGGGTACTGTGATGGGTAAGACTGCAAACCAACCCGAGTACTAAGCATGCAGTGTATTCCATAAATCATTTATCTTCGGGAGGGCAGAAGTGATGTCTTCGATGAACTACTCGTCCGGTGACTGGGTGTGCAGAGACCTGAAAGCTGATTAGAATACGTACCCCAAAACCGAGGGTGTTCACTATTGGATGCACTTCTCGGACCACCATAGCCACTGATTCACTAACGAACAACCAGCTTATGTGGTGTTCCCGGCGTTTTGTTGAGCTCTAGGTACTCGTATCACTAGGCAGTGAGTCCACTTGTAAGGACTGTTCCACTAGACTCCTTACCGGCTCTCGAAGGTAATGCCAAAGCGCTCGAAAAAAAGTCATGTTGCCAGCCTGGCAAATTTCATCTGTCGACATTTCGAATGTCCTGGAGACCTCCGATGTCATCATTTCTATGTTCCAGTTGTACCAGAACTCGAAACATTCTTCCACTAAAGTACTGGTGGTAAGGATATCCAAATCCTAATGTCATATCTTCCCTGGACAGGTGTCCCGGCGTGGAGAGACCCGCTCTTTCAATCGTCTAAAAAACATATTTCTCTTTACCGCCCAACGGTATTTCGTGGATGATATATGATACCTCTCTCTAGCCACGGTAGTTTCACTCAGTTCCCGTATCTCCGCATCCTTCTCACTATCATCTCCGCTGGCTAGGGGTTTACTGTTGTTTATACCTGACATACTGTATGCGCAAGTGGTTCATTTGCCATACTTATGGTTCCTCAAATGAAGCTTCGCAGCCACTGCTACCAAGTGGCGTCCGTCGTCCAATACACGTGCATTTACGTATTCTTTTTGGAAATGTTGACCTTGATTTACTTCGAATGTAGCAAGCAATGCCGCAGTAATCTAGTGATCCACGCGCTCACTGCAATGCCACTCACTGCGGAAACGAGATTTAGGTCTGGTATTGGATAAGACTCGGTGGCGAGTCAGCAGCGTCGTGTGGTGAAGTCCTGTATTACTTTCCAAAATCCAACGGTCGTAGTCAGTTGCCCAACAATGGAACCTTCAATCAGATACAGCGGTTCCAATATTAATTCATATTGCAGTGAACAGTTACCGGTGAGTATCTGACCTATGAGATTATCTCCACTGTTCGGTTGCACCAATCAATAGTTCCATAATCGCAAGGTTACCGTCGCTCCAAGTATGGTTGCTGCAGCCCCAACTTGAAATCCACTTTGATATTCACCGCCGGTACCCGCTTTTGCTCTCTGGAACCTGGAGGGTATAATACGATAACTTCAACGCTGTTGGCCCAACCAACTCTTGGTTAATGCCCAGCTCATGGATTCCCTCTTCACGCTTTACATCGTTGGTGGTATCTTCGCCGCTCTGGTAGTAGCATGTTCGTTCAGTTTTCTTCAGCGTCCAAGCGTAAGTTGTGCACGTCTTATTATATATCAGGCCTTGCTGAAGGTGTGCACTGTAACAAGCTCGGCCACATCCCGGTCGTAGGCCACTCAAGTTTATTAGCATCGTACTGGTTCGGAAAGGGACTTGAAGTTGACCATGATCGGTTTGTGCAAGAGGGATACGACAAAGTGGGGACTCTTTTAATGTCGGTATTCGCGACGTTGGTGCTGACTGCAATAACACAGTACAAGTCTGGAGTGTTTAAGGTCGCTAACTTGACTCATTGGATTGTCTGTTTGCGCCGCAACCACCTCGAGTATGTGGCAAGGGCTTCTGAGGATCTCCTTTCGGCTGGCCAGGCAGCAGAGAACGTAAGTAGATCCCATTTTTCGAAAGTTGGTTACAATTCAAGGCAGGTCAATGCAGTTGTTGAAAATAGATTATACGTTCGGCTTGAAGATCAGCGACGACTATCATGTATCCCTTGTTCAATCAACCCTTACTCGCAACCTTTCAGTTCTATATGGAGATTTAAGGGACGAGATTGTTGCTGCATGCAACGAATCCTTTAACGCAACGCACAACGGTTATTCACTGCACCATATCTAACTGCAAGTTGCTAACGGTCGTTCTATTACAGAATGGAAGACTATCTCAGTAGTACATGTCACTCTCCAGATTGCGAGTAGGGCAAGCAATCGGATATTTGTTGGCCCCCCTCTTTGTAAATCGCTGAGTTGATGCACTGTCTGTGTGTTTTATTAACTATTTATTTACAGGCCGTGACCCCGACTGGCTCGATTTGAATATAAATCTTCCTCATGCAATTGTGGAAGAAACAAGAATTTTGAGGTTCTTTCCTAGTTTTATGTTACCGTTAGTTTTCCTCCGTGCTCTTTCGGTATGCTTTACTTTACATCGAAGTTAATAGAATCGCAGCAAAGTTTTTCACCAATCTCTCCGGACGGACCAGTCGGGGGGTTGCTTTGCTTGGTCCGGTAATTAAGGAACGCCTGCATCATATGGAAGCAGAGGGCACCAATTGGTGTGATAAACCGGTGAGCTTCTGCATTCGTTATACCTTGCAATACTGCTAAGATCTGGTAGAATGATTTCTTGCAGTGGTGCTTGGATACTAAGCGGGAGACTTCGTTAACCTCACTGACCCAGCGTATGATTCTTATTAATTTTGGTGGCATTCACGTTCGTTCACTTATTTCTGGTTCTTCTTTATTGATCATTTCCATCACCACAGACAACCTCAAGCGTGCGTCCTTAAATTACCATCGGGACCGGCGCACTAACTTGACAGTGTGCCGTCTCCCCCAGGTTTTCTCCCAGGCGCTCTTAAATCTTGCAGCAAATCCTCGACATGCACAGGCACTCCGAGATGAGGTCGAAGTAGTTGTTAGCAAGCATGGGTGGACGAAAGAGGCTCTTTCGAAGATGCGAAAAGTCGACAGTTTTTTGAAGGAGACCCTACGTTTTGGGGGCATTTCACTTCGTGTGTATCCTTTCCCATCATTCCAACTGCTTAACTCAAACACAAATTGCCAGTGGGTCCTTTGCGACAAGCAATGAGTGACATAATGCTCAGTGATGGAGCCTTCATCCCTCGAGGGACCCTTTTAGCCTTCCCAGCGTACGCCATACATCACGATGGCGCAATGTATGAAAACTCAGATGTGTTTGAACCATTTCGATTCGCCGACATGCAACACGGAGAGTCTGAAGGTTCTGGGCATCAGATGGTCACTATATCTCCTGGTCTGTTGACATTTGGCTTGGGAAAACACGCATGGTGGGCACGAAATTTGACAGTTGAGACTCTCTTTCTCATGCATGTTACTCTGTAGCCCTGGTCGGTTTTTTGCGGCTACCGTGCTCAAAACTATGTTAGCCCATGTTGTCTTGTCGTATGATGTCAAGCGGGGAAGTGATGAATCTGTCCCAAGCACCCTGCGCGTGGGGGATGCTGTGGTGCCCAACCCGATGGCTAAGGTCATGATCCGGGTAAGGGTCAATTGAGTGCCATTTACCTGGGCGCAAAGATTGTTGGTTAGCTTGTTGTCATATGTATTGTTGTATTTCAGCTCGCTTTGGTGCTTCCCTCACTGTTTCCAAGCTTCGCCTTACACTCTGAATTTACTTTTCTCTGAGACTGTAGTACCAGGGTTTTAGAGATGTTCTATACTTCAAGTTTCGGTAGGATATGCGCAATGTTCTGTGCAGATAGCGATCGTTGTTAGATAGGTGGTTCATCGATGACTGCGTTAGGTTTTTTGTGAAGAACTAGGCGGCTGATCAGCCCTGTCAAGTGTCAGCACCCTTTCGGCGACGTGAAAACTCCAGTACTTCGTCTCAAGGCTGGCAACATGGAGGATAATGTCATTTCAGACAATGACAATAACTATGAAACGTACAACAGTCACCAATGACGAATGCGGGAAATTTCCTTGCAGGGGCTGTTTTGAATTCGATGCTGAAAACAGACGGTCAAGTAGTATATCCCAGACAAAATGGATTTGGAGGTTCCATGAGCCCGACTTGGGATTAGAGGCCTCTTCTTCGTCTGAAATAGACTTCTGCAAGGATGACATCGATGTTAATGAATCCGGCTGCGTTGGAATCAAGGGACTGATGCCTACTTTCAAAATCCGCCCGAATGAAGCGAGATTCCCGACAGAAAGGATGTCAGAGCCTTCGAACATGGGTGTCAGCGTACTCTCCCAATTATGATTTGGTGAGGCAAGTTGCGGCTTCAATGTCATTGCAACCTTTTTCCAGTGACCAAAACAACACCCTTCCAAGAAAAGATACTCGACAATTGTGACCATTGTCTTCACTTTCCACGGTATTTCGTTGCGTCAGTGGCCAACCCAACCGTTCACCACGCAGCCTCTCTCAACCACAACTTCATCTCCCTAATTTTGATTCACTGCTTCAGCATCTCTTTATAACTCTCTATTCCCGACGCTCGAGTATTGGATGAGACCGAACTAGAAAGCAGTGTCCGACGAACGAGGAGCCCTAACCGAACGACGGCTGTGATCCCAAACACTCGGGCGAAGAAAATATCGCATTCTTCTTGACTCGACGTCCAGCCTTGCTTTTTTTGCTGAATCATTTAAAGAGAGACGACTTGTGAGCACGTAACGGTGTTTATCCTCAAGAGAAGCTGTAATAGTAAGGATATTGTACCAAAACTCATCCACATAGACGGACGGTGACACACGTACCTCTGTCAAAGCGACGCCGATACCCGGTCTGAAGCTTCCTCTCGGGCTTGCAGGACCTCTTTCAAGCCTACGTATCGAGTAGGTCGCATCCAGGGAGTCGAGTAGGTCGAGCGCACTGCCGCCGCCTTCCTCGGTGGCTGAACGTTCCAGTGGAGGAACATGGTTTATCTGAAACTGTTCGAGTGCACTGATGAGCTAGACGGACGCGTTGATGTGCTCTTGTTTTGAAGCTGACAATGACAAGTCACAGAAAAGCGGTAGTGTCGCAACGTCGCGTTTCGTGTCCTATCTTTATTATACCAAAAACCCTTTGGGCGAATGCCATACCAGTCCAAAGACGTCCATGAAAAACTGCGTGTACAGACATTGCTGACGCCGTCCTACAGGTGTATGTGAGGGGATATGTGATCCTGTGCATTTGGACGGAGCCACATGCCGATTCATATGCTAAGTTCATGACTACTGGAAAGAAGAGCGGAATTCCTGCGAGAGATTTTAGTATCCATAAGAAACAATCCTGCATCTATATTACTACGTTAGAATAGCTTGCAAAGCACAATATTGCTGCTTGATCTTTCAGCACATGCTGGTTTGTGTCACGGTGTAGCGTTGACAGATTAATTACGTAAGTATGGCTGGAACGGTAGCCTTCCAGACCGGTCGGTTACCTCGGACCGGCGCCAGGACCCTGCGGGAACACAACCGACACGAGTGACAGTGCTATGGGCGCTTCCCCTTCGCCGGTGCGCTTAGCGTTGGCTAATCGTTGCTTTGCTTTCTTCCCAAGTTGAGTCTCTCTCGAGTGGCCGGTTCTTTTTTCATTCGCACAGACGACGAGCATTGTGGTGTGTACCAGCCGTCTCACCGTTACAGATCTCGAACATGAACATTTCTTAGCTTAGGCTTGCGTAGCCTACGTAGTGAACGATGCGCTTGATCATCGTAGATGCGTTCCTGGAGAGGGAGAGGCAAATCCAAAATGGAACAGTCGAAGCTCAACTGGAGGTGTTCGAGCAATATAGGGTCCCTCGCGTGGACTATTGCATATTATCCCATCGCTGGACAGATAGCGAAGTAACCTACGAAGAGATGAGGAGACTCACAAGAATGGATAATAGAGACGAAATACGAAGCCGGGCTGGTTATCGAAAGGTCCTGAGGAGCTGCGAACAAGCCAAACACGAGGGTTTTAGATTGCTGTGGGTCGATACGTGCTGTGTCGACTTGCTGAACAGCCCGGAGATGTCCGATGCCATAAATTCTATGTTCCAGTGGTACCGGAAGTCGAAGCAATGCTATGCTTACCTCCACGATGTTTCTGTCTTTCCCACCAGACCGAATAACGAGTTGTTTGGAAGGATTCAACGGGATGGCCGGAGTGGTTCTCGAGGGGCTGGACGCTTGCAGGAGTTGGTGGCCCCAGAGGATCTCCAGTTCTTCAACAAAGATTGGAAGTGCATCGGCGACAAGCGAAGTTTGGCACCCAAGCTGGCCGGAAATCACGAAGGTCCCCTTAGTGCGTTTTGAGGGACGGGACTATCTTCATACCGTCCTAGCGTCGCTCAAGTTATATCCTGGGCTGCTGACAGGAGTACTACACGTGTCGAGGACCGAGCATACTCACTGTTGGGTCTATTAGGTGTCAGTATGCCGACATTGTATGGGGAGGAGAAAGGGAGCATTTCTTCGCCTACAGCTAGAGATTATGCGGATCTCAAATGACCAGAGCATCTTTGCTTGGAAGGACAGCGCGACATGTGCAATGCTCGCTGGTCCAATGGTGTGTTAGCTGACGATCCCGAGCTGTTTCAGAGACTTGTCACGACTGTCATCAAGATGGAACCGAAGGAGTTTTACAAGGGGCTTTTACTTTTGTGGGAGTCAGATGCAAAAGAACTCGTCACCAGTCAAGATGATGATGGAATTCCTACGTTCACCGTCACCAATGGGGCGATCCAGATACGTCTTCCCCTTTTACCCTATTATGGCTGTCCGTCGGTCTTCCTGGCGGCATTGGCATGTCGTAGGGAAAGTGATTCACTACCGATGACTATTGGATTGGCAAGCTTCGGATCCAACTATTATAGGTACTCCGGTGCAACTGGACCTCTACCATTATTTCCCCAGTACCGGCAACTCTATCTTGCATATCGAGACGAAAGGCTTCAGGACATCACATTCAAGCCCGATGACAGGACGGCCCCATATTATGGTTTCACTCACCGTGATGTATTCCCGGGCGAGGTGTCACTCGTAGGGGATTCCCTCACGCTGTCAAACACTAGTCCTCTTGCGATAGTAAGCTATGCTAACAGCACCCTCAATGCTTCCTTCGCTATCGCTTTCGGCTGCTCCTTTGGCCAGGACTGGGTTCACGTCATATGCGACGAACAAGGGATTGATGTAGAGAAGGTGCATCGCAGAGTGTGGAATGCAGGCGCAGAATATGCCCGTGTCATGGCTGAAGTACGCTTTGGTAAAAGCGGCCGGCCTTACTATGTCAAACACGAGCCACTCCCTCGTACCATTTGGACTGTGCGAGTTATCTGTGGAGGATTGGAGGAATCGAGCGATCGCAGAGTCACAGTCGATGTTGTCCCACTCCCAGGAGGTTATTGGAAGACGCGCGGGTGGGAGCCTGTATATGTGAGTGCGTTTCCGCTCACGTTGCGAACGAGGCATGTAATTTGCTGCATCTAGGACATCGAAGATAATAGCCACATGCCCTGTCTCATGAAAAAGACATCTTGGATTGGTGGCCGCTTTGACAGCCATACACTACTGGTGGACTCGATGCCCAAGGTGTTCGACCTCGCTCATGCTCTGCAAGTGGTTAAGGTGAATTATAGCGCATATACTCTAGTTTCATGAGCCTAATGAATATAGTTGGGCGACTATGGCACTATCGCCTCCGACGCCAGTGGCATGGGCCACTTTGAATTACAAGGCAACATTTTCGATGACTTAAAGTCACACGCCCATGAGCTTGGCATAGATCCGGATGATCCAGGCCTCATGCCCGTGGTGCACACGGTTCATGGTCCTCACGAAGGCAGCGGGGACACGACAAGTGATGATGTGACGACCGAGCTCACCAGTTTTGACGGGGTAAATGCCGGGTTAACTCTGCGTCAGCCAAGAAGTCTCTCACTCCCGAACACTCAACCTATCCTTATATTACTGAAAGAGTTGTCCACTCGGATCAGGAACTACTCACTAGTGACGACGGTTGTGCAGTGTTCATCATGCTACCCCACCGACGGCTTCAAACTACGGATCAACTCAGCAGTGCCGCCGTACCCCAAATTCTGGCAGAATTGTAAGTTTTCTGTCAGCGTCCATTCGCTGATTCTTACTTCTTGGATCAGATACCGCATCGGATCTTTATAAAGTCTCCAATAGTCTGTATACCGTTACTCCCTTATATACTGTCTCCGATCCCTGGGTTTGGTATAGATGTGGGTTAGACGCAGAGGTGGCAGAAGAATACCGAAGAATCAGGTAGGTTTGTCATTCAGTCGTGCGGTTAATGTTACATCCTTCGGTATTTAGAGAACAGTTCGGCATCATACAAGGCCACCTGCCTCGTCATCAGGAGGATCCGAAGGAACCAGCATTCAAATTCTTGAAGGATCTGTTTGGTGTTGAGCATTTGGAATGTGTCGTAAGTACTTGTCTTGTCCAGACATCTACCTGCACGTGGGTTGAGAAACCACCAGGTCGGCGACATAACTTTCTTTGAGCGGCTCGCCTCATCTTTGAGTATGGGTAGTACAAGAATCTCAGAGGGTGGGATTGAGCTGTTAAGTCATGTCTGTCTTTGACATATATGGTTGTAGGGAACACGCCCGGTGCACCGAAGACCTGCGTCGAGCAACTAGTGATAATGCTACTTCGAGCGATGAAAGGGGTCACGCATGCGTTCCAGATGCGCCAGTCATCAAGGATGGTGGAGATGATGCATGTGACATGTCCAATCATGACAACGCTTGGTGTCGAGGTAAATGGCCGAGCTACTATCGTTAGAAATCCATGTTCTTATGCTTTTGAATAGTTCCTTGCAGATATCAGTACTGCATTCCTCGGAGCAAAGGACGTGCTTGACGACATCAAATCGTAAGTGGTTTGGGCTACTATTTGCCGATTGCGCAATTTGATGTGCCGCAGTACGGATGGGAAAAAAAGAAACAGTTGTGAAGCTAACGATTCCAGGTGAGCACGGATACTGAAAACACTGTCTGAGAAGAGCTATAAGTATGCATAGCGTCCAATCACTGGTGGACGAGGTGGTGGCTTTGCAAACGCAATATCATAAATCAATGGATGACGTTGAACGACTGGCTCTGGAACAAGATATCGTCGGCACGGTACGACGATGTTGGTGATGTTAATAGCATAGGTGACATTCTTTTACAGATCTTACTCGTTTGTCATTATGGAATATCTCTGGAGATCCAGCAAACAATCAGGCAGGAAAGCCCCCCTCCTCACTTCGTCCTTTCAATTGTACCTGATGCAAAGCAGGCTATAGATGGCATTTTGAGATATGAGACAACAGACATGTCGGCGAATTTGCCAGAAAGGAAAGAACGTGTCAATGTAAGTCTTTTCTTCGCCTGATAGACCATAAACCCCACTGAGCCCACATCGTCCGTACCAGTGTTTGCATTTCGTTGGAGAAATCTTCGAGGACGCATTTTCTGACGTACCGCCTGATAACCACTTTCATCTACGATGGTGTGTACGCCGTGAACGATTTAGTCTGAGGTCATTCTACAAAGCAATAACTTGTGTCCGTTTTCTAACCAGGCCCATGGGCAACGCCAAAGCAAGGATATCGATGCACAAGCTCTATCTTGCCACTCGTGTTGGATGGAAAGTCGGAGGGGCTGGTAGTATCCAATCTGATTGGCAAGGCTCCTCTGGATGATATGTGAATATTTCATGTACCAAGAACTTGATTTCACTGCGACCAGGAACTGTACGTAGCATTCATTAAAAATAGTAACGCCACGCAAGTATAGTATTTTCTAACATTACTATAATACTATCAAAGCATCGTACTGTTGCGTTGTTTCGTGATCGCCTTCCTAATTTAGCCGCCCGACCGAGTCCGGCCAAGATCTTGTACCAGCCTCATCCAGATACATTTTGTGTTTCGATGTTCCTGCTTTCGCATCTGCCAGGGCTCTGCGTTGCGGGCGGGGTCGCGTCAGTCTTCCATATTGATGGCAAAACACGAGGTCATAGCACATACCGCCGAAAATGAGCCTGGCTATCGTCTGGGACATCGACAAGAATATCTCGCAAGACTTTTGCAATTTTACGCACGTGCTGGCAAAGAGTCAAATTGGTTCAGTAACCGTATACAACTCTGTGCATATTGGAGATCGTCACTTACACGTGTGGCGGTTCCAGTGCGCTGCAAGCCTATCTTGTCCGTAGTTTTCGTGTCGTTACACAACAGGGATTCCACAACCTAGTGGGGATCAGATGGCATCAACGAGAATGGTATAATGTAAACTTTCCATTGCGGTCGCTTGCCTGACTTCAAAAGAGATTCCACGCTCGCACGTCAGTAAGATCTACCCATATACACTGTCGGTGAAAGTGATGGTGCGATTGCATTGGTACAAACTTTTCCCACAATATCTTCCTCCAGTGCTCGCCGTTCTCCGTCGTCGCTCGCTTTGCGATGTTCTTCTTCCAATTTGTTTATTTCTTGCACCATATTGCATATATAACGGGTACTTTGAAGGGTAAGACAGCAACTAACCTCGGTGACTGACCATGCTCACTTATCGTTCCATTTGTCATATTCGTCCCTTCGATGACTGAGGTAATATCGTAAACTGCAGGGCTCACGAAAGAGTACCAAGCACGCACAATGTATCCCACAAATTCATTTGTGTTCAGGAGGGCAGAAGTAATATCTTCGATAAACTACTCATCCGGGTAACTGGGTGTGCAGAGACTTGAAAGCTGATAAGAATACGTACCGCAAAACCAAGGGTGTTCACTATTGGATGTACTTTTCGAACCACCAAAGCCACTGATTCACTGACGAACAGCTGGCTTATGTAGTGTTCCCGGCGTCTTGTTGGCCCCCAGGGTACTTTCTGACACTACATAGTAAGTTCACATGTAAGGGACGTTCCATTAAACCCTTACCAGCTCCCGAAAATGATGCCAAGCGCTCAAAAAAAGTTATGTTGCCAACCTGGCATGCTTCAACTGAGCAAGCCGCCACGGTGGTCAAGGAGAACGATACATACAAGATCTTTGAGATGCCTGATGCCGAACACATCCATGAAAGGCTTGATCGCAACCTCCTTCCGATCGTTCGGGGATCTGTGACATATTGCATGGAAGGAATCCCTGAAATCCGCAAGGAAATATCATAATATATAGAACCGTAGATCAGCCTACCTTAACCTGTTAAATTCCGACCTCGTTGCTGTGTCCATGTTATGTGAACAACAAACTCGGAGATTGGCCGCAGTATGTAACAGGGCAACAGGGGTAACGGGATGTGGATTTGTCAAAGTCCATCCTGGCCTTCCTCCGCAACAGCCTGCACATTGAACGACGTCGATACTTACTTTGCAATTGCCTGACCTGCCCCGGGCGCCATAGACTACATTTACAGCCCAGATAGATTTTGGGAGATGGCCGTGCTTCGTGTAGTATGGCTCACCTTCCTTCCCAAAGTGTACCTCAGCCATGCGCTGAGCATAGGCAGCACCTGAGTTGCGCATTCGTTCGTCCACCTTCTTGGCGAAATGGTCTGCCGAGGGCACATTTTGTTGCTCGCATACAACATGCACCCACTCCTGGCCAAAGCAGTAGCCGAATGCAATTGCAAAGTAAACTTTGGCACTACTGTCTGCGTAAACAACAGTGGCAAGTGGATTGGTGGTCGATAGTGCTATGCAATATGAGTTGGGCAAAACCACGTCTGGTATCGGAGGGAAGATACCACAGCGAGAGAAACCAGAGACCGCGCTGTCATCTACCTCAAATGTAAAGTCGTGACGCGCGTCATCTCGACAAGCAAGGTAAAGTTGTTGGTACTCTGGAAGTGGCTGTGGCCTTCCAATTGCGCCGATGTATCTGTAGTAGTTGGATCCGAAGGAGGCCAGGTCAATGGTCATTGGCATCATGCTGTCCCCCTTGCGGCATGCCAATGCTGCTTGGAAGACCGAAGGACAGCCGTAATACGGCACAACTGGAAGCCACATCTGAATTCCCGCGTTAGCTATGGTGAACACATGGAGCCCTTGGTCGTCTGGTATGGCAACTGGCATGTCGGTTACTGCTGACAGCGACGAAGACCAAACCGAGAGCATCTTGCGATTGAATTCCTTCGGTTCTATCTCGACGACGTCATGGCAATCCTTAAAGAGACCCAGGTCGTCAGCGAGGACGCTGCTGGTACGCCGCGTCTTTCCCTCTGGATCCCAAGCGAAGATGGTCTGGTCGTTCGATGTGCGGATGACCTCAAGCTGTAAGCGTTGAAAAGCCTTCTTTCCCTCTCCGTATAACATAGGCATGTTGACGTCTAACAGACCCATCAATGAATATGCTCGGTCCTCGACGCGTGTCGTCCTCCTATCGGCAGCCCATGACATAACTTGGGCAACACTGGGACGGTATGAAGACAAACCATCCCTTAAGACGCTAGACGGGACTCTTGTGATCTCCTCTAATTTGAATGCCAAGGTTTGTTTGTCACCGATGCACTTCCAATCTTTGTTGAAGAATTGAAGGTCTTTCGGCGCGATCAACTCTTGCAGTGTCCAGCCCCGTGAGAACCACTCTGGCCAGCCATTGAACCCTTTGAACTTCTCGTCGTCACGTTTGGTCGGAAAGAAGATGGTATCGTGAAGGTAGGTATAACATCGCCCCGAGTTTTTGTACCAATGGTACATAGAATTGATTGTTTCGGACAGCTCCGAGCTGCTCTGCTTGTCGATACAGCACGTGTCGACCCACAGCCATTTAAAACCATCATTTTTCGTTTGCTCGCAGGTCCTAAGGATCTTGTGATAACCGTCCCGCCTTCGTATTTCGCGTCTATTGCCCATATTTGCGAGCTCCACCATCTCCTGGTAGCACACCTCGTTGCCCCAGCGGTGTGATAATATGCAGTAGTCTTTGTTCATGTCGTCACGTTCCACAAAAACTGTAAGGTTAGGTTTGCCCCATAACCAACTTTGAAATTGCTTCTCCCTCTCCAGGAACGCGTTCACGTCGATCAAACGCATCTTTACTGGGCAGCCGAGGCAAGTCTCAGCGAATAGTCAATAAGCTATAATGCAGCTAGTGCGCACCGCAGTGATGAAGCCCCTGGTTTAATGGAAAACTCGCTGTCTGAATGAGGGAGACACAAGTAACCAGTGGACGGAATGGCACAACTATGAGAGAAAGTAATGGCCTAGTAGAGAACTGTCCGCCCTCCCCGTACCATGTCGAGGACGTTCGCAAGACTAGGCGCTACATACCAAGTAAATATGTACATACAAAGTATACTTGGCACCAATTCTGGTCAGGTGCCGTTCCAATCTTCGCAAGCCTGTACATAACAAGTTCCTAGTGCCAAGATAGAGCTACTAAGCCTCGAACGCTCACAAAAACTGCGCTGAAATTGAAACCTGATGTCGTCAAAAGCTGGAGCAGCTCGAACAAAACACACCAGGTATCGAAATAGATGATATGTAGGTTTACCCTTCAATCTAGAGGCAACCCGTTCATCCAAGTAGCCGTCTTAACCGGTCTCGATACACGTTCGGTGAAAAGTTAATATTATCACTGTACACGCAACTCAGAAGTTGAACTAGAGGTCCCTCATTTGGTTTCATCCACTCTACCTGTCGACTGAGCTCACGAACGGGCCAGTATATATCGACCATGCATTATCAAAGATTGACGAAGTCGCGAGTAGCCAGGAAGGTATCGTCGCAGAGGAGGGCTTGATGCTACGAGGGTGCTTCTATTTCGATGGCTAGAAAGATTTGACTGACATTGTTTCAGCCCTCAACCTAGGTAGGTGGAGGCGCATATGGACACCCTTGGGCATTGGAATGCGGCTGTTGCGCTCAAATCCTCGGATGCAGACTCTTGGGATACTGTATACCTGACCTTTGTCTGCCGTGTCCTTACTGATGTGCGAGTTGTATGCTGGCTCGTTTGGTCGAAACAGGAGCCAAGAAATTTACATGGGTTGCCGATCTACTTTGGACAGCAGAGGTACGTCCGTTGTCGCCTGTGATTCTATCCTTGCTGACAAGTCACTTTTAGATGGGATATACTCTGTAGTTGACCCTGCTCCACTTTCCAGTCTATCCCTCCTTCATCAACTTACAACACTCTACATACCCCACTGCTTCAGCTTTTTACTGACACAAGTTAGTCCTTCACTTCTCTCGTTAAGCGGGCATTGCACAAATGCACATTTCATGCACTGTCTACCTATTCTGCTCTCGCATCTTCCAAGGTTCAGTGGGAAGCCCTCTTGGCACGAAGAGGTGATGAAAGGAAGGACGCCAACGAACCAAGGGGTGGAACAAATGCAATCAATGGTGTTTATTTTAAGAAGTTTTCGGCAGATTTGAAGTTGACCGCCACCGGATAAGGAAGGGGTGGAGAACTGGATGTGGGATTGGCAGAAAGTATCTCCACCTTGTCTTATGCTTCCGTATACTGAACGATTCCAAGATGATGACATCACCACCATAATCAACAGTGTCGCCATCGTTTCGCGGACATGACAGCAAGGTGCCATTGGTTGGTCTTCCTGTTGAACAATATATCCCATTTCCATACGAGCGTGCTTCTTTAAGTCATGCTTCCTCCCCATTTCTGGGATTCGTCTTCCACTCTGAAATTATTTTTCTCTGCGACCATTGTACCAGAGTTTCAGGGATGTTCTACACTTCATGTTTCAGGAGGATGTATGCAATGTAGGTACGTCTCCAAGAGCAGGGTTCCTAACAGTTTTTGCAGCTGTGCATTTGAAAGCTGGAGCTTCAAGGAAAGCATTCACACCAGAGATAATTGGTGCTGCTTAAGAAGTTGGTTGCATGCGTGCTTGGATGTCATCTGTGGCCATAGTATCGTAAACAAGTTAATAACTGCAATGGCCCTTTTCCTCTCCCCTCACAAGTATGAACAATAATATGCAGATCCTGCGAGGCCATGTGATCGATAGGCCAGCGCCCAGCAGTGTTAATCTGACAACAAACCCTAGCCATCAAATGGATAATCGTAGAATTTGTCATTGTCATCTACATACTTTCCCAACTATTCCACACTGGCAACTTCGCGAGCCTGAACAGTTGGCAAGGTTGTTGAGGATAGCGTTTCTGCTGCTCATACCGCAACATGACTTTTGTGCACTACCTCCGCTAGACTAGGCCTGGGAGATCTTGGATACTTGTCATGTTCAACCGAGAGATGTTCTGTTCGAAGCGGAGAACTACATCATGTGAGTGGCCAAGAAATCAAGTAAGGCACCTTCCTCCTCTGATGTCCATACCACAGGCAGCCACAAGGAGTTACAATCGCCGACTTCATTGAAGCCAAAGCAAGGTTCGATGTTGGGAAAGACGGAAACACGAAGCGGGAATGTGTCAAGATGACACCCACGAGCCTCTGAGCTGTCGCGCATTGACGGCCGACTGTAAATGTTTTCCAATAAAAATCCATTCTGGAAGACTAGTACGCGGTTAGTATAACTACAACTACAAGGCACGACGACAGGGATGACAGGCAAGCGACGCGACAATAAACTACAACCGCACAGAGGACCAGGTGAAAGTCGAACAGAAACAGGGGTCTCAAGAGGCTTGCTAGCTATTGGCGTCGATATGCTACTCTTCATCTCTCTCCAGGTCAACTGAGTCCATGGCCAGCCCGAGCACTCTGGACACGTTGGTGTCCATATCATCGGAAGAGAGGAAAGATGCAATATTCTCGAGTATCACATCACGATCTCTAATCTGATGTCCGAAATCCCTAATAATCCTGTGAACGACCTGCATCCGTTCCGATGCAGAGTAAACTGTGAAAGCAAGCCTAATTGCAGTGCGAGTAAGCTTCTTTCCCTTCATGTTGGTCGTCAATGCAAACAATATCTCCAGAACGTTTGTCAAATCCACAATATAAGCCACAAATTGGCGAGCAGCATATTGCCTGAAAAGGTGAGAGTCATTTGACATTTCTGAAGGCGGAACATCGCAAATTACTACGTACAGTCGCATGTATAATTTTATGAGGACTAATGGCAGGGTTAAAGGCAGCAGAGTAATAAAAGAGACGAGATTGCTTGTGCTACAGCGACTTTCATTGAATGTGTCACTCAAGAGCTTGCACGGCAGCACTTACCGGGCTAAATCAGCTGCTGCGTAAATGGTGTTTAGGATTGACTCTGGCGCTGCACTAACATTCCAAACCATTTTCGTCATGGATTCTCGAAATTCATTGCTGTACAAATACTGTAAGGGAGACGTCAGTTCATGGTAGTGATGCTGACCGGTAACGTTGCAGTGCTCACTCGAGAAGGATCACAGAAATTCCACACTGATACAATGTCAGTGTGTATGTCACGAAGACAGTCCGACAACCCGTCATTCCGGAGACTAGTACAGACAGCCAATACCCTCCGGCATCCTTTTCAGGGAGTGTGAGTTCTCTAATATATCGCTTCATGGCCAAGGACTGACTCTGATTTCCGATGCTGCACGTAACACAATTCAGAACATGACACAACTGCAACGAATGAGACTTACCGGACCGAAAACTTTGCCTTCAAGCTAGGCACCATTCTTTGTGCCATGGCGGCTGCCAGAAGTACCGGTGACAGTGTATTTAGCTGAGGCGTGAAGCTCTCAGATATTTTGTCATAAGTGAGGCTTATCAGTTCTTCATGCCCTTGCTCGTGAGCGGGTTGCGCTAATGGTATTCAGGATGAATATTAGAAAGGGTCTTAATGAACAACACCCACAACTGACTGCAACATATGAAATGTTCATGCCTCCCATGAAGTCCTGAATTGGCTGGATGCAATACCTTTGCAGGTATAGTTTTGCTTCTGCTTCAGAGTCCCCGTCATGACTTCTCTGCATATAACCTACTAGCCTGTCATATTTTGTGAATATGACTATCGTAGGGGCTGACGGCAGTCATTACACTGGAAACACAACAGGGGGATACTTGCTCACTGTTCCCGAGGACCGCCTTCGCATCGTCCAAGAATACTTCTGCTCCCTCTTCAAATATAGGTTCACCATTTTCCTGTAATGGGTACTTGGACACACAACCTATCACACCGGCCCGCTCACACAAACTTTTTAACGCAGCAGTTTCAGGGAAACTTACCAGACTGCATGAAGTTGGTCTTTAATATGTGACATCCTCTTCCTGTTCGCAATGAACGCCTTCACGGTATCATAGTCGTTACCTTCACGCAGTTCACAACTGTGCAAGATGAATCGCTCGTTCTGTGGAGAACTGAGTTCTTCCTCGATATCTCCTTGCCCCGGTTGATCACTTCTGAGGTACTATGCTGCTCTTCAACGACAGACAGGATGCCAATTTTTGATAACTCAACTGCAGCTTCCACACCAAAGATTCGACTGATCAAAGAAGATTTCCCAACACCAAACTGCAAAATATCGTTGCTGAAATCCACCTGGGTGACACATGAGTTTAAGTTACCTTTCCGATTATCAAAGCTCGAAAACTGTAGCACATAGGTGAGATAATCACATGTAAGTTCAAAGTTGGAATTCGACACTCACCAAGGACTCTGTCTGATATTTTCCTTGATGAATTCCTCAGTGGTTGTGTTTAGAATCCCTTGATTACGCGGGGTGGATATGGTTTGGAAGAGGACTCCTAGTGTTACAGATAAAACACCGAGCGTCAGGAGTACCTTGCCACCTTTCCTCTGAAATTCTGTGCATGTTTCAGAAGTAGTCGAAAACGTCATACAATGGGTACGGAAAAAGTACTTCTCCCCTGTAGCTTGGACAGGACCTGGCCAGAGCTAATAGTGAGGGTGTCGGAGGCTGTTTCAGATGAAAAACCAAAGCGCGACTTCTTTGGGTGCACTGAGAGAGAAAGATGCTCGGTTGCAAATAGCCTATCATATGTAAGTCAAGGACATGAGACACTGCGTTGACGAATGTGGTGCTGAAACGAAACTGACAGTGGTTCATGGAAAACTTGCGCAAAAGTACCCCTTCCTCGTCGGGGGATACAGTATCGAACGTCATTGAGGACGAGCTCGACAAATTCTATGTCTTCTGCATCCCGTATCCTGATGTCTGCTCATACATGTTTGGTGTAAATAGATTAGCCTTGTCGAGATCGTAACTGAAGGTCTCAAAAGCCGTACAGGACAGTCGCGGAGGCAAAACCATGGTAGCAGTTGGAGATAGCCTATGTGCGTCGCTTACGCATGGGTCCCGTGGTAGAACACGTGGACTTGTTGCCTTCCTGCTCCCCTCTCCAAACTCCGACCGGAATCCTAATTGAGAAGCTTGAGTTCTGTATCCTGACCCAATCTCTCTGGGAATAGAGTGTCAGATAAGTGCAAATTCACGGTCCAGAGTGTACGCACAAGTTTTGTAATCATGCACCCGTGTCATGATATCTTTGTTTTATAGGAAGATGCGATTGTTGAATGTGGAAGCCTTTCTCGACAGGGAAACGAATATCGGGCGAGCAACACCCGCAACTAAGGTGTTGGAAGAACGAGATGATGCGACCACAGCTTATGCGATATTGTCCCATCGCTGGGGGGATGAGGTGAACTACAATGAGATAAATGAACTGACGAGGACGGGCGAAGAAGAGAGAGAGAAAATTAGGGCACGTAATGGCTACAAGAAGATCCTCGGGAGTTGCAGACAGACCATGAAGGACGGCCTCCAATGGCTGTGGGTAGACACTTGCTGCATCGACAAGAGGAGCAGCTCAGAGCTATCTGAAGCCATCAATTCCATGTACCGGTGGTACGAGAACTCGGCCAAGTGCTATGCATACCTCCATGACGTCGACAGCCCCACTTTCGTTACTGAACCCGACCACAGGCAGTTTAACAACTCTAATGGTTGGCCAGAGTGGTTCTCACGCGGCTGGACACTCCAGGAGTTGATAGCACCAAGGGACGTTCAGTATTTTAACGAGCATTGGGTGCCCATAGGAAGCAAGCGTAACCTGGCGGATACTTTGGAGAAAATTACACGCATTCCACAGGCTGTTTTGATAAACGGTCTGGCTTCAGGTGTCCGCAGTGCGGCCCAAGTGATGTCATGGGCCGCAGACCGAAAGACAACCCGGGTGGAGGACCGGGCATATTCATTGATGGGATTATTTGGAGTGCATATGCCAATGTTGTACGGGGAAGGGAAGAGCGCCTTTCATCGTCTCCAGCTAGAAATCGTCCGGTCATCCAATGACCATAGCATCTTCGCATGGGACCCAAAAGGAAGGATTCGGCGATCTGGTAGCATTTTGGCCGATGACCCAAGCTACTTTCGCGATTGTAATGGCATTTGGAGCGTAAAACCAGATTGGTTCGTGCCACGGTTCAAGTCTCGCTTGCAAGATCATCTGCCAGCGGTTAGGCGTGTTATGCCTGCGAATCTAATTCAATCCGTTCTTTTGACGCTGCTTGGACAATCTCTTGTCAGAGAGCTGAGCACATTTTCTATCACCAACGGTGGCATACAAATATCATTGCCCCTTGCCCCTTATCCCAACTCTCCGTCCCTTTTTAGGGCCACACTGAGATGTAAAATGGATATAGCGGCACCTCTGATGACGATTGACTTGTTATCCGACTCCACCGTCTATTACAGGTTCTTCGGTGCAACGGGAGAACCCACGGTCTTTCCCCGCATCAAACAACTTTTTCTTTCTTGCGATCAAGATGAGTCACGCCACAGTCTCACACTTGACGATAGGACCGTTTCTTACTACGGGTTCACTCGCTGCGGCACCTTCCCGCGCAGTATTTCAGGAAACTCCGTAAAGCTGTCGCTTTCGAACGATTTAATCGTCATAATCTATGCTAACGACAACGCTAACGTTCGCTTTGCGGTCGGACTCGGCTACTACCTTAGAAATGCATGGGTCCATTCTGCCTATGACGAAACCCGGGTCCAAACTTGTACACCATGGGAAGATTATGCCAAGCAAGTATATGATTGGATGTGGACTAAGCAGGCAGATCTTGCCCGTAGTATGCCAGGCCGCGGTACTACTGCCGATACCAGTTCCGATAGTGTGAGCTTCATAAAGCACACCCGCCTTCCCCGATCAATCTGGGCCGTGAGGACCATGTGGGGAAATTGGCCCAGCGGCAATTGTACGGTCACTATTGATGTTGCGCACTGCGCTGGTTGTTGTAATGGTCCCCTTGAGTGGAAAACGTTGGTTGTTAGTATGTTTTCTGTCGTCCTGAAACAACATTTGATATGCATGTCACCACAGAATGATTGGGACGGCCTTGACACCCCGGGACCTATGCAAATGGCTGGTCCTCTCTCGCCGAAGTATGTGTTGTACCTGGATGGGACCTATGTGCAGTTTCTTAAGTCCACCTATATTGGAATTATGGTAAGTAGTAATATATCCCTGCAAATCGTTTCCGTAATTTACATGGTGCGAACAGCTGGGTGATTACGGCCGTTTCGATTCGACCTTCAAGCGTGACGGCAACATCTTTCAGGACCTTGAGTCACTGGCCGAAGTCCTCTGCGTTGATCCTACAGATCCGGCTTATCGCCCAGTGCAGCGTAGTGTTTCTGGTGGAAATGCTGCGACAAAAGAAGAGGACACGGTGATCGCACGAGCTTCTGGCGATAGTTCCTCTAGATTAATTCTACGTCAACCCATTGGCCTGTCGCTTCCAAACAATCAACCACTGGTGTCATTGCTGAAGGCCTTATCTACTCGCCTCACCAACAAATGTCTCGTGACGTCGGTCGTGCGTTGCGCAGTGCAACCCGGACAAACTGTTACACGTCTTTGCTACTTTTCGACACCTCAAGTTTGGCATGCGGTTGCACCCAACGAAGTGCGGCTGGCACGGTTCAAAGAAATTAGGTGTGACTTTTGCAGGTGTTATCGAAGGATGGTTGACTTCACGCTTCCATCGTAGGGAACAGTTTTACATCTTGCTGAACTGGGTACGTTTATCCACTAGTCATTTCGCACACTCCTAAATGTTACCAGCGTCAGCCTGCCACATCAGCAAGTTCTAGTCGGTCTCTGGTATGCATAACGCTCTGATTGCAGGACTATACTCACAAGCTGACAACCAGAGTGGTAAAATGATAAATGGGGCAATCAAATACTTCTCAGACTTATTTGGGATTGAGCATTTCAAAAACTATGTATGAGAATGTGCTCTCTGTGACCGCTAATGCTGAGATTATCCTGTCCTGAAAATTAGGTTGGAAAGACAACGTTTTTCAACAGACTCTCTAGCCTAGACGTAGGATCTCCCACCCATTCGCCCGAAGGTAAGTTTGATGTAGTTTTTACTCTCCGTACTCCATGATTTCAGAAGACATCCCGAATTCGTCAGGTTCTCAACCGGAATCATCAAACGATCCTTCCTCAATGGCCTCCGGACCATCTGTGGAAAGAGAAGAACCCGAGGTAGCGCAGAATTCCTCTATCAATGCCTTAGTGAGGACACTGCGTAGAAGGATGGACAGAGCAAGTACGAGGCATAGAAAACGAATGCAAGAAGTGAAGCGTGAGCTCGGCGCCATATCCCAGACGCTCGGAATTAGGGCATGTGCCTCTGCCGTTGATAAAAGCGAATGACGCTAATCTTGACGACCGTAGCTTCTCGAAGAAATATCGGCGGTCTACGCAGGAGCGCATGATATCCTCTACCCGTTGTGAGCATTCACCTGACCCCTACGCTACATTGCCATGTCCTCATGGATCTAGGCACGATAACTTGGATAGACGCTACTTCGAGTATGACACCTCCTAAACCACTTACCGAGTTTGTTGGTAGCCTTGACCCACAGACGGATGTCTCCGGACACGACGGTATTCAGAGTATGGTGCGAGAGATTAAGAGTCTCCAAGCAGTACTTGATGTTACGACGGATATCGGTGAAAGATGCGCCCTTGAAGAAGATATCACGGGAAAAGTGAGGTTTGGCCCACGTTTACTGGCTTCTGAACTTTATCTTGTTAGATCTTATGGACCTGTCATTGCGGACTTCGCTTTTCAGTAGGACATATACCGGCCAAGGCAAGCTAATGGAATTGGTCAGTCTGTGATCGTTTCTTGACCTTAATCAGGTGCTATACAGTATTCTGAAAGAGGACAAGGTGTACGACGTGATGAATCGCATCTCTGTAAGTGACTTTACATGCACATGAACCGATTGCACTGAATCATAGCATGTCAAGTTCTTGGAGGAGATCTCCAAAGTATTTAAAGACGCGCTAGCTGCACTACCAAGTGATGATCACACTCATTTGCGACGGTGAGGGTGGCGATTTAACTTGAGCATTGTGACCAACTGCTGAACATCCCAGTATCATGGCCGACGCAGAGGCAGGTACGTCAAAACATCAGCAGCTCTTCGACGCACGGACACAGGAACTGAGGATACCGGGAGCCATCCGCGAGGGATAAACCTCAAATTCAGCTTGGTACCTAGAACAAGGGTTAGTACTTTTCGCTGTATAACCCTCACATATTGGCCTTCCTGTACACCGAGGACGAGGGTAACCCACAGCAGTACATGGTATGACCGGGCACGTCCGCATTTTGTATGTACAGTATAAATGGGCATGGCGGTAGTACAGTAAATTCATAGTAAGCCATCCGCGACACGTGTACACTACCGAATCTATTTCTACTATCTCAGCCGCCCAGTCCATACGGGTGCCAGTTTATCAAATGTTCCAATCTAAGCAAGCCGCTGCATAACAGGTCCATACTTTTTCATACTCGGCGACGAAAGGTCTGTTATGGAGGACGATAGTGCCGAGATAGAGCTGGTAAGCCTCAAACGCTCTCAAAAACCGCGTTGAAATTGAGACCCAATGTCGCCAAAAGCTGGAGCAGAACCTGAACAAAACACACCAGATATCGAAACGGATGATATGTACGTTTGCCCTTCAATCCATAGGCCAACCTGTTCATCCAAATAGCCATCTTAACCGGTCTCGATACACGTTTGATGAAGTTGGAAAAGTCGATATTACCGTTGTACACTGCAACTCAGAAGTTGAACCAGAGGTCACTCAGTTAGTTTCACCTGCTTTACTTGTCGACTAAGCTCACGAATGGGCGAGTAGATATCGACCGTGCACTATCAAAGATCGACGAAGTCGCGAGTAGCCAGGAGGGTATCGCCGTAGAGGAGGGCTTGATACTACGAGGGTACTTATATTTCAACGACTAGAAGGATTCGACTGACATTGTTTCAGCCCTCAACCTGGGCAGGTGGAGGTGTATATGGACACCCTCGGGCGTTTGAATGCAGCTATTGCGTTTAAATCCTCGGATGCAGACTCTTGGGATACTGTATACTTGGCCCTCGTCCACTGTGTCCTTACTGACGTGCAAGTTGTTTGTAGGCTCGTTTAGTCGAAACAGGAGCCAAGAAACTTACCCAATTGTACACGAAACTCGTCGCAGAAGGATCATCCGGTTCTCCGCCTATCGCGGGACTTGATTTCACCCCAGTCATGTTTCCTCCCTCGCTACTGGCGTCCTTGAAACCCCTTGTCGCATTTCTGCGCACTTTGCCTGTGCCGTCCACGCATCCCTCACATCCGGCATCTCAGACTATTCTGGCAACTTTGAAGGAGGCACAGCGGGGATACGCTGATATGCGCGGGACTTGGAATCGTAAAGCTCTAGAAACCAATGCGAAGCGCGTCGTAGATCGCGCCGAGACCCTCGATGGTGTCGTGGCTGGCAAGGAATTTGGTGCATGGGTTGCCAATCTACTTCGGACAGCAGAGGTATGTCCATTCATGCCTGTTATTCCGCCCTCATTGACGAGTCACTTTTAGACAGAATATACTCTTGCTAGTTGACCTTGCTCCGCTTTCCAGCCCTTCCCTCCTCGCATCAACTTATGACACTCTACTTACCCCACTGCTTCAGCTTTTTACTGACACAAATTCGTCCTTCACTTCTCTTGTCAAGCGGTCATTGCACAAATACACGTTCCATGCACTCTCTACCTATTCTGCTCTTGCATCTTCCCAGGTTCAGTGGGAAGCCCTCCTGGCACGAAGAGGTGAAGGAAGGAAGGACGCCAATGAACTAAGGGATGGAACAAATGCAATAAGAGGTGTTTGTTTAAGAAGCTTTCCCGAGTTTTTGGCAGATTTGAAGTTGGCCGCCACCGGATCAGGAAAGGGCGGGGAATTGGGTGTAGGATTGGCAGATTTTGTTGTTTCGGTGAGTATTTCCACCCCGCACCTTACTCACCGGACGTTGAAAGTATCGTCTTAGGCAGTACAGTATTTGGACAAGCTGCCCGAAGTGGAGAGAGCTGTGGGTTCTGCTCTCCACGCGTTGGGCGACGGGAACTGGAAGATGGGTGATGGCAAGCAGGTCGGAAAAGGACAAAGAGCAACAGTTGGCGAAGTGAGCGAGACAGTTCTCATCCAACACTACGTCTGTACGTTTGCGCATTCCCTTACGCTTCCGTATGCTAAATGGTTCCGAGATGACGTCATTACCACTACCATCAGCAGTGTCACTGCCGTTTCGCGGACACAACGGCGAGGTGCCTTCGGTTCGGTCTTCTTGTTGAATAATATAACCTACTTCCACACGCGCGTACTTCTTAAGCCTGCGCACTCTGGACTCGCGGAGTATCTTTCAAAACCTACAACAGACGCACTGGCTTCTGCCTTCCGGACCGCCAAGGCTGGGTACTTCGAGGCCAATTACTCACCGCTGATGCAAGCACTAAGCGAGGACAGAGAGAAAGAAAAGGTGGGAAGCAGTGCATGGAAGGCTGCAACAAAGGAAAAGTTTACGAGGTTCTACGACCTCTTGGAAGAAGTGGGGGAAAGACATCGGATGGCGAAAGTTTTGGAAGAGGATGAAGAAGCGAGAAAGGCTGTTGGAGAAGAGGCGGTGAAGTTGGTAGTGCCAAGCTTGCAGCGGTTCACGCAAAAGCAGCGAGAAAAGGAGTTCAGCAAAAGTCAGTACCTCCCTACCCGCAAAACTGTAGACATGACAACTTTTTTTTTCTGACTCATCTCCATCACGAACAGATCCGCAGAAGTGTACGTGTCCTCTTCTCCCAATGGAGGTGTGCTCACATTCCTCCAGACATTAAGCTTTCGGCGGAAGAAGTGGAGAAGCAGATTCGCAGTTTCTACAAGTGATCTCTTGCGTATATTTGGTCATCTATTGCAACACAGCTTAAAGTGACATTTAACTAACTTGGCCTTCGAACAGACATGTATTACTAACTTTTCTTCCCTCTCCCAAATGCGTATTTTCCTGCATACCACAGTCATATGTCAACACTTTGTCAGGAAATCTCGTTCCCCGTGTCTGAGCAGTTAGCCTCCCAGTACCAGGTTCTTCGCCTAGTACAGAACCGTAAGCTTAGAATTATTAGCGGTCGAGCTTCCCACCACGTCGCTTTTTGCAAATGATCGTTTTCGGAATGTCTCTGTCACTGACTGTTGGGGAGTGGCATCCTAGCCAGCGAATCACGCACATTCCTTTTCTTTCATAGTACTCACTGATGCTGCACGAGTGCAAAGGGAATAGGGTGTGTGTGTTATTTTGTGCGCGGTCATGATCGGTCAAACTCCAAGCTTCAAGCTTTGAAGGTAGTCATCATGCTGCTCGACATGGAATTAATGGACCAGCCTATGAATAAAATCTCGCACACCATAGGATGTACCTTCGGAGGTCGTACCTACAGACAGCACATACGCATTAATGGCGCTGGCTTATTTTATGTAATAGGAATAGATACGGCGGTATGATAGATGTTTTGTCATTATCACGTTGGTGAACGTGACCTTCGAAAACAGGCTAGAAGTAATCGACCCTTGCACGATGCGTACTGATGCACGGCGCGAAGCACTGTTCGTCTTTCTTGCCTAGTGTATGTAAATTGGGGGGGTTCGTTAACGCTCCTGCGTCCTCGCACATTGCTGAGATGAGATAAATGAAAGAAAGAACTGACCGTGTATCCGCCACATTTGGATTGCCGTGAATCCAAAGCCGCATGGTGAACGCATCCTCGCTATCAGCATCTGCGCGCAGTAAATTCGTATGTCCATGACCGTTCCAGCACAAGTGTGGGCGATGTAAGGGGTAATTGACATCCTGGCCTTCTATACCTTCTGAGCTTGACGCAAGAGACGGGAGCACGCTCACAGTATTTGCGCTCGACGCGATAGATGGTGTACCCCAGAACGTCCCGATAGAGGGCTAAGGCAGCCCTGTTCGATATCCGCACGTTCAGCTGGATATACTGGAGGTGGTAGGTGCTTGTCATGGATTCTCCTAGGTAAAGACATCATGTATATGCCGGCACCGGCGAGGGGAAGAAAAATATTTCAGTTAACGTCCCGCAGTCAAGAGAGGAAACACAGCGGGTGTAGGACACGTACTGGAGATATTCATGAGTCGCTTCGCGAGCCCAAGGCGTCGGTAAGGGCGAAGGACAGCTAGAGAATTGATATGTCCGATTAGAAGATGGGGTTGGCCGTCAACTGGTTCCCTGCGCGGCAGAGGAATTAGTTTATTAAAGTCGGGTGTGACCACAAAATGAGAAAAGGCGGTAGAGCGTGCACAGGAAGCTGCGAGTGTCGAAAATAGATGTCCAACCAATTACTTACACGGACGCCAGTACATAACCAACTACCATTCCGCCTGCGTTTTCTGCAAGGAACGATGCATGAGGCCACGATACGATAGAGAATGCCCCTACATCCGCAGAGCAAAGCGAGTGGCGAAAAATCATTCCGAGAGTCAACCCAAGGGAGGCTGCAATAATATCTGACTGAAACTGACTCACAAAATTGTGCAAGGTAGTTTTCAGGTAAACAGAGCTGGTTGCATCGTTGGATATTAATGAGATCTTTTGGCTGGTGTGAATCGGAAATAATGTTGGATAATCAGACAAAAGGGAGATCATACATAGGAAACGTTCCAGCACGGGTATGAGCGCCCAGCAGTTCATAAGAAGCAGGACAGACGTACATTCGCAGGTCTAATATTCAACATTGGATACTGCCAGTTCGGAGTACTGGTGTTTCACTTATCCACCACTAAATGAATCCGGTCGGGCAGGGTATATGGCGTGACACAGGCTGGGTATCAGGTGGGGCAAGCCGCAACAAACGCGCCAACGTTCCGCTTTCGAACAGCAGTGCTTCGTCGCTTTGAAGCGAACATATACCGGTAGTAGTAATCCGAGGAAACTCTGAACGCGCCTGGCTGAGAAGCTGAGTGAGTGACTGATAAGAGGGCAGCTGACTAAGCTCTTGGCTGCGAAGGTGCCTCTCGAAAAAATCTACTGACTTATGTAAGAACGTCTTTGAAACTCTGGTATTACAGTTACAGAGAGAGAAATAAACTCAGGGGAGAAGGCGAACCTCCCTGGAAAGTATGAGAGCGATATCGAAGTACAACAATACTTATAACGACGAGCAGCAGTCGACTTGCAATTCACTCTTCTCTTTTCCGGAACATGACCTTGGCCGTGGGGTTGGGCACAATAGCACGCCCCACATGCAGGGTAGTTGGGCGACTTTCATCATTTCCCCGCTTGACGTCATACGACATGACAATATGCGCCAACATAGTTTTGAGCACGGTGGCTGCAAAAAATCTACCAGGGCTGTACATGCCGTATGCACACAACGTGAATGAGAAGGCAATCTTGGCTGTGAAATTTTCATGCCCACCATGTGTGTCTTCCCAAGCCAAATGATAACAAATCCGGGGTTATAGCGACCATCTGATGCCTGGAACCCTCAAACTCTTTGTTTCGCATGTCGGCAAATCGAAACGGTTCAAACACATTTGGGTTTTCATACACTGCATCATCGTGATGCATGGCGTGCGCCGGGAAGGCCAAAAAGGTTCCTTGAGGGATGAAGGTTCCATCAGCGAGTGTGATGTCACTCATTGCTTTCCGCGAAAGGCCCACTGGCAATTAGTGTTTGAGCCAATCAGTTAGGGTAATGGGGGAGGAATACACACAAATTGAAAGGCCTTCAAAACGCTGAGTCTCTTTCAAAAAACTGTCGACTTTTCGCATCTTCGAAAGACCTTCTTTCGTCCACCCGTACTTACTAACAACTACCTCGACCTCATCGCGGAGTGCCTGTGCATGTCGTGGATTTTCTGCAAGGTGAAAAAGCGCCTGAGAGAAAGTCTGGAGAGAGATTGCATGCCGACGTTAGTGCACTGGTCCCGCGGCAATTTAAGGACGCACGCTCGAGGTTGTCTGCGGTAGTGGAAGTGATCAATACAGAAGAATAGGAAATAATTGAACGAACGTGAATGCCAGCAAAATTAATAGAAATGATACGCCGGGTCAGTGAAGTCAGCGAAGTCTCCTGCTTACTATCCATGCACCATTGCAAGAAGTCATTCTACCAAATATTAGTGCTTCTAAGGTATAGCGAACGCAGGAACTTACAGGTTTATTATTCCAGTCGGTGCCCTCCGCTTCCATATGTTGCAGGCGTTCTTTGATTACCGGACCAAGCAAAGCGACCCCCCGACTGGTCCGTCCAGAGAGATTGGTGACAAACTTTGCAACCAGTCTACGCAACTTCAGTGTAAAGCAAAGCCTACCGAGAGGGCGACGAGAAAAACTGACGGTACCATAAAACTAGGAAAGAGTCTCAAAATTCTTGCTTCGTCCACAACTGCACGAGGGAGATTCATATTCAAATCGAGCCAATCGGGGTCACGGCCTAGGGGTAAATGGCTAATGAAAGATAGGCACGGTGCATCAACTCGGTGACTTACAGAGAGGGAGGCCAACAAACATCCGATTGCTTGCCCTGCTCGCAATCTTGAGAGTGACACGTACCGCTGAGATGGTTTTCCATTCTGTAATCGAATGATCGTTAGTAACTTATAGTTAGATGTTATGCAGAGAATGACCATTGTGCTTTAAATCAAGGTATTCGTTGCATGCGGCAACAATCTCGTCCCTCACATCCGCATATAAAACTGAAAGACTGCGAGTAAGGGTTGATTGAATAATGGATACATGATACATGTCGTTATTCTTCAAGCCGAACGTATGTTCCAGTTTCAATGACTGCATTGACCTACCTTGAATTGAAACCAACATCCGAAAGATGGGATTGACTTACGTTGTCCGCTGCCTCGATAAAGGAAAGGTGATCCTCAAGAGCCCTCGCCGCGTGCTCAAGGTGACTGCGGTGCAAACAGACAACCCAATGTGTCAAGTTAGCGACCCTAAATATTCCAGACTTGTACTGATTTTGCAGTCAGCACCAACGTCACGAATATCAACATAAAAGAACCCCCTCACCTTGTTGTATCCCTCCTGCACAAACCGTTCAGTGTGGTCGACTTCAAGTCCCTTTGTGAACCAGTACGATGCCAATAAACTTGAGTGGCCTACGACAGGGATGTGATCGAGCTTATTACAGCGCACACCTTTAACAATGCTTGATCTCTGTTAAGACGTACACGACTTACGTTTGAACACCTAAGAAGCCTGAACGAACATGCTACAACTAGAGCGGCACAGATACCAGCAACGAGATAAGGCGTGAAGAGGAAATCCATGATGTGGAGATTAACCAAGAGTTGGTTGGGCCAACGACCTCGAGGAGTGGCCATAATATACTGTCCAGGCACCCGTAGAAATAGAGGAACCGACGGTGTCTACCGTCGGAGTGCATAAGAAAGGGATATCCACCCGCCGACGGTATATTTATGCAATGAAGTTCGAAGCCTTCCTCCAATAGCCATACGTTAGTCCCGACGGAGCTGGACTTATGATTATCCTGTCCAATGATTATGAGGCTATTGGTTGCCGCATCCGAAACGGTAAGAAGACGATCACGTAGGTCAGGTCCTTGCTGGTAATTGAACGCTGCGGTATCGATATTAGAATCGTTGTATCTGAATGAAGGGTGCGGTTTCTTTCTCTATCTGTGGATGACTGACCACGATCGTTGGATTTGGGGAGTAACTCACGGGACTTCCCTCCGCATGTCCCCACTACTCGCCGAGTGGCATTATAGCCGCGAGGATCATTGCGGAATCAAACCTTATATAGTCCGGTGCTCACTACGTTCGAAGTAGGGTAACAAAAAAGTCTGAATTCAAGAAATGGCATGTAAGTGCATGGGAATTGGCACTGGATAAGTGTACTTGCGTCTCGCTCTGCGTAAGAATTATCCTATTGTTAGAGGATGCTCTAACGACCGTGACAATGGCTACGAACGGATTATTGGCTGACTACAGTTCGTCGGGTATAAACAACAGTAAATGCCTCGTCAATGATGATACGGAACAGTACAGAAGTTATTAGTGAGGATATTATGCCCCCGTAATCCGACGGATACTTACACTTTTCATGCATCACGCACCATGCCACATGTTATAAATTCTGCACGGGACGGGAAGAACGTGGACTGCGTGACCAGAGAGGAATGTCATCCAGGAAAGGCCGTTAGGCGGTAACGAGAAATGTTTCTTAGATCGTCGAAAGAGCAGGTTTCCTCCCCCTACCACTGGTACTTTAGTGCAAGAACATTCGAAAACTGCATCCTTACACGAAAGCGTCCAAAGGGCTTCCAGCACGTAGAAATTTGGGCGACATCATTAAACCTAGATCACCTCGTACGTCTCTAATAGGCCACGAACAATTGACTTATATTTTATGAGCTCGTTGCTGAGAGAACGCTTGCCTGGCATAGTACTCGGAAAATGTGGTGCACTACGGATTTTGAGAGTGAGTGCTGTCTGCTCCGAGCGGGATCTGGCCGCCATAAATTTACGGTGTCCCAGGTAAACAAGTGGCCAATATCTGTGCTGTTGTATCTAGTCACTGGAGATTATACAGTCGCGTATAAAATATGATATATGTACTTACCAATAGGACAGATGTGCATATCAAGATCGAAGTTGCTTTTCATGTGGCCTGAACCTCCTCCTTCGGAACAAGAGCGATTGAGTTTGTTCGCGTTAAATCTGCACAGTGCCCTTCATCCTCTGCTTTATATTTTGCCTCTTCCGCCGTGGCCGCCATCTCAGCATCGTTCGGACTTCCCCACTCACCTCTCACGAGCTTGCATGTCATAGAGTACCCTCGCAGAAATAGCATCAGAGCCAACGCAGCGCCCGAAATTGGTGTATTCATGATCCAGATTGTGCTGATAGATCGGGAATAGGCATGCAGAATGGCATTACGAACGGTGACATCATGTGCGACACGTTGATAAGAATCACGAGACGAACAAGGCTCCTGGGAGTCTCAGACCAGAACGAAACTCACCGGAATAAGATGCAGATACGAGAAGTCATCATTCAACAACGCAGTAGAGATATTCATGAGCCGCTGCGCGAGCCAAAGGCGTCGGTAAGGGCGAAGAACAGCTAGGGAATTGATATGTCCGATTAGAAGATGGGGTTGGTCGTCAACAGGTTCCCTGCGCGGCAGAAGAATTAGTTTATTAGAGCCAGCTGTGACCACAAAATGAGAAAAGGCGGTAGGGCATGCACAGGAAGCTGTGAGTTTCGAAAATAGATGTCCAACCAATTACTTACACGGACGCCAGTACATAACCAACTACCGTTCCGCTTGCGTTTTCTGCAAGGAGCGATGCATGAGGCCACGATACGATAGAGAATGCCCCTACATTCGCAGAGCAAAGCGAGCGGCGAAAAATCATTCCGAGAGTCAACCCAAGGGAGACTGCAATAATACCTGACTGAAACTGACTCACAAAATTGTGCAAGGTAGTTTTCAGGTAAACAGAGCTGGTTGCATCGTTGGATATTAATGAGATCTTTTGGCTGGTGTGGATCGGAATAAATGTTGGATAAACAGACAAAAGGGAGACCAGACATAGGAAACGTTCCAACACGGGTATGAGCGCCCAGTAGTTTATAAGAAGCAGCGCAGACGTACATTCGCAGGTCTAATATTCAACATTGGATACTGCCAGTTCGGAGCACTGGAGTTTCACTTGTCCACCACTAAATGAATCCAGTCAGGCAGGGTATATGGCGTGACAAGGCTGGGTATCAGGTGGGGCAAGCCGCAACAAACGCGCCAACGTTCCGCTTTCAAACAGCAGTGATCCGTCACTTTGAGGCGAACATATACCGGTAGTAGTAATCCGAGAAAACTCTGAACGCGCCTGGCTGAGAAGCTGAACGAGTGCCGACTGAAAAGTAGCTCAGTAGGCGGCTGACTAAGCTCTTGCCCCGAAGGTGCGCCGTGGAAACACAGCATGACTAAGACATCTGCACTCCTAAGTCGCCTGGCAGCACGTAGAACGTCTTTGAAACTCTGGTCGGAGAGAAATAAACTCAAAGGAGAAGGCGAACCTCCCTGGAAAGTATGGGTGCGACATCGAAGTACAACATTGCTAATACATATAACGACGAGCAGTCGATTTGCAATTCATTCTTCTCTTCTCCGGAACATGACCTTGGCCGTGGGATTGGGCACAATAGCGCGCCCCACGTGCAGGGTATTTGGACGACTTTCATCATTTCCCCGCTTGACGTCATACGACATGACAATATGCGCCAACATAGTTTTGAGCACGGTAGCTGCAAAAAACCTGCCAGGGCTGCATATGCAGTATGCGTGCAACGTGAATGAGGAGGCAATCTTGGCTGTGCAATTTTTATGCCTACCATGTATGTCTTCCCAAGCCAAATGATAACAAATCCGGGGTTATAGCGACCATCTGATGCCTAGAACCCTCAAACTCTTTGTTTCGCATGTCGGCAAATCGAAACGGCTTAAACACATTTGGGTTTTCATACACTGCATCATCGTGATGCATGGCGTGCGCCGGGAAGGCCAAAAAGGTTCCTTGAGGGATGAAGGTTCCATCAGCGAGTGTGATGTCACTCATTGCTTTCCGCGAAAGGCCCACTAGCAATTAGTGGTTGAGCCAATCAGTTAGGATAATGGGGGAGGAATACAAACAAACTGAAAGGCCTTCAAAACGCTGAGTCTCTTTCAAAAAACTGTCGACTTTTCGCATTTTCGAAAGAGCCTCTTTTGTCCAGCCGTAATTACTAACAACTGCCTCGACCTCTTCGCGGAGTGCCTGTGCATATTGTGGATTTTCTGCAAGATTTAACAGCGCCTCAGAGAAAGTCTGGGAAGAGATACCACACTGAAGTTAGTGCGCCGCTCCCACTTGTAATTAAGAACGCACGTTCGAGGTTGTCTGCGGTAGTGGAAGTGATCAATACAGAAGAATAGGAAAAAAGTGAACGAACATGAATGCCAGCAAAATTAATAGCAATGATACGCCGTGTCAATGAAGTCAGCGAAGTCTCCTCCTTACTATCCATGCACCACTGTAAGAAGTCATTCTACCAAACCTTAGTGCTTTTAAGATATAGCGAACGCAGGAGCTCACAGGTTTATTGTCCCAGTCGGTGCCTTCCGCTTCCATATGTTGCAGGCGTTCTTTAATCACCGGACCAAGAAAAGCGAACCCCAGTCTGGTCCGTTCAGAGAGATTGGTGACAAACTTTGCAACTAGTCTACCCAACTTCGGTGTAAAGCAAAGCTTACCGAGAGGGCGACGACAGAAACTGACGGTACCATAAAACTAGGAAAGAGTCTCAAAAATCTTGCTTCGTCCACAACTGCACGAGGGAGATTTATATTCATATCGAGCCAATCTGAGTCACGGCCTAGGGAAAGATGCCTAATGAAACGCATGGACAGTGCATCAACTCAGTGACTTACAAAGAGGGAGGCCAACAAGGATCCGATTGCTTGCCCTGCTCGCAATCTTGAGAGTGGCTTGTACCGCTGAGATGGTTTTCCATTCTGTAATCGAATGACCGTTAGTACCTTCCAGTCAGGTGTGATTCAGAGAATAACCATTGTGCTTTAAATCAAGGTATTCGTTGCATGCAGCAACGATCTCGTCCCTCAAGTCTGCATATAAAACTGGAAGGTTGCGACTAAGAGTCAATCGAATAAGGGGTAGATGATAATCATCGTTAATATTCAAGCCGAACGTATATTCTGTTCTGAATGCCTGCATTGGCCTACCTTGAATTGCAGCCAACATCCGGAAGATGGAATTGACTTACGTTGTCTGCTGCGTGGTTAAATGAAAGGTGATCTTCGGGAGTCATCGCCACGTCCTGAAGGTGACTGCGGTGCAAATAGACGACCCAATGGGTCAAGCTAGCGACCCTGAATGCTCCAGATTTGTACTGAGTTTTTTGCAGTCAGCACCAACGTCACGAACGCCAACATAAAGGACCCTCCTCACCTTATCGTATCCCTCCTGCACAAACCGATCAGTGTGGTCGACTTCAAGTCCCTTTGTGAACCAGTACGATGCCAATAAACTTGAGTGGCCTACGACAGGGATGTGATCGAGCTTGTTACAGCGCACACCATTAACAGTGCTTGATCTCTGTTAAGACGTACAGGACTTACGTTTGGACGCCTAAGAAGCTTGAACGAACATGCTACAACTAGAGCGGCGCAGATACCAGCAACGAGATAAGGCGTGAGGAGGAAATCCATGAGGCGGGCATTAACCAAAAGTTGGTTGGGCCAACAACCTCGAGGAGCGGTCATAATATACCGTCCAGGCACCCGTGGAAGTAGAAGAACCGACAGTGTCTACCGTCGGAGTGCATGCGAAAGGCGTACCCGCCTGTTGACGGTATATCTCTGTAATGGGGTTCGAAGCCTGCCTCCATTGGTCCCGACGGAGCTGGACTTATGATTATCCCGACCAATGATTATGAGGCTTTTGATTGTCGCATTAGACCCTCGCTGGTAACTGAACACTGCGGCATCGATATTAGAATCGTCGTATCTGAATAAAGGGTGCAATTCCAAATTTCTTTCTCCATCTGTGGATGACTGTCCACGATCGTTGAATTTTGGGAGTAACTCACGGGACTTCCTTCCGCATGTTCCCACTACTGGCCAAGTGGCATTATAGCCGCGAGGATCATTGCGGAATTAAACCTTGAACAATCTGGTACGTTCAAAGTAGCGTAACAAAAAAGTCAAAATTCAAAAAGGGCATGTAAGTGCATGTGTATTGGCACTGGATAAAGTATACTTGCTGGCAGGTTCCCGCTCTGCGTAAGAATTATCCTATTGTTAGAGGATGCTCTGACGACCGTAACAATGGCCCCGAACGGATTATCGACTGACCACAGTTCGTCGGGTACAAACAACAGTAAATACCTCGTCAATGAGATGATACGGAACAGTACGGAAGTTATTAGTGAGCCCCCTTATCCGACGGATACTTACACTTTTCACGTATCACGCACCATGCCGCATGTTGTAAACCCTGCACGGGACAGGGAGAACGTGGACTGTGTCCAGAGAGAAGTGTCATCCAAGAAAGGCTGTTAGGCGGTAACGAGAAATGTTTCTTAGATCGTCGAGAGAGCGGGTTTCCTCCCCCTACCACTGGTACATACTTCAGCGCAAGAACACTCGAAAACTGCATCCTTACACGAGAGCGTCCAAAGGGCTTCCAACACGTAGAAAATTGGACGATATCATTGAACATAAATCACCTCATACGTCTGTAATCGGCCACGAACACTCCCATTGACCTACATTTTATGAGCTCACTACTGAGAGAACACTTGCCTGGTGTAGTGCACTTGGAAATGTGGTGCACTACAGATTTTGAGAGTGGTGGAACTCACCACTGTGGGGTGAGTACACTCAGAGCGGACCACAACGACAACAGAACATGGACAGGCATGTGATATTAAGTGATCAAGCGCACACACTGATACAGGTAGATCGATATATATATATAGAGAGAGAGAGAGAGGAGAAAGAGACATAGTACTGTGGAAACGAAATTTTAGCAGGGGGCATAACCAGATTCTCCAAATGTAGATAATCCGACCTTGATTTTTTTTTGTAAGATATAGCTATTAGTCTGAGTAAAGTCCGACTCAATGATTTTTGAGTAACATATCCAAATAATCCGACGTAGGCAAGATCCAAATATAGGCAATACACCAATAGCCTGACCTCTCGTACATGCATTTTGCCACCCTGACTATGCTCGACTCCATTGGCCATAGTCCAACTATAATACCATCAGAAGAGTGGCTCTTGCCACCTGTTACACTTCTGTCAGGGGTCTTTCCTTTTCCGACTCTTCGTGGTCACGTGCGTCACATGCCTAGTCATGTCCCTAATAACCATCGCCATCCTAGGGGCCCGGATGCTTCAAGGAATGCTTGGATCACAAACTGTGGAGGTATTTCCAATACCTGTCACCTCCAGCACTGCTTCCTAGATCTGCTCCCATTGTCTCCTGATGGACAACATGTTTACTTCTTGGTTCGATGACTTGTTTCCCTGACTCATGTGTTGTACTATAGATCCAGTGTCTGGCTCCTCACTGCGCATTGATTGTGCAGCCAGTATAGCCTTCGTTTCCCTGCCTACCCCCATCTTTGACACCGTATGACTCTTTTCTATTTCATTGATGAATTCGTTGATTACTGCGGATACACGTCACGATGCGTCACTCGTGACTGGTACGGTACTCGTACTTAGGAGTATATAATCCTATGTACTTCGTCCTGTATCTGCAGTTTTTCAATAGCTTGCAACTGAGCTTCATCCCATTACTCTAATCCTCGTTCTCTCTCCATGCGAACCGATTTTGGACTTCGCCAGCAGACAGAACCTCTGTCAGATTATTGTAATAACTCAGCCATAGGGGTTACGACAAGTTTGGCCTGTAGACTCCCACCTTGCGTGCTTCGTGCCTATTCCATTTGAAGAAGTCACCGCGCTCGGGCATAACAAAATCGAAAAACTCAAGTGTAGTTTTCGGGACTCGTCGACCTCTTCACGAAAGTCTACTCATCCCTCAGTTACTAAACTTCAACAAACCAATATCAAGTCTACCAAGGCTCGTTGGTCTCCCTCAGTGTAAAGACTAACTTGCTTTCAACACATCCTGCTCCTCAACCTTGCTCTTTGGACAAGTAACAAAATTGAGAAGCATCCCTCCTCCCTTAATCAAATTCACCGCTCTACAGGCAGCCACTAGGCTTTAATAGATCGCCTCCCTAAAGTCCACACTCGCATCTCCCTATGTGTAAAGCCACTCGCGCAAAACCAAACCCCTTATGCTGACAGGTTTCTTTTGAGAAATAAATCCTCCCTCAGCCTTCGTTATCACTTCTTGTTAAAGTGTCTAATCCTCAAAAGTCGAGACCTCCAGTCCCACCCCATAATACTCCTCTAGGACTTGGAAGGAACCTGCCTTTGCCGCTGATACCTGGAAGACTTGGGCCGTCAGCCACAGCAAGTAATCCCAGGTTGTCCTATTTGTCCCAATTTAGGGATAAGGAAGTTGCACTTAGTTCAGAAGAAGAAGACGATCAGAAGTCCGATACTTCTTACGGATCAGTCCTCAAAGAAGAACAAGAAGCGCACAAGTTACCCGTTATGTCCATGACACTTGGTCATGGAGAGTCAGCCCCTGAGATGCTGTCGAAGGTTTTCTCTGAAATGGAGCTGAAGGAAAAGTTGGATGAACAGAGACGCTCTTTGGCGGAAGACTGGCGCAAGATAGCCAGTGGACAGTCAAGCGATCCCTTTCCAACAGGTACGCCCACGGACTCAGCTCTACGAGCTTGGTATGCTCGGAACTACGGAAAGGTAATTCCCCCAGAGGATCCCATTGGTGGGTCCAGTAAGGGTAAGGCCTCAGTAGATCCGGACAACTCGTATGATGTCCGCCCACCCAACGGAGGTCGGGAGTTTAATGTCAGGCGCCCCGGTGAATACGACGGAAGCCACAATGGGCTTCAGACCTGGATCACGCAGGTCGAAGGTTACCTGAACCTTAACAAGCATGTCTATAACATGGAATCTCTCAAGATCTCATTTGCCCTTACATATATGACGAAAGGAGCCACCATTTCATTCACAGAAAATTACCAAAATGAAAACAAGTTGCTTGATGGAACCATCTGGTACTCTGACACCTTCCAGAGGTTCGTTGAAAGACTCAAAGCCACCTTTGAGTCCGGCGACCAAACTGCTTTGGCAATTCTCCAGCTCTCCAACATCACTCAAGGAAAACGAGAACTTGAGTTGTACATTGCCAAGTTTACCGGGCTTGTCAACAAGGCTCAGTTAAAAGAAGAATCATGTGAAGCAGGGATCTTCTTCGGAAAAGGATTAAACAAAGAGTATCGCGAATGGGTTCTGAATTCAGGGTGCATGCCTTCCATGGTAATCGAGTGGATCCAGTGCACAGGGGAAGCAAGAACAGCGATTGTGACAAAGCATATCCTTGAAGGGAAGGAATCTCGGTATGAACGAAAGTTTGTTCATTACCGTGGAGGTTCCTGAGATCCTGATGCGATGGACATTGACAAACGCAAATGGAATGTTAGATGTTCAAACTCCAAAATTACGTGCTTCAAATGCGGAGCAAAGGGTCACTATTGACGTGACTGTACCAAATCAAGATCGAAGTCCCCGAAGGAAATCCGTGTGGTCATCTCGGATGACGGAAAGAAGGAAGCCTTCATGGGGAATCGTCACACTAATCCCAACGAAATGAAAGTGGCTGGGATAAATTTTTAAATGGGACTGCCGAAACTCCTAAGGCAGGTCCCATGTACATGTCTTCTGTAATCTGTACTACTTCCATAGAGGATGAATCTGTCATGCGCATTGGTTCTCCTCTTGGAAGGGTGTGGTTACCGGATTTCATGGCAGGAGTAATGTGCTGCATTGACTCAGGTGCAGAGGTATCCCTCATCTCTGAGCAGATCGTTCAACACCTGAAGATACCGACATATCGCGTCAAGAATCGCTTCAAGATGACGTCCTTTACTGGAAAAGATGTGGAGTGGATCTCTCGGAAAGTCATGCTTCGCATGATCATCAAGAATCATGTTATCCACGTCAAGTGTTTTGTCGGGCCCCTGGTTGGGAAGGAACACATTCTGCTCAGAATGCCTTTCCTTTGCGAGTTCAGGCCAAGAATGGACTGGGTCAACAACAAAATAACCTGCTGGGATGATGGGTTTGTTCCTAACTGCGAAACTGACTATTATATTAGGGACCATGTGCCGCATTATGAAGGATACATGGTAAAGTTCAACAACGACAGTTCTGAAAAGGAACCGGTGGTAAGTAATATTAATAAAACCACTCTTTCGACAGAACTCAAGGCTGCCTTATCCTCGGCTAAGGAGGAAGTTTTACTTCCAAAGGAATATGAAGAATTTGCACAAGTGTTCTCCAAAGAGGACATCCTGTTGCTGAAGCATCGACCGGGTCTTGATCACGAGATCCGTTTACGAGAAGACTTCAAGCCCAAGAAGGCAACAGTTTATCCGATGTCCCTGGAGGAGTTAAAAGTGTTAGATGAATTCCTTGACAAAAATCTTAAATGTCACAAGATTCAACCGTCAACGTCACCACAAGCTGCGCCGGTATTCTTCGTAGCAAAGAAGGATGGAAAGAAGCGGTTAATTCAAGACTACTGCTATCTAAATTCG